ATCGTTAGGGCAGCTGTCTGGCCCTCGTTTAGCATCGCATAGTAGCCGGGGGGTGGTCTTGCCCTTGTGGTCCTCGTTGGAGGAGCAGATGGTTGAGGTTGTTGAGGAGTAGATGGTTGAGGTTGCTGGGCGGTAGATGGTTGAGGTTGCTGAGGAGTAGATGGTTGAGGTTGCTGTGGCATGGTGGTGGGCTGGACACTATTAGGTGGGTTATTATTACTGTTGCTGCTGTTATGTTCGTTAACAGCAGTAGACTCCCCCTCGTCCGGCACACCATCGGCTGCCAGGATCGGCTTGAAGGTGACATTCCGTTCGACCGTGACTCGACGCCTCCCGGGCCAGTATACCCGGTATCCCTTACTCTCAGCGTCTACCCCCACAAAGACTGCTTCTTCTGCCCTCGCCTCCAGCTTACCGGCCTCCAATGCATGGACGAAGACCATCGTCCCAAATTCATGGGCACGGGACAAGTCCGGCTTGGACTTGTGCACCATCTCATAGGGTGTGCTACCGAACGGACTTTTCGCATGTGGACACCTGGCAACTGACGCATCACCCATGCCTCGTAGGACTTGAACGCGGTAAGTGCGTCACTCTTTTGCTTGAGGAACTCGAGTCGCGTCTGCCGGCTGAAGTCGTCCGTGAAACTGACATAATATTTACAGCCGCCTAGACTCATCGTTTGCGCCGGTCCCCAGAGGTCCGTATGGACTATCTCCCCATATGTGAGTGCACGTGTCTTCGTCTCTTTCGGGAAGGTCTGTTGCGCTGACTTAGCTTTCACGCAGGTATCGCAGAACTCAACTTTCGACTGCGGGTCCAGGTCCACGCCCACTATCATCCCCTTCTTCACAGCATCTGCCAATGCATTTTGGCCGACGTGGCCCAGCTTGCGATGGAGCTGTCCAAGGGTGAGTTTTTCTTTTGCTACATTGGTGGTGACCCTGACATCCTTTTCTCCCAACGCTGTACAGTCCTTCCACTTGCGGGATCTCCGCGATGACGTCCCTTCGGGGTGCATGCGAGAGTATCTTGCACATTTTCCCTTCGAAAAGGACAGCCAAGCCCGCAGATGCTATGCGGTTGGTGGATATCAGCGTGAATGCCATGCCAGGGGCGTATAGCGTGTCCTTCAAGGTCACACTGGTTTTCTTCGACCCCAATGGTAAGTCAATTCTCACATCTCCGCGGCCGGTAGCGCTAACACTTGAACCATTTGCAGTATACACCTTTTGCGGGGCTATTTCGATAAAGGTCTGGAATTTTGACCTGTCTGGACAAAAATGGGAGGTCGCGCCAGAGTCAACGATGGCTCCACAGTGCGCAGCAGGTAAGTCCATGGCTTCAGCAATGCTCGCAAGGTCTGACATCGTGAAGGTGTAATTGTCTTGGGCCTCGGAGTCTTTGGCCGTGGTTGCGTTGGCACTCTGCTTTTGGGTACATCCTCCCCTTCTAGCCTTTTGCTTGGGTCCCTGACCCTCCTTCCCTCCCCCTTTCCTCCAGCACTCACTCTTGTAGTGACCCTTTCGGTCACAATTCTGACAGAGCACGTTGGGGTTGTAGTGGGGCGCTGCGCCATCTGTGCCTTTGGCTTTGGGATTGTTGGCACGTGCTGAGAGGGCCGAGTTGGTGCCTCGTTTAGATGGACGCCTATCGGTAAGCATGCGGTGCTCATACTCCTCACTGATGACATTGACGAGCTCGTAGGTACTTAGGGCCTTCTGCATTATCTTGGCCGCTGCATTGATGGACGATAGGATGGGGCAGTAGGATTTAGGGAGGGACACCAATATTATGGCATAGAAGTCCTTCTTGTCAATTGACGCGCCCATCCCTGCTAGCGACTCGCGGATGCGCAGCAGCTCGCTGAAATGCGCTCGAATGTCTCCGTTCTCGTCGCAATGCTGTAAAGAGTTGATACCTAGTAGGCTTATACTAAGGGTGTTACTTTAAGACTCCAAAGTGCGAGTGAGATGTTCGTCCCAAGGGACTGCCTGTAGGATTATCTCTTGATATATGTCATATCCCATATATTCACGCTTCTCTTCCGGACTTCGGACCCTGAGATCCGATCCGGTCCGATTTATAGATCCGCTTCCGATCCGATTTACGATAAGCTTTCTAATTCATTTCCTGTTCATATAACGTTAAACACAGCCTATTCGGTATTTCCTCTTCCCGGTGTTTCGGTTATACTTATTACCAGTATAATTACTGATCCATTAACCTATGTCTCATTTCCGACTCGCGTTTGATAACCTTTGCACATGCTTCGTACATAGCCTCGGACCTTTGCTTACTGATACTTCCGTTATCCTCATAGTATATAAACTCGTGTATATGTCCTGTAGTACCTCAGTTCGAATATCATCTTAGTTTGTCCTCTTTCTGTCCTCCGGACTTGAGTCCTTCTTACTCTTGTCACCCTCCGAGACTTCAGATAGATTCTGATAGTCTATATCCTTGGCTCTACCTTCGGGTAGTCTTACTCTGTTAGTTTCTAGTTCGGATACATCCGGATTAGTCTTATATACATTTCCGATATCCGGAAGACATCCGGATATACTACGAGACCCGTCCGGACCTTCAGACGTGTTATCGTTAGTACTTTGAAATAAGGGACAGTACTTGGGAAAGGGGCACAGCGTACGAGCTGAGGCCGAAGTCCTTCGGATCCGATCCTACGAGAGCATGACCTTAACAATATAAAAAGCAAGGGATATCTTGTTAAGATCGAAGGTGAGAGAAGAGAGGTATACCTCTGGTACGTTCAGAGATCCGAAGAATAGCCTGAAGTACCCGATGAATTGTCCGAAGCATCCGATATGGGTCCGACGTCTAGAAATGAAGGTCCGAGGTTGTGCGAAGCTTCCAGCGAGCTTCCAATGAAATGGCAAGGTTTCCGGTAAAATTTTACAGCGGTTATCGAAGTATAGGACTTTTGCGTAGTGTAACTAGCTAAAACCCGTCGAAAGACTTAAGGATTTCAATAGAAAAATGGCAGCAGTGATGCCAAACAATCGTTCTGAATGAAAAAAGATCAATTGCGAAGTACTAAAACCCGGAAGTGACAATTACTAACTATGACTCGAAGCAAGGGAAGTGAAGTGTTCTGCGAGTACCTAGCGAGCCAGAATATATCCTACGGCGTGAAAGTCCGGAATCTGCGTAGGCGAAAACTGTAGCGAGATAAGACATCTGAATGTAATAAGACTCAAGGCGAGCCGCTACGAAGATATACATGTAATAACACATGAGGAGCGTATCTATACGTATTAGCAAGGGTTTTCGATGTATGTGCCCTTAGACATAATCAATAACAGATAATCAAATGAAAAATGCACCAGCAAAGTCAAACGGACAAGGACAGGACATGGTACAGAGGATCGGAAAAGCTAGAAAGGGCCTCGGAAATGGACAGACGACCTTCGGACGACTCGGACAGGCTGTGCGGAACTTTCGTAAGGTCAGAAGTGTGTCGAGGAATATAAACATGTTTATCACCAGATACATGTCCAGCGCCAGCCCGAGTGTTACAACGCGTCTCCTGAAGTCTACGACGTAAGTCTATCTGCACGAGCTCCATTTTTCCTTCGTGTATCTGACACACTTCCTTCCAGACATCAGATGCGGCCTCGAGCTTTTGGATGCGTAGGAGCAGGCGATCCATTATGGTACTGAAGACTTGCTGTTTTACCAGCGAGTTTTGCTGATAGTACTCATCCAGCTTCTTATCCAGGTCGTCGATCTTGGTCTGAGTGGGAACAGTGCCGTCTTTCTTCGTTACGGCCCCAGTCTTGGGATCAACTAGGAACAGTATAGGTCGTACTGCCCGGCCGTCCACATAACGCATCAAACCTCTTGCTCCGATGGCCGTTAAGGTACGTTCTTTGTATGTTATCCAGTTAGTGCCGTCTTCGGCTAACTTAGGAACATTGAATAGGCTCGAACTCATAGCGGGGAGCATTGTGTCCATTGCCGGGGCAGGGCTCATAACCTGTGGTGATACTAGACAGGTACGATCTCAGTATTCGGTTCACGAATCTCTTTATTGACAAGTGTTTTTACCTAGACAGGTACACTACGTTATATGTTAGTGTTCGTACTCAAACATTATACTAGAACACTCACATCTCAGTATTCGGTTCACGAATCTGAGATGCTTCAACGACGACTGGCTGCTTTTATATGGTGAGTGCGCCAGCAGGTCTTTTTGATGAAAACATATATTAAATGAATGAAAAGATTGCCGACGTTGACACATCGTCTGGGATCTCTGTTTGGTGGCGCTCGCACCTCGAGCTGCCTTACTCTTCAGGCTGTAGTCCCATTTCCTCCTTTGGTTCCTCCTCTCTCGGCCTTTCCGTCCTCGGGTTCATCGGCTCTCAACATTAACATCATTAGTGTGTCCCACCCAGGCATCACCATCGGAAGAAAATTCAAATTGTCCTCTAGTAAAATGAGGTTGAGAAAATGAGAAAATTTTGATCGTAGAAAATTATGTTGGGCGCTCGTCAGGCGCTCGTCAGGCACTCTTCGGGTGCTCGTTGGGCATTGTATTATAATGATCCTTGTTGCGAATCAAGGAGAATAGTGTATTGATGGTTTAAGCCCAGACCAATATATCGTATGACAGTCACCTTTGCAAAAGCCAGCGAATCTAAGAAGTGATATGACAAACCTTATATTGATCACATGAACATCATCATAAACACTACAGGGTATTATTTTTAATTGTCTGAGTATAGCATGCAACATGAGGTTAAGTAAGGGATGCAAGAGCATTCAGGCTATTTATCGAACTGAGTACATCACTATCATCCGCATCTGCATCCGGTTCATCCAGCCTACACCTCTTGCCAGTCGGGGTGACTTCTACCCCTGAGGCGAATAGAAACTGAGACTTCGTGACCAATAGGGCGGTCCTGTGCTTCCCCTCCTGCAGGGGTTTGCATAGCACAGCAGCGTCTTGGACGGGCCAACCGGATAAATCAAGGAATTCATTGAAAATCACTACCACAGGCTGAGATGAGCTTTGACCGACGGAAAATGTCCATGTAAGTCTCCTTGTACATAAGAGCCATCCACAGAATAATGTAGAAGCTGGACTCAAGATCATCCTCAACAGCATGTATGGCATTGCTATGCTCGACGAGGTAGGCAGACATAAATTGCCAGGTTCCCTTGATAATAGAATTAGTACAAAATATAAAGCTTGTGCATGGAATGGACACACCGTGTGCATTTTTTGTCGGGGACCCTGAATGCTAACTAGCTTTGCTAGATCCCAATCGATGAGATAGCCCTTCCCTTTGTAAATGACGACATTTCCAACACTAAGGTCGCGATGTAACACCTTCGCACGTTCAAATGTGTCCTTGTGAGTTGTGATGATAGATCATGAATAAGATATGCTACATGAAGTTGAAAAATACATACCAATCAGTGTGTCATGCACAGACAGAGTAAGTTGACGAAAACTCTCGAAGTCAGTCAATTTTTCGCCCACAATATTGAGGACCAGACAGTGAAGAGTGTGCAGAGTGAGAGGTGACTGGGAACTTGCCCATTTAGCGCGTCTGAACTTAGCAGTTTGAGTGGATTGCTGAGGGATAGAGGGGGGTACATCGTGATATGCAATACAGCTTGCAATATTGGAGACCTTGTGCGACATCAACAACTTGTAGGTCTCGCCTTCCGGTAAGACATCGGGCAATGACACCCACCAAGAGTCCTTGAACATTACGACCTTCTTGTTAACAAGGTCAAATGCAGGACATGCGCGAGTCCAGCGGCCAACAGGTGAATGAGGTTTTGTAACAGGTTGGGGAATGACCAACGTGAGCGAGCCAGAACCCTCAGCATTAGGGACTTTGACTTTGAACATACGGGTAGTACTGGGAATGTTTAGCTGTGACCTTGTGAGGTCAGCGTCCTCGTCATTAGCAAGTGTTATGGAAGTGTTGATGCCACACATTTCAGGTGATGCTCGTGCGTAACGATGAAAGAAGTTGGCCAAGTGGGGCTGGTTATTGTAATTGATGGGGCCGGTGACGATAGCTCCCTCCCTATCCCATCTGATGATGCGAGCGCGATCACGCACGATAAGGACAGAGAATGCATGGGTACAGAACTGGGTGCCAAGCTGAGCTGTGGTATAGCTTGCTATTTGTCCCAACGTGTCCATACCCCTCTCCGTCTGGGATACGACACTATCAACTCCAGAAGCTTCACAGAATGCATCATGGGAGTATGACCATTTGAATTTGATGATAATTTCTGCTGAGGAAACATCGCAGTTGGGCGATGAAGGTGCACACCCATCAGGATACATGCAAACGTCCGGCTTGACGTTGAATACAGTCGAATTGATTTTCGAGCAGTTTTGTGTGTCCACACGATTGTGAGTGTCGACAAATGACAATTGAGGAGTGAAATGTTTGATAGCGTTAATCTGAAGTTACACTATCAATAGTGTCACTATCATATGTGCAATAGTATACTCACGAAGGGTGTGTAAGCACGCTCCTCATGTTTAACTGAGATCACATCACTAAATGCGCCAGCAGCGAAGGCTGAAGTGAAGCACAAAGGGTCATAATCGAGTATTTTAGAACTCAGGAAGAACTCCTGGAGAAATTCTTTGACTGGCATCGGGCCAACGAAATAATCTCTCATCTCTTTACCCATGGCATTAATAGTTTCGACCCGACATTGTGTAAGAGTCGTGAAGGGCAGCATGGTGGAACTGTCCCGTTTAATGGGAGTGTCGACAATGGCATTGGGAGCTAGATAGGGGCCTTGCGGAGGCATTACTGGTTTTGCAGTTGTTGAACTGCTTTCGGGCTTGTCCATAGCCATGATATAAATACTGTATGGGACATGTATATATTTGGGCGAGTGTATGGCGGGTACATATAGCAAGTACGTATAGGGGTATGTATGTATGTAATACAGTATGGTGAGTACATATAGGGTATGTACAGATGACGAATGGTAAAAGGCGGGCTGTAATGATAATATCCGAGAAGAGGGAAGAGGAAAAAAGAGTTCCATCCACATTTGGAGCCTTTTATAGTGAATGAGACTCAGCCCGGGTTTTCCCGGGTCCACCTGGATATGATGCAAGAGTCAATCTAACCTGTTTAAAAGTGTGGAAAACTAGATACCCACAGCAGGCGACGGCGGCCAAAACGCCCGTGCTGATCAGATGACTGAGTAAGAAGGAGAGGTATCATATACAGTATAAGCTAACCACCTTCTATGAGTTAATGTTATAATATCGCATAACAGACATAGCATAACAGACATCTCATAGGTAGTATAGGTTACCAATATTCAGCATTATCAGCTACTACACTGAATCATTTTCTTGTACTCTGACTAGATGAGAAGTTGAATGATAATGGTTGGTGCAAGATATAAGTGACAGTAGCACACAGTGAGAGATCGGTGTATCAACAAGACCAACCATTTATTGTTTACCGAAACTAAAGCCTCCTTGAGGAACAGTGACATGTAAGTGGAGCTACACAGATAATTAGTACGCGAAAAGAATATATCAGCAAACTTACAGTCCTCATTTGGAAAATACTTGTCCATGCTATTGAATTGGAGGTTGTGGATGGTGGTCATACCACTTGTATCTTTGACATATAGAACATATTGGTTGACAGATGTGCTTGTGAGACGAGATAGCAGATCTGTGCTGATTCGTGAAGACCACTGGATGTTGCGATGAGGCGACCCAGCGATGTTGAAGATCATCTAGCATGCTTCTTTTCTGATACCCTCTTTTGGGGAGATAGTAGCGATAAAAGAAGAGAGGGCAAGGCCCCAGACGCGATAACGACCTGAGTCTGAAGATCATCTCCAACAACAATGTTGCTGATTAAATGAGTTCGGTCAAGACGGTCAACGCCGGAGAGATCTAGTCTGCAAAGTGCAATGAACACTATATAGACTCATTTGACACAGAGAGGACCGTAAGAAAATGACCTGAAAGACTTTGCGGAATGTCAGAGGGTGTACAACGTCAAAGGCTAGGCATTAGAACAATGGGCAGCCTAGATAGACATGACCTTGTGGAGCAAGGCAAACTTCCTAGTTACAGTTTTACAGCTCAGCCTCCACATATTCTCCTGGCATCATGAATCCTACATCTTCATCAGGAGTGATGTCATGCTCAAAGTCATGTCCACTCACCTATTTGATCAGTAAATTTGACATTGCGTTTAGTGCAGTTCCGAATGATTGGAGTACACAAATCACACCATCCACGATACTGTGTGCGACCGCAAGTGGTATGAGATAGTCATCTGTGTCCGTTAGGGGGGCCTGGTATGCCTCGCTCTCACTGCTGGCAATGATTTTCGCTGGAAGAATGGCGAGGGGGCCGTTCTTATACTGAAATAAGCTGCAAACTTTACCAGTGGTGCCCACGCTAACCTCGTCATCTTCCATAACGATGTCCGTACATTCATATGTGCCCATATAAAGTGGTGCAGCCTGGGATGACAAGGTTGTAAGGGTCATTCCCAGGGAATAAAAAGGTGCCAACCTCATCATCTCCCATAACGATGTCTGTACATCTGTATGTCCCAGCAGAACTCGTTGACAGGTTGATATCCATATCTAACCCTATCTAAATGTGCTAGCCTTTGTCAGTTATCACAAATTGTGAGTAAGTGATTGTGCCCCGGCACCTATCATTGTGATGCTCAATATGTTCAATCTGGTATACATGGTTCACACACTCACTGAACTGTTCCTGCGCGTACTCCTGCCACACTGGCTCAATGTCCTCCCAGTCCTTCGTCTTCATGAAGCTGTCCCCATCTCCTAAGGCCTCATTATCATCATGCCTGCATGAATATTTTGAGACGAAAAATCTCCGTCGATGGATAAATGTACTCACATCCCGAACAGCACCTCGCCCTTTTCATTCTTCCAAGCCGACATCACAAACACTCTCATCCCACATTGCCTCCACATCTCATTCGAAAAGTGCTCCATATATGCCGGACCCTTCTTACGAGCGACTTGTGCTTGTATCTCTGGAGGCGGACAGTTGTTGGACCACTCTTTGGCTGTTTCTTTAGCCTTCTCCAACTCATCGTCATCCAATTCAGCCATGACTCTCTTCACCGCCGCCTGATAATGTTTGAACATACCAGGATCTCCTGGCTTTACCCTGGACTCGTCGTCAATCCTCTTCAGCACCTCTTCGCGTTTTTGCTGGTAGACCACCATCCTGGGAGTCCATTTCCTCCCATACTTGATCATGTCCTTCCTTTCCTTCTTTTTCTTGTTGTTGAACAACCAAGTCTTGTACACCTAAGAGTTGATGAAAGAATGTGACATTAAAAATTTAGTTTTTCAACGCAACAAAGAAGCCTCACCTGCTTCCTCTTTTTCCATTGTTTTTGGTCCAACTTAGGAGCAAACAACCTGGCCGCCCTTGCTATGGCAGTGAAAATCGCTCGCTTCTCACTCCTTGTGGCAGCAGTCTACTCAGGAAGGTAGTTCTTCAACTCCAAAATCTCCTTGTCCGTGAGCTTCTGAGACTGTGGTTGACGCATCCTGTGTTTTCCGGAAGTCGTGTTGGTGGAATGACCTGTTCTTGCCATAGTGAATCAAAATGCATAAATGGCTAAGGATTTGCAAGGTGGAAGTATTAATGAATTGTGCGAAGTTGAACTTTGAGCAAAGCCTAATGATAGGTTAATCAGCCCATATTGGACCCTGAGCCATTAATGGAAATGAATTTGTAATGAGCCAACAGGACTGCACCGCATCATATTGCAATAACAATTCATTACACCTGAGCTGATGCCTTGCTTGCAACATTAATAAACAAGATGAAGATAGGTAGATGCACCCCAGTGCAAAAATCTCACAGGGTGGAAGCAAGGGGCAGCAAAGGTAGGAAGACTTGGGTCAAGGTCCCACTTGCAAGCACGAGGCGACATGCCTACAGGTCCATGCCTAACTCTCCCCTGGAATCACCAACAATTCAGCCTGTTGAGGCACCGCCTCCTTGGGAAGACTTTCCTGACAATACTTACGAGCAGGACCAAGGCTCATTTGAGCCTTTGCAACTCCCAAAAACCATGGCAAGTTCATGTACAATGTTGGAGTGTCATTCAAACTATGGCTAAGCATTCAAAATACAGAGTCAAAATGACTACCTCAGGCAATGGCTGCCAAGGCAGGAATCATATCTACATCACCTCCTCGATCGAGAAGCTCCACCCGAAGACAGGAGATGCATCATCTGCCAACAGGATGGGGTGTACAAATGTCAAGATTGTCTTGGCGAGCCACTTTATTGCACGGGCTGTTGCAGGAGTCAACATCATAGCAATCCTTTCCACTGGATCAGTCAATGGAATGGGCGATTCTTCAAGCGGAGTTGTCTAGCTCATGTGGGACTCATTATATACCTTGGCCATGATGGCAAACAATGTCCGGCGGTCACCGATCGGTGGGATTTGTTTGAAGAAGATGAACCCGAAGACCTGCTCAAGCCTGAAGATCTGCCATTTGTGTCCGGACCCGAGTTCCAGCCAAAGGAAAACACCATGGTCATCGTGGACAAGTCCGGAGTTCATCGCCTGGAGGTTCGATGCTGTGAATGTCCGAATGCCATGAGTCCGGACATTCAAATGTTTCGACACAGATTTTTCCCTGCATCTTTTAACAGGCCAAAGACTGTGTTCACCTTCAGAGTGCTCAATGATTTTCTACTGGACAGCCTTGAATGCGGCACCTCGGCGATGAACTATTACAGCAAGCTCTGGTGAATGACCTCCAGCATGTTTCCACACCTTGTTCCGGTAATGCCTTACCCTCATCATCTACTGGACATCATATTGACAAAGCACATTGCAAGGACCGATACAGAGAGCTCATGAGGGTCGCTCGACAGTGGAGGCAGTTGAAGACAATGAAATGGCATGGCTTTAGCCATCGTTCTGATAACCTGAGCACAGGAGAACTTGCATTATTTTGCCCGGCATGTCCTCAGCCTGGGATTAATGTGCTGTTGTCAGAGGATGAATCTCTTGATGAGTGAGTCCTATTCTCAACCTATGTGGCCTCCATAATAATACTAGGGATCCAAGCTGGAAATACACCCGGTCATTTGTGATGGACGGAAATTTCAAAGCCGAACATCTGCATCCCATTAAGCCATTCAATGAAGTTTGGCTGTCCGATGGGCTTGGATTCATGGTAGGAAAGGACAGGTATAAAATGCACCTGGCAGAGGCTGCTGACACAGTGGAAAAATCAAGCTGCAACAATCACCGGGCAGTAAATCAAGCTAATGCTGCTCGGCACAAGCTGGAGTCCACCGGTATCGGGGGAGTTGCTTGTGCCAGACACAGTTGCTTTGTCCCTCACTCCATGGTGGATTTTCAGAAAGGCGAAAGGCAAGCCACATCCACCATTCCCCATTCACAAGTTAACCATGGGTCACTTGCAGACAAATGAACATGGACTATGCCCTTTGCGAGGCTTCCCAGCACAACATGGAAGGCATCACCAGGGCTGTCACCTTCTATGATATTAATTGTCAATACAACAAACACTTTTGGGTTCGGGTGGATCGAAGTCGATTTCTAGAAATGGCACCACAACTAACCATCATTCCCGGAATTGGGTTATGGCACGTTCATGGCCATCAGGACAGCTGCTATGTCCGATATGCTTCTAACTTTATTGAAGGCATTGGTCGGATCGATGGAGAGATCATGGAGACGCTATGGGCACGGCTCAATTTGATCTCCCCTGCTGCTCGGGGAATGTCATCTCCCCACCGAAAGGAATGCCTTGATTATCAGATGAATGACTCCAATTTCTGCAAGATGATTCACATGAAAAGGACTCTATGCCGGAAATACAAACTGGCTAGGAATGGTATCTTAGAAAGTGGAAAGGCATTCGACAGACTCGATGAAGCAGCACCCTTACATTTGAAGACAGAATGGTTAGCCAGGGAGAGGATAGCTCAGTCAAGCAGATTGAATGATCCTTCAGCCATGGATGAATATGAGATCAATATCAAAAAGGGTACGTTGAGTTCCATTGTCTCCGTTGAGGTCTGAATTAATATTGCACTCAGCACCTAGCAAAAAGGAGATCGAGCTTAGATTGTTAGAGGAGGGTAATGCCCGCAATGCAGCACCCTCTCGGAGATCTGTGGCGACATGGATATCAACAGGGTTAGCAATTGAAGAGGCTCAGATTGCATTGCTCATCGAGGTCCGAAGGATCGGAAGAAGATTTACCGAGACACAGAGATTAGACATCGCCCGTCAAAGAGATCGGCTCCAAGGCCAGATAGATGGATTTGCTCGGTCTGCTCTAACACATCTCGGGGAGGGATTTGATGCAGATGATGAACCTGAAGACTTGGACGTAGACATTCTAGATGATCTCGATGATGACCCGGCGGATTTCACAGAGACATCTCACACATGGACAAACTCTCCCGAGCTAACTGTAATCCCATTGCCATCAAACCTGGGGGTTGATAGATGCAGACAATGCATGGCAGAGGATCTGATTCCCCTGGAGATGTCACTTCATGAAGGGCAGGCCAATGATGCCCTTCACAATCTCCGCATTTACCTTTGCAACAAGGCCATCCTGTTCCGAACAACCGTTAGGCAGGCCAAATCCCAGGCCCTGAAAACTCGAGCTTGGTCCCAGGTGACATCGGTGCAGCAGGCAGTCTCCCTCCATGCCAGCATATATACAAAGACAAGGAAGCAAATGATGAAACTTGAGCTGGGGCAAGACCAGCTTCAGAAATACAAACCCCTGCTTCGCGAGCAACTCAAAATCAGCACTGCAGTGGGAGACCCAAATGCCTGAGGTCAATGAAATGAATCTTTGGCTTGGTTTTGGTCTGTTGAAGTTGACCTCGGGGGTCCTGATCAATCGTGGAATGAAGAATGTGAGTTCCCGCTTGCATGTCATATCCCGCGGTTACCTGACTGGACCCATGCCAAGTTTACTGAGTCCATTGGCTGAGGGCAAAGGCACTACGGGATCGATGGAGGGAAGAAATGCTATTGGTCACATTGGAGATGGATCGGACATGTAAGTTCTTTTTGTGGAAAACAACCATATGGGGCGAGCACATGCTGGAATCATTGGAGAAACGACTTCTGGGTCACGGATGCTACGCTGGAAGGCAATCCCACATGTATTCATTGCTGGCACAGGATGCGCAGGCAGCTTTTCAAGACCTACAAAACGTGTTGATAGAGGCTGGAGATGAATGAACATTGTTTTCTCATGAAGTCCCTTTTTCCACATACATAATTGACGCCCGGGAATTGTCCGGGTCAGCCCATGTCGGAGTTTGAATTTCATATCCATCCATCAGTGATTCTTATCTTCACATCTTGACCATCTTTCACTTGTATTGCCAGTGCCATAGTCCTGTATTAGCCATGTCTGCATCTCATGCATCCACTTCTGGCACTCTGAATCCCGGAAGCCATTACCGACCTCTGAAGCTGAGCCTTGCAACTATTTCCTGCACATTGGCAATGGCTGGATCGCGCGTCCGTGCAATCATCTCTCAATATCAGATGGAAGCTGCCAACAATGGTCTATCTGCTGACCGGATAAAGTATTTTAAAGCCGGGCTGCAATGGGAGATGAATGTATGTCACCACTGCCCTGATGACTTTGTTGGTCAATGCTAAGAATTTGAGCAGACATTTGTCACACCACTCCTGCAGTACTCCGCTTCACAGAATATTGTGTCGGTTCTTCCGGTTCCCTGTCGCTTATATCCTTAAGTTGTATCCCATGCTGACCTGGAACACTGTTCCGGACAACGTCTTTTCATTCCACCTCCTTTCATTTCATGATGAGCCAATTGCAGGACATCCGTCCTGGATTGTGTTCGCATATACATGTCCATGGTGGATGGGAAACACCACAATCCCTGATCAACCATGGCAGTGGGATGAAATAATGGCTTCCTGCATCTCTCACTACCAGTATTGGGCGGTAAGATGTCAGCTGAATTACCTTGATTGATGACTTATCTGTTTCAGCTTAATGTTGAGGATGATGCTTTGGTACTTCCAGAGAAGTTGAAAAACACTTCGACTCCACCACTCATGGGACTGAGATTCATCAAAGAACGCATGGAAGCATTGCTGGAGGAGCAAGATCAGGGCATCGAAGCTAAGATGGGAGAGGTGAAGATGTACACTGACATGTTAGAGAAATTGAGGAAAGGCAAAGGAGTGTAGTCCCATTCACTCTTCATTGTATACAAGATGTAACATATTCTATGCATTCAAAAATCTCACATTCGAGTCCCAGATGCCCAGGTCCCGAGTCCCGAATTTCGGAGGTTGGGGCTCGGAGACCCAGAGCTCGGCAACTGTGTTGGGTGTCAGGGTATCCAGACCATTGGAGATAGCATGTGTCAGTATTTTGCGTTTCATGGTTTATGTTGGGTGAATATGGAATCGGGGATCAGGGACTCGGTATTCAGAACAGTGTCAAGTCCCAGGTCATGAGCTCCGAGTGCCGAGTGCCGAACCCTGAGTCCCGAGTCCCGACTTTCGGAGGTCGGGGTTCGGCGACCCGGAGCTCGGCAACTGCTGGGTGTGGGTTTCGGGACTCGGGACTCAGAGCTCATGACCTGGGACTCAACACTGTTCTGAATAGCGAGTCCCTGACACCTGATTCCATAATCACAAAACATAAACCATGAAACTTAAAATACTGACAAATGCTATCTCCAATGCTCCGAGTACCCTGACACCCAACACAGTTGCCGAGCTCCGGGTCGCCGAACCCCGACCTCCGAAATTCGGGACTCGGGACCCAGGGTTCGGCACTCGGCACTCGGAGCTCGTGACCTGGGACTTGACACTGTTCTGAATACCGAGTCCCTGATCCCCGATTCCATATTCACCCAACATAAACCATGAAACGCAAAATACTGACACATGCTATCTCCAATGGTCTGGATACCCTGACACCCAACACAGTTGCCGAGCTCTGGGTCTCCGAGCCCCGACCTCCGAAATTCGGGACTCGGGACCTGGGCGTCCGGAACTCAGTATTCAGAACAGTGTCGAGTCCGGAGTCCACAATGTCGGGGTTCAGGGTTTTGTTAAATGTGTATGGCAATAACAAATGTTAATTCGAGCGTATTTATACATCTTCCCCCAGTCTCAAATATCACGTGCTGAGGTCCGGGTGTCGGGACTAAGTACCCCGGCACTCAGGACTCCCATATGTCAAGTCCCGAGTTCCAATTATCGAATACCAAGGCTTGCATCCAAATTATTTAGTCCCACATATCACTTGGGAAATGCTCAAAATTGAGTATTGAGGTCCGGATCACAATTGGTACATGGTATTCATTTGTTGGAATGTATATAGGTCACAATGCTTGCTCTTTGTTTGATCTTTCACACGCTGTATGGACCATCCACACTAGCCCATCCACATGATGGAACACCAGCATAAATATGAACAGCATCCCTCATATACCATGCCCAAGCAATCCGATCCCCTTCCACATCATACACTCCATGTCTCACAATCTTTCCGGAAAACGCAATCATACAGCCGGAATTGTACTTGAACTCCAGCTGAAGGTTTAGCATTGTCATCCGAGCATTAGAATAGTCCCCCATGGTGGTGAGAATGTCGAAGCATTCAGCAATGGACATGTGGTCTCGATGATGGGGGGTTTCCCGATTGGAAATGATGGAGAGGGTGTTAAACACGGATGCCCAGTACTGCAGGGCCTCCGGCATCTGTGGCAGATCCTTGCTTACTGCTATATTTCCAAGGTTTGACAAGGTTCTCAACCCTGCCTAGTACTGCTCAGGATGCATGACTCTGAGTGCCGCGGATGCGATGGCTGCTGGCCTTGCAATGGCTTTGAGGATATTCTCGCAGGAAGGTCCCTTCAATGATGCAGATACCTCCGGATTGGACACATTCTTTGGGATTGGTAAGTATGACTGCCGGAATCACCATCTCATCAGATCCTACCTCGTGTCCCTGTTGAAACCATGCCGGAGATAGATTGATGCATCCGGGAGTTGGTCCAACATCTTCCGAGCCCCGGTTGAACAACCTTTGATTAGTTCGCCAATTGCCATCAGCCCTTACACTTTTTTCGAGGCTTGGAGAGAGCAAATAGGTGGCCTCCCTGATTTCCTTCTGTAGGTTCCATTAATATTTGATATCCATCGAGTAACAATGTATATTACACACCTGGGTGGTGTCTGTCAGGGCGTCTGGGAGATACCATGCAATGATGGCACCGGATGCATCAAGAATTATTGCAGGTTCATCGACCAACCTTTTGCCTTCATGGCCAGGAGGACATCTCTCAAGCAACCTCGCCTCTTTATGTTCATTATGCCCGGTGTCCTTCGGGGAGATCAATTTGCTATATCTTGCAATATCCATCTGCATCTGAACTGTCATGCAGGAATTTGAATGATAAATAGAATTTTCTGAATCTGCAGGAAGACCCACTGGGATTTTTAGATGCCTTTATGAGTACATCAGCCAAGCGATCGCACGCCATCACCAGATCAGTGTCTAGGTTGGGGGAAGGTATGACCGGGCCTCCTCCAGTCTTCTCTGCCTTGAATTTCTGTTCAGTATATTCCCCTGCTTCATAAGTCACAGTCAGGGCCCAAGTGCGCCAGATGTTTATGCTATCAGGAGGGGAAGGGGAAGAACCGTTCATGCTGGATGTTAATCTTGGGAAATCAGACACTGAATGCTGGATGTCCAGACTTTGGTGTTATAGGGGGTGGAGATAGAGAGGATCAGATAAGGGAGCCATGGATAATTTTGGCTGCTGTCAAAGATGTATTATTATCCATTGCTCAATGAAATACTACCTGATTGGAAGTGTGCTGGTCATCAGATATTCATTTGTCGACTCCCGGGTCCTGGTACTCAGAAGTCGGTACGGTTGACCCATATTTGGGTGGTCGGAATTTGGCGTCTCGTAGGGCAACACAAGCTTCGTACTGCCATATCAGGAGATCACCTGCTGCTCCGGGAACTCAGTAACTGTGATTTATTACCTCCTCTGAGTAAGGTTGACTCGCTGGTCATCAGATATTCATTTGTTGACTCCCGGTGTAGGGATTCATTTCTGGCTGGGCTTGTAGAGACTGTTTTTACCTTACCTTATGTTGGCACTTTTGTAGCTTACATAAGCAATCAATCTTTTCACCAGTTACCAGTATGAGTCAGAGTCCTCAGTAGTTTTTATGATATTTCCTCTCCTCTGAGCCTTGAGCCTGGTCCAGAAACCCTAAAGGGTTTCTGGACCAGGCTCAAGGCTCAGAGGAGAGGAAATATCATAAAAACTTGCTGATCTCTCAGACTCATACTGGTAACTGGTGAAAGGATTGCTTGATTATGTAAGCTACAAAAGTGCCAACATAAGGTAAGGTAAAAACAGTCTCTACAAGCCCAGCCAGAAATGAATCCCTACATCTCATGGGAACTTTAAATCATGACTGTCCCCAGTCATCTACCTATGCAAACCAAAGCTAAGCTAAACTTAAGAAAACTAACCTGGGGGTCCTCAAACACCTTTTGTTTCCTTGACGCGTATGCCAGGTAAACTGCGCCAGTGAGTGAGGGTCAGGCAATGCAATATAACGATAACCTCCAGACTTTGCTTTTAGTACTGGAGGAGCAGCGATGCTAAAGTGAAAAAAACGCGATGATGGTTGCATGGATGACGATGGGGAGTAGACAGATAGAAAGAGGCGAACAAGGGCTTCGAAATGAGTATAGGGTTGACTAGGATTGGTTGAGAACTGAGTGAGAAACGAGGGAAATGGTGAAAAAGGGCGGAAAATGCGAGAAATGCGGATTGCGGAGGAACGCGCGGACGTATCGGGAAGCGGAGCGGACGGATGGAAAGCGCGGAAAAATGCGGTCAGAACGCGCCTAAGGCGATGGGCGCGCGATCACAGGGCGATGAGATATAAAGAAAGCGCAAAAATGAGGCAAAAAAATAGGGGGGAACGCGCAAATGCGAATAGCGAGCGAACGGCTGAGCGCGCGAAGGCGCGGATATGCGCGAATGAAAGCCATGAACGAGGGCTTCAAAACAGATATAGGGTCGATGGGGTTCAGATGCGAAATGGGCTGGTGAAAGTGCGAAAAAGTGCGGAGGTGCAAGAGGGAGGAGGAGGAAGGGGTTTGGTGCAGGGCAACAAGGACTGGTCCTATCAAGAAGCTGATTGGGGCAATGGACAGAGCCACTGGGGGATGGTAAATGGCCAAAAGAGCTAAATGAGACAGGCCTTTGTGCACCCAGAGAACCCTTATCTCCCCTCAACTTCTCAAAAACACCAAAAACTCGATATCTCCACAACTACTGCTCCAATTTCGATGAGCCAGGACTCAAAATGACCGGACGGGTGAGGGGAATACGACCCTGATTTTGCGAGAGATCCACTCGAAAAACGCGTGAGAAAAATGCTTATCAATGCGCTGGGGAGGAGGAGAAGATGCTGAAACTTGGGAATATGGGAGAAGCTGGTAATGAATGACTGTGGTGGGATAATAGGCGAATTTGGGGGATGATTGGAGAGCTGGAAGAGCCTAGAAACACAAGAAACCCTCGCGGTGGGCTCCAGTTGAAGGTACAACAATTCAGATGGTGAGTCTGAACAATGTTGGGTCTTGCAGAACCTAGCTGCTATTCGACCCTAAAGGGTTTCTGGACTAGGCTTAAGGCTCAGAGGAGAGGAAATATCATAAAAACTACTGAGGACTCTGACTCATACTGGTAACTGGTGAAAAGATTGATTGCTTATGTAAGCTACAAAAGTGCCAACATAAGGTAAGGTAAAAACAGTCTCTACAAGCCCAGCCAGAAATGAATCCCTACACCGGGTCCCGGAACTCGGAGGTCGGTACGGTTGACCCATATTTGGGTGGTTGGAATTTGGAGTCTCGTAGGGCAACACAAGCTTCGCACAGCCATGTCAGGAGATCACCTGCTGCTCCGGGAACTCGGTAACTTTGATTTATTACCTCCTCTGAGTACGGTTGACTCACATTTTGGTGGTCGGAACTTGGCTTCTCGTAGGGCAACACAAGCTTCGCATCCCGGATTCCACATTCTGCAAGACAACCTGTGCACCATCAAAAAGTATTAACCAACTTATGTGGTGAGTTCCGGGTCCCGGAACTCGGAACTCGGTACAGTTGACTCAAATTCTGGTGGCCGGAACTTGGCGTCTCGTTGGGCAACACAAGCTTCGCACTGCCATGTCAGGAGATCACCTGATGCTCCGGGAACTTGGTAACTTTGATTTATTACCTCCTCTGATTTGGTTGATGTACAACTACCTCAGCTCCATCATGTCTACAATTATGATACACATGGGCCCACCCATCTATATTGTATACCACCCTCGGCCCACCCATCTAATACAACATCCCATACAACACCCTCGGCCCACCGGTCTAATCAATATGCGTCTGGGCCCACCCGTATAATACAATATTTTATAATACCCTCGGCCCACCCGTCTAATTTAATATGTGTCTGGGCCCACACGTGAATGTGATAACAAGTACCTACCCATCTATCTCATACACATCTACCTTAATACACCCATCTGCATAATATCCAGCTACCTCGGCCCACCCGTCTACCTAATATTCATTTACATCGGCCCACTCATCTACTCTATATATTCCCTGCATGGGCCCACCCGCCTCCATCGGGAATAATTTGCCTCCCGGCCCATCCGTCATAGTCGAGAATATTTTTATCATGGGCCCATGGTCCGCTGGCCCGTATCATACGGGATATTATGCACGTCCGTTCCCTCGTATTATATGGAGATAGGTCACTGTAGTATGTGTCAATATCGGGTTGTTCTGCTGCTACCACTACTGCTGGTGGGGAACCGCATTTCATTTCATGCCTATGCAGATGCCTCTCTGGCTCTCAGTAGCTGAGGTGAACGAGCTCACAGCCGATCACTTCAAACAGCAGGTAAGTGATTTTCAGTCTTGTCCAAATTATAATTGCATTGACACACCATTAGCCAGCCTTAGGTTTGCTCCTACTGGAACCGATTACTCATCCGCGGATGGATGATCCGCTCATTCAACAACTTCATGTTCTACTGGACTGAAGTCGCCCGGCTAGGTCTAGACCTCGGACAAATGCTGGTTGCAAAACTCGAAGCCACGGGAGCGGCGGTCGATGCAATGAACCTGTCTTGAACAGCCTCTCGACGAGGTTTATGACGCCATGGCTGCCTCTCAAGCGGCAGTGGATGTGTTGGCGGAAGATTATAACAATGGCCGGATCAGAACATCTACCCGCGGAGATCCATTTCCTGAATTGCATCCCTTTGTGCGCAAATGAATGCAGCCGCAATGTCCAATAGTTACAGAAGCGAATTGATATATCTAGCAGATGAGTCTGGTATATGTAAATATTACATGAGTTATGTCCAGTAGATACCTGTGTTGTACAATTTGATGACAAATGGCATTGCCGGACACTAGAGTGTTTTGATATTACATGTATATCATTGCTGCCACTAGGTTTGTTACATCATAAGCAAGGAGGCTGCTCGGCAAATATTCACTTAAGACGCAACCCTTGCTGACACACCATACCCTTTGTCTCCATCATGATATCCCATGAGTATTGGGTGGCCTACCATGAGAAACTGGCTGCCCTTGATCTCGACACTCACCTGACATCATTCATTCCGCAGGATTGGGCTCTCAATGCTGTCGACATAGCTAGCGAATGGGTGGAGCAGCAGTTCGCAGCTCATGTTGCTGGCAGACCCCTTGTTCCTGCTCCTCCGGAACTTGATCCAGAAACCATGCTGGCATGCGGACAACTTGCATTTGTGCTTGCAGAGGCATATCAGCATCCCAGTGAGTTCAGCGCTATATCGTTATATAATTATCCTGACGTGTGAAGTCAAACTGGATATTGATATCATCCGGTACAATCAGGTATTGACCAAATGAGAGTCGGGACTGAATGATGCTCGTGAAGAAGCTTTGTTGGCAAAGTTCCCTCCCGCTGAGCGCATTCTGTTGGATCACCCATTGGTTGTAATTGACGCTGGTTGCAGAATTATACTTTGGTATCTGCCAGGTGCACTGAACTGGTCCCTGCAGGTGAGCGTAGGCACGCAGAGATGTCCGATCACACTGACCAACAACAAACAGCGTGATATGTTTACTGCCACAGTCGGTATGGGCAAGCTGTTACAACAAAGCATGACCACCAGCAAGATATCGACCGGAAAGACGACAAAATGGAGGACAAACACTTCGTACTTTCACCCATCAAAAGAACCCAGTCTGATACCCGGGTGTATCAATCTTTCGCCTTGCTGGTTTCAACAGGGGCATGAGGTGAGACCCAGCTTGCCCAAATCATTGAGTACTGAACACAGGCAGTGTCAAGGCCGGCCGCCGCAGAATCCATTGGATGGGTTTATTCCGGAAGTCTCTTCCACCTTGAAAGGGCGATAGCGGCCTGTCATCGATTATAGATATGCAGCGTCCGGCTCTCTTGTCATCAGCTGCCCTTCAGGTCATGCACCCACAACTTTACTGGGCATCAATGTCCACTCACGTGGCGCTTGGGCATTGGGCCGCAGCGCATGGTGAAGATCAGATGTACCAATGTCTCCAGCATTGGGCATCAGCATATTCCGGTGCTTCAATTGTTTGTAACAGGCAATCACCCGGTCATCGTGATCCCAAATGTCCTCCAGAAGGATTTGACATTCTTACTTGCATAGGAAGCTATAAACATGTGGTGATGAATTTGACAAACTTAGGCATCAATTTGTTATACAATCCGGGAGTCATGGTAAGTTAGTCTGGCCGGCTTGTGAGGCACGGTGTCTGGGTGGGAGATGGTGACAGAATTGTGTGGGCATGGTTTATGCAGGACAGTGTGCACAACTATGCCGGAACCCCACGTACAGAGTTCGCAAAATACAGCCTGGCTGACTTTGCCACATACCACCTCACTAGATATAATCAGGCTGATTTTGTTCGATACTGATCATGATCATGTCGGTAGTTCTTACATTACTTTCTTAGCCTCGGTTGGTTATCGATTCTTTAGTTACTACATTGTTGCCAGGGCATGATCCATAGGCTGATGTTTGAGCAGCTATCACATCGGGGTGAACGATATTTAAAAGAGGTTTATATGTTGTACAAAATGTGAAAACAATATTTGATATTTAAACTAACATAAAGATGGGTGCATGACTTCAAATTTTGGTGGTGTTTTGTGTGTCATCCAAAATATCAAATATTCACGACCATATTCCCACAGACAATATGTCAACAAATATAATAAATATAATCAGATTTTCCATGTCTGCTTCAATTTAAAGTTTGCTTCTTACATAAAACTTTGGAGAAAACTTGAAGTTTTGCCAAAGCTTGACATTTAAATTGAGTTTTAATGTCATGTCATCTGTAAAACTTCAAGTTTTCTCCAAAGTTTTACATGGAAATTGAACTTTAAGTTGAAGCAGACATGAAAAATCTGACTATATTTCTTATGTTTGTTGACATATTGTCTGTGGGAATATGGTTGTGAATATTTGATATTTTGGATTACACACAAAACACCACCAAAATTTGAAGTCGTGCACCCATCTTTATGTTAGTTTAAATATTAAATATTGTCTTCACATTTTGTACAACATATAAACCTCTTTTAAATATCGTTCACCCCGATGTGTATCTGATGTAGATACTGCATTGATTGTAATGTAGGTCAACTCACAATCATTGATCCGGGAGCTTAGTTCGATGGAACACGTTCATCCGACATGACAATTGGCCACAGCCGGTCAATTGTGTTTATATAGGGGAATATATGCAACGGTTGGCATCGGCCCAGCAATGAACATTACCCGGATACATTGTCGGTGCGCTTATACAAGTTCTTCATTGGCCAGGTCACTCTCGGCAGTTGATATAATTACAATTACAATCTCTACTTGTACCGTCACCCAGCATGGGACGCCTATTTATGTAGCCCGGCCATCCCTTTCACAAATTGCAATCATGTTGTCCAGTTGTTCCATGATCCGACGCTGGACATTAAGGAAATAGTGAATGGTTGCAACGTCCCCACTTAATTCTGTCACTTTGATCACTGTGTCCGCGTATGTCCCCAGAACATTTCGGTTTGCCATCTGCGTCACTGCTGGCGTCTGGTCACGGTCAATTTTGTCGGTTGGCAGTATGTTGTTCAGGTAAGAATTTGCTGCCCATTGTGTTAATCGTGAGCAATGCCACATAAAGATACTCACCATCCTCATGCCAAATACTGCGTAGGCTTCTGATGGCATGTCGCATAGAATGTTCTGCATGTTGGAAGACATTGTGTTCATTTCCTGCATGCCTGCCGGGCATACCTGCACGGCTTCAAAAGTCATCATGCAGACGTGTGGAGTACGACTTACCTACTGCATCCCATCCGCAATCATACGGATCCTCGGCCACCAATGGGTTTACATCAGATTCCTGACACAAATTCATCTTCTGGCAAAGATGAAGATGAGGAACCTCAGACTGGCATCGGGGGTGATCCTGCACCCCCCCTTACTTCACTATTAGCCGATATTCCAATTCAAAATGCCACTGTCGGCATGCTTGTTGAGGCACTCTCAAAAGTTCTTCAAGCTCAGTTGCAGATAACACGCCCAGGGGTAGCTCAATCGAAATGCAAAGCCCATGAGCCCCCTGTTGAAAATTTCACTGATGCCCAGCACCGAAATAATAAGGTATGTTATTCCCTGACAGAAGTGACGTTGCTGATGACACATCGGGCCAATGTTTGGGAGCTATTTCACATGGTGTTCCATTTTGTGAAAGATGACGAGTACATGCTTCACATCACTGCATCGCATGAAGCCATATCGTCTTTTACACACGGACCGGGCACAGGCCCTGACCCTCTCGATTTGCACTGGGATATGACGACTACACATAACTCCAAGTGGAACAAAAAAGTAATTGATATTCTCTGCTCCCAGTATACTTCCATGTATCAAAAGGACCAGTTGCCCTCAAGATCCTGTCAGTCCATTATATGCGATATCAGAAAAAAATTCAGTCAATGCCGCAATTTCTGGAGAAAAGCCCAGCCTCATATGCTCAGCAACGGCACTCGTGAGACTATGCAAGAAGTAGGAGATCGACTCGTGAATCAGACCAACGAGCGATTGCAGCTCACTAGGGTTCTCACTCGCAGGGTGATGGTCAGTCACCTTTTGTTGTGCCTTGAAGAGTCGAAGAATGATGAGTTACTTCTCAGAAGTTCGAGACTCGCAAGAAGGTCACATTGGCCCTGCTAAGCGACAGGATAGCAACTGGAAAGGACGACCAGGCTGTATGGGCATATTTGCAATCTCTTGTGGAGACTCTCAGCAAAGATGGCACGAGCTCTGACAAGAGTGAGCATGAAGACGGCGAAGTTCAGGTATTTCGGGTGAAGAAAATGCCATGGAGAGCAAATGTCAGTCATGAGATGCACATCATTTATCAACAGCGGTTGGCAGGTGCCGCGAACTTCACTCCCGTGGAAGCAAACCTGCAAAGCGTTTTTGCAATGCAAACCGGGAGTCTTCTCGCCCGGCAATTGAATGTCTGTCTGCCAAGGGCGTTATACAATCCATCATGGTTGAACGACCAACCTCCTGTGTTCATAGTTTCTAACAAAAAGTTTCAGAGGATGGAAGTCATCGTTTCCCGCCAGTGATCATGAAATCTAGTAGCTGTGGTTTGTACGATACTCGCGATGTGCCTTAGCTGGACTTGTGTGACGTATTATACTGATAGACTCCTTGTATCAGCCTCCTTCTATCCCCTTGTACTATGTAGGTCATGTCTATCTAGGCTGCCCATTGTTCTAATGCCTAGCCTTTGACGTTGTACACCCTCTGACATTCCGCAAAGTCTTTCAGGTCATTTTCTTACGGTCCTCTCTGTGTCAAATGAGTCTATATAGTGTTCATTGCACTTTGCAGACTAGATCTCTCCGGCGTTGACCGTCTTGACCGAACTCATTTAATCAGCAACATTGTTGTTGGAGATGATCTTCAGACTCAGGTCGTTATCGCGTCTGGGGCCTTGCCCTCTCTTCCCCAGACGCGATAACGACCTGAGTCTGAAGATCATCTCCAACAACAATGTTGCTGATTAAATGAGTTCGGTCAAGACGGTCAACGCCGGAGAGATCTAGTCTGCAAAGTGCAATGAACACTATATAGACTCATTTGACACAGAGAGGACCGTAAGAAAATGACCTGAAAGACTTTGCGGAATGTCAGAGGGTGTACACACTCTGAAGGTGAACACAGTCTTTGGCCTGTTAAAAGATGCAGGGAAAAATCTGTGTCGAAACATTTGAATGTCCGGACTCATGGCATTCGGACATTCACAGCATCGAACCTCCAGGCGATGAACTCCGGACTTGTCCACGATGACCATGGTGTTTTCCTTTGGCTGGAACTCGGGTCCGGACACAAATGGCAGATCTTCAGGCTTGAGCAGGTCTTCGGGTTCATCTTCTTCAAACAAATCCCACCGATCGGTGACCGCCGGACATTGTTTGCCATCATGGCCAAGGTATATAATGAGTCCCACATGAGCTAGACAACTCCGCTTGAAGAATCGCCCATTCCATTGACTGATCCAGTGGAAAGGATTGCTATGATGTTGACTCCTGCAACAGCCCGTGCAATAAAGTGGCTCGCCAAGACAATCTTGACATTTGTACACCCCATCCTGTTGGCAGATGATGCATCTCCTGTCTTCGGGTGGAGCTTCTCGATCGAGGAGGTGATGTAGATATGATTCCTGCCTTGGCAGCCATTGCCTGAGGTAGTCATTTTGACTCTGTATTTTGAATGCTTAGCCATAGTTTGAATGACACTCCAACATTGTACATGAACTTGCCATGGTTTTTGGGAGTTGCAAAGGCTCAAATGAGCCTTGGTCCTGCTCGTAAGTATTGTCAGGAAAGTCTTCCCAAGGAGGCGGTGCCTCAACAGGCTGAATTGTTGGTGATTCCAGGGGAGAGTTAGGCATGGACCTGTAGGCATGTCGCCTCGTGCTTGCAAGTGGGACCTTGACCCAAGTCTTCCTACCTTTGCTGCCCCTTGCTTCCACCCTGTGAGATTTTTGCACTGGGGTGCATCTACCTATCTTCATCTTGTTTATTAATGTTGCAAGCAAGGCATCAGCTCAGGTGTAATGAATTGTTATTGCAATATGATGCGGTGCAGTCCTGTTGGCTCATTACAAATTCATTTCCATTAATGGCTCAGGGTCCAATATGGGCTGATTAACCTATCATTAGGCTTTGCTCAAAGTTCAACTTCGCACAATTCATTAATACTTCCACCTTGCAAATCCTTAGCCATTTATGCATTTTGATTCACTATGGCAAGAACAGGTCATTCCACCAACACGACTTCCGGAAAACACAGGATGCGTCAACCACAGTCTCAGAAGCTCACGGACAAGGAGATTTTGGAGTTGAAGAACTACCTTCCTGAGTAGACTGCTGCCACAAGGAGTGAGAAGCGAGCGATTTTCACTGCCATAGCAAGGGCGGCCAGGTTGTTTGCTCCTAAGTTGGACCAAAAACAATGGAAAAAGAGGAAGCAGGTGAGGCTTCTTTGTTGCGTTGAAAAACTAAATTTTTAATGTCACATTCTTTCATCAACTCTTAGGTGTACAAGACTTGGTTGTTCAACAACAAGAAAAAGAAGGAAAGGAAGGACATGATCAAGTATGGGAGGAAATGGACTCCCAGGATGGTGGTCTACCAGCAAAAACGCGAAGAGGTGCTGAAGAGGATTGACGACGAGTCCAGGGTAAAGCCAGGAGATCCTGGTATGTTCAAACATTATCAGGCGGCGGTGAAGAGAGTCATGGCTGAATTGGATGACGATGAGTTGGAGAAGGCTAAAGAAACAGCCAAAGAGTGGTCCAACAACTGTCCGCCTCCAGAGATACAAGCACAAGTCGCTCGTAAGAAGGGTCCGGCATATATGGAGCACTTTTCGAATGAGATGTGGAGGCAATGTGGGATGAGAGTGTTTGTGATGTCGGCTTGGAAGAATGAAAAGGGCGAGGTGCTGTTCGGGATGTGAGTACATTTATCCATCGACGGAGATTTTTCGTCTCAAAATATTCATGCAGGCATGATGATAATGAGGCCTTAGGAGATGGGGACAGCTTCATGAAGACGAAGGACTGGGAGGACATTGAGCCAGTGTGGCAGGAGTACGCGCAGGAACAGTTCAGTGAGTGTGTGAACCATGTATACCAGATTGAACATATTGAGCATCACAATGATAGGTGCCGGGGCACGGGATGGAGGATGTCAGGTCAAGGGAGGTCGAAAATAAATTCAAAAACCAGCCTTCGAACTCGAAATGGACAGGGAGGGTATGCCACTCCTTCCGGACATCACCGACACCAAACTTGAGGAGAAGAAGGCCATAGTAAGGGCCTTTCTTACATCGCACTATCGTGAGTTTGTCGTCGCATCACCTGACAAATTGTTCAATGCATGGACAAAGGGATATGCTCCGGGAAGGACAAGGCGGTTGTGCCATGGAGTGCCATTGTACAAAGTCAGGATGACTTCGTGGCCCGGACGTATCTTCCGGCGGATGTTGACTTGAAGGAACCTTCGAAGCTGCAAATTTGGGACACCACTACCTTGCTCCAATTCTGGCTCACTCGGCAAGAAACAGGTGAAGGGCCCACATTTCTGTTCAAAGCATGGAAGAACAAAGATGGGGACATGGTACCATCTGTCATATCTGGCAACTCGCCCTCTCCTCAGACTCATATAGTGAGAAGGCAACAAAGGGTTACCATCCGAAGGCCTCGGGAGTCATCGACAGAAGCCGAGAGTGATAAGGAGAGTGCCACTCATCATATGGAGCATAATGTGGATGATGACCTGGCTGACGGGAGACCTCCGCTGGAGAAGCCCAGGACGGGAGGTCCTACACCCAGAGGGCCGGCAGTCCCACATTCAATTCCAAAGCCTCGCCCGGCTAAGCTGGCCAAAAAAGGTGCATTACTGACATCATGAATGGGAGACCTCCTTGCTGGGTTAACTGACGACGCGACGGGCGAGGTTAGAGATGATGTTGAGATGGAAGAGAGTATCACGCCGCCGGCACAGAAAAGGAGGCGGGGCACTCGAGTCACTGTTGAACCATCCACGAGGACAACCCGGAGTAAGTTGCAAATGCCAGTAGACAGTACACCTAGAGTAACCAGAGCACGGGGACGCACTTAATGTACATATATCTTCCTGCCCTCATGTGTAATGTCATATGTGCTATTATGTATATGTCAAAGTACTAACAATCAAATTGTAATTGCCAAATGCCAATTCTCGAGTACCAAGGCCCGAGTACCAAACCCCGAATACCGAACCCCGAATGCCGGTCACCGAGTACCAAGGCCTGAGTACTGAACACTGAGTACCGAACACCGAGTACTGAGCCCCAAGTACTGAGCCCCAAGTACCAAGCCCTGAGTACCAAGCACCGACTACCAAGCCCCGACTGCCGAGCACAGAAAACCTGGCAGCGAGTACTGGGTAGGTAGAGTATACAAGTACCAAGGACTACCTACTGAGTAGTACTGCAATGTGTCTACTATGAGACATTGATCCATATTTACATGTTACTTGAGTCCTCAAAGGCCTCAATGAGGGTATCTAATACCTTCAGCATTTCGGAGGTTGACTCCCTTACCCTTTGCATCCTCCGGAGGTCAGCATCTGCTTTTCGCAGCTTGTCGCATGTTTCAGCCCATGCCACCCTGAATGGTCTGTCAGCCTCAAGAATTTGGGCTACTGTAGGGGCAGGAAGATTTCCATGATGCTGTTCATAATCTCCCAGGTGATCTACAATTGATTGAATTTGCAGGATATTCGCAGAGATAAATAATCAACTGTTGTATACTTACTTTCAGCTTGATCATAAGATCCGATTGGCATGAACTCCTGAACCATGGCACGCAGTGCTTCATTGTTGAGTTCCGGCTTGGGCGATTGACGTTCGGGAGTTTCTGACATAGCTTAGGAGATAGCATGAGTAAATCACATGAAATGATATGAATATACATACCTACAAGATATGGGTGCACCTGGTACACCCGGAGTGGCCGGATAGGGCTCCGGAGTTGATTCATTCACTGGGGAAATGCCATGAAAGGTGACCATGGGATTGAAAGAGTAATCTCACCAGCCATAGGAAAATCGGGTACAACCGGAGCATCATCAGACGAAATCAAGGTATCCTCCGGACCAAGATACAAGTCCGGGTCATTGTACAGGGCCAGTCCATCTGCCAGAGCCAGAGATGACAGATCTGGACATATGTGATGAATTTGCACATGTAAAATATGTACATTTGAATTGGAAAACATACCGGGAATCACATTCAACACATCCAAACCACCGGACGACCCAGAATCAGAGTCTAACCTATCATCCAGCCCAAGGTATATATCATCTAATGGATCTGAACCATGTCAGATCAATTGACTGAAATCAGAAAAAACAAAACATACCAAGGGACATCTGGGACTGGGAGGACTCATCCACATCCATTGAAGTAAATTCAGTGACCGGAGGGTCATGAAATCTGACCCCAGGTTGAGAGCTCATGATATCTGATGAGCTGATGCACTGATGAACTGATTGATAACTGATAACGTTGAAGTTCAACACATGGCCAGCAATTGCCGGAAGTTGAACCATGACCAAACAAACACAAACAATCAATGAATTTTCAACATCGTCCTTCAATTGTATTGTTTCTTTGAAACTTCATTCTATTGATAACAGATTTCACCCTGCTTTCAACATTCTCACATCTGTCAACTCCATCCAAATGTCTACTCAAGTTCAATCTTCATTCCCAGTGAAAACCGGACAGTGCGGGAACATGTGAGAGCGTGCGAGAGTGTTACGCATAGTGCCATATCATGTAGATCTGGTTGATAGCAAATGATGAGTATTTTCTTGTGAGCGCAGCGCATGCAAACACATGAACTTTGCACAAACCTTGCGTGAATCCTGCTTCCCTCGCACTTATTTTGCATTTGCATGAGTTCCGTAATATTTACATTTGCTATCTATATGCATGTCACTGCAGTGCGCGAAGTAACAAAACCTTTTCAAATCTAAAGTCCGTCTTCATGTCATCAACACCCCCGAGTCTCTTGTTCCCTTACCGTCGTGTTTCCCCATACAACAACACCGCAGGCAGCTAGTAATCCGCTCGAGTCCTAAACATAAACACTTAAGTTTCTTCAATGGCAGCACCCTGACTCAGAGCATTTGCCTTAGTAAGTTCTGTCAACAATATTCAAGCCAATATATTATTGAATACTATGGGACTGGGTGCATATATGCGCAATTGCTGCTGTCTTTCTAGTACTCCTACGGGTCAGGCAACAATACAGGTGAGTCATTGTGATATCTGCAGCATCAGCTTGCTATTCTTGATACTGCCATTGATATATGTTCCCTCAGACCTCTTCACAATCTTCTATTCTCCAGGCGAAGGTCCAGTGCCATTCATGTACTCCACAGAGGCATTCCCTCTCTATCCATGATAACGGCATGTCCTTTGCTACTGCGACCACCTGGTTCTGGAACTTCATTCTCTCAATCACTTGGCCTTCGCTCGTCTTGGCCTTCAAACAACAAGGTGCCTTCAGCTGGTACGCAGCATGGTGCTGTCTTCTCTGGGCACTCATCTTGTTATTCGTGCACGAGACAAAAGGCAAGACCCTGGAGGAGCTCGACCAAGTTTTCACTGTCCCCCTTGGCATGCACGCTGCATATGGTCTGCGCCAGATACCCTACGGTATCAAGATATTCGTGTCGAGCACCGGGGGTGGCGAGAATGCGAAGAGTGTTTCATACCATTCCAATGCATTGTATTTGTATTTTGTACTATTAATAGTAGTGATAGCAACTTGAAGCAATATGATATGAACCGTTCTCGCATGATATAAACCATTTGTAAGGAATGCGAGGGAGTGCCACATCGTGCAGAAAGAACTTGAACGACTCTCGCACGACGACGCACGATATGGACTCCTTTTACATCGTGTATTTGTCCGGATTTCTTGTCGAGATCGTGCGAGGGCGGTTTCAGCTGGCGGTGCACGATGTGGCACGCTCTCGCATGTTCCCGCACTGTCCGGTTTTCACTGGGCTTCATTGGCCAACCTCAAGGCATCCACTGCTCAACTTGTGGGCATCATTGCCGGCGCCCAGCACATCCCGGCCAGCTCAGTGGACGTCCACCTTGTTCTAACAAAGCAGGTGACCACTCTTTTGGTATGTTGAACTCATTAAATTAGTGTAACATTAATGTTTGTAATGTCTGGGTAGGCTGACATCATCCGGGCCCATGAGAAAGGGGAATACATCCCTGGAATTGTGGCGTCCTGCTCTAAGGAGCTGATGAGGGTGCGTTCCACGACTCCCTGGGCATTGCCCAACTGGCACAGCATTGGCCATGATGACCCCCGGGTGGCTAGACATGCCTGGCACAAGCAAGTCCGTGCCTGGGAGGCATTGGGTGACAATTCCTGTGATCTCCCTGTTGTCCCTAATGTTTCCACTGGCCCACTCACTGTCAACCTTCCATCTCCACCTGTTCCTTCACCTGCACCTGTCCCTTCCCCCACCCCCGTCATTCCCTCACCTCCGGTCGTCACCGGACCTTCCGGCAAGACGACCCCCGAGGTCTGGGACAAAGGAAAAGGTAAGGCCACCTCCGTTGACCTGTCACCGGAAGTTGGGGGGAGCAACAAGAGGAAGTCTCCAATGATTTCTGGACACTCCTCCCAACCTCCAAAGTCAGCACTGAAGGCTCGCAAGCATGTCAAGTCAAGTCAACTCCCCAAGTTGAAGCTGTTTGTGGAGTCGGAAGATGATGAAGACCCAATTGTTCAGGTATGTGTTCTGGCTGATTTTTGACATGCTCTCAATTTGTTGCAGCCGATTTCGCGTGGAGTGCCGGAGGTCGTCCTTCCCCAGCGCACCATTGTGGTAAGGAAGCCCCAGTCGCCTCGGTCACCCGGTTCCCCCAAGAAGCAATCATTTGGGCCTGCTTCAGTAAGTCTGCGTTTTTTGTTTGGACCTTAAATATATGCTCATGTGTCCACAGCTGACTGCCGGCAGTCGTCCGGAGGTTACAGTGAGTCGGTAGGACGAGCCAAGGTGACTCTATGAAAGATGCACTGTAGTGTGGCGATGGCTGCTACTACAAGGCACTGGCGCTACCTCTAAGACTCTACCAGGACCTTTGACACCTCTAATGCCCCTGACACCTGCAACACCTCCTGCCTATGCACTCCTTGCTCAGCTCCTATGCAACCCCTACTGACACATATACCCCCCCAACAAATGCGACACTCCTGGGTCGCGTCTCTGAACGGCGTGTCTAACGCAACCGCTTCTAGAGGAAACGAAGGTTGGTCTTGAAGAGTGTACACCATCCTCGCATCTTCGCTCGTCTCTCCTTCCAACGTCTTGATGCTCACCCCTCCCTCCGTCGTTTCGCCACTCGTTTCTGCCGCTCTGCTGTCCTTTACTTCTTTCTGCAGCTCAGCTAATGCTGTTCCAGACCGAGGTATGAAATGGCGCAGGCGTCTGGCATGGTACCAGCCTGGCATTGGAAACCCTTCGAGGGTGGACAGCGCATATGAATTGCTGCGTTGCGAAACGACGCGTCGTGGTGCAGACCACCGAGGCACGAGTTTTCATGAGGATTTGAAGGTACTATCTAACTCATTAGCGTAGACTTGAACTGACTGTCCTGGGGCAAACACGACTTCACCTGTTCCAGATAATAAGACCTTTCAATCGAACTTGAGCTTGCATTTGATGGCGTGGATCGTGGTGTGGAACTGTGAGTCCAAACATTGTTGTGCCACATAGGCTGAGTGAACGTCGACGTCACTTTGTGACAGTGCTGAAGCTGTGACTTGCGATGGTGTGATGGTTGTGTTGATAACCAACCCCAACAACAACTCTTTCGGCAAGTACTGGAATGCGGGAATGGTGCGTTCGTTGAGGTGTTGGATGGCTGCTTCGAAGTGATCTGGCCAGCTAGCTGGAATTTCGTCCAGGGTTGCTCCTGCGCTGGACTCGTCTTCTCCCAACTCTGGTGTGCAGGCTCGACGCAATCTCCCCAACAACTTGCTGCCAGCCAATCAGTTTCGGCCCAAGAGAATATGTCGGAAGGATTGGCCGTTGGCCCAGCTGATACAGGAAGGGCCAACTGGTGTTTTCTCAAGCCCATCCGAGATCATGTACGCATTCTCCTGGGCCGAAAAATCACCAGTCGGCCCTTCCTGTATCAGCTGGGCCAACGGCCAATCCTTCCGACATATTCTCTTGGGCCGAAACTGATTGGCTGGCTCTTCCGATATCAAATCCCAACCATCCGCACTTCCGAGATCACATGCTGGGCCCAACATTACTCGCTTGGCCCAACTGCCAGTCCTTCCAAGTATTCTCCTGGGCTGAAAACATACCTAGTTGGCCCTTCCGACATCAACTGCATGTTTTCTCGAGCCCATCCGTTGGCCCATCCGAGATCATGTATGCATTCTCCTGGGCCGAAAAATCACCAGTCAGCCCTTCCTTCTGACATATTCTCTTCGGCCGAAACTGATTGGCTGGCTCTTCCGATATCATATGCTGGGTCAACACAAAACCTACTGGTCAGCGCTTGGGCCCAAAATCACTAGCAGAGCCCTTCCGAGATGACATGGATATAGAATATCCAGCTGGGCCTATCTGTTCTTCCTTCCAAGACATATATACAGGGCCCATCTGTCACTCTCAGTACCTGTATCCCAATACAATCGGCCCGCTTATCCTATTGATCTCACACTTGGCCGACCCGCCAGCATGGGTACTATTCCAAGCTGTGGGCCCATCCGTGATCAGCTATGCTTGGGCCCACATTGGATGGCCCGCCTCACTGGGTCGATTCTCAACCTTTGGCTGTCCGACTAAGTCGGGAAATGTTACTGAATGGGCTCGCTTCATCAACTTAATGTGCTAAAACTGATGAACCATCCACATGAATTCTTTATACCGACTCTGTGACTAGGTCAATATTTGTAAGACGTAGGCTGTGTGGTCACGTACCTTAGGTATTTTTAAACGCATGTTGTCAGTGAGTCGTTCTAGACTGGTATAGAACTCGTAGCCAGATACTTTGCTTGACCACGTCAGAATGAGGAAGAACTCCAAAACCCGTTTTGTGCAGGCACTTTGAGGATAATGTAAGGTAGCTGGATACCACTCGCAACATAACAGTTGCTGGCGATGAGAGACTTGCTGATGGCAGCCACAAAAATCAATGTTTACATGGTGGATTCCATTGGTGTGAATAACGACGAAGGAGTTATGCCCTCTTTGCAGACACAAACATGGCATTCCTTCGTGTCCGAGTTGAACTCTCAACCCTATGTCAGCCAAGGCAGTGCAGCTCAAAATAAGTCCCATTCCATTTCTGCCCATCGTCAAAAACATACTAATAGAGTCAGAACTTTGAAATACTCACCTTAATAATATGTAAAGGATAATGTGCGTGCCTTGATAAACAACAATACTTGCACAAAATATCCGGTCCATAGCAATCTTCGCAGCGATATAGTCGTTCTTGTATGTCGTTGTCGATATCACTGCACGAGCACGGCGTCGTCACCAAGGTACCACGACACTCCAGACGTAGCTCTTCTAGAAGATATTCTTCATGGAATCCGGTATGCACGCCGAGCCCCATCCATTCATGCAAAGGTGCGTCCTAATAAAGAGATAAGTTTTTGAAGGGGAAATTTATTGAAATCGCACCGAGTTCACATAATGTTTCGCTGGTACCTTGCCCACTGTGACGGGTCGAGACTCGACCTCGTCGAATGCCAAATCATCGCCGAGTGTTGGCTCCCAAGGATCTGTCTCCCAAGTGTCTGTTTGCAGGGGCCAAGCTTGGTCTTCCGGCAAATTTCCTGCCCTCACTTTTGTTGGAGAACAGGGTACGATAACTTGCCTGCGACCGCTAGTTGACACCTGCTACCATCCTCGCATAGGCTATTGTCGTATAGTTGTCTGAGTCAGACTCGTCATGGTAAACAATGTATTTTCTTTTCTTTGACATGAATAAGCTCGTTTGAGGGTAAAATAATAGAACTTACCAGAATATGCCCGCTCCCGCGAATGAGTCCCTCCCTCCCTCGAGTTGTAGTGCTTCAAAAAAGATGCACGTATGAAAGAGGGTGTCAGACGATCACTTTGGTAGATACATTAATATAATAGGAAATACCTGGTCGATTCATCGCTCATTCAGTTACTTGCATAAATAAACCAAAAGACCTGTTAAAAGTCTGCAATTGAAATTTTGAGCTTGAATCCAAACCTTCAGACATGTCTACTGCTACTATGCCTCCACCCTCACCCAAGATGTCCAGCGCTCCTATGCCTCCACCCTCGCCTGACAGTCCGCACAACGTCAGCGATGTCTTCCAGTGTGGACACACAGACATTACACTTCAAAGTGTCTGTGGTCAGTGCGGTCATTGAGTGGCTTGAATCTGCATGCCAGACTGCTGTGGTGAGTTTAATTTAGCACCGACAGAATCCACCACTCACTTGCTTGTTAGTTAAGCTTGTAGCAATTGCCATCGTGGATCTATTGGCCTAAAAATTCAACGAAGAATGAAGCTTTCCGCCGTATGATCCATCAAATTATTTGGGAGGAAGCAGAGGAGGATTACAACGCACGGCTTCAAGCATATGAGGCTGCTGTAGCTGCAGCCACTGAAGGCACTGAGACTACAACAGATCAAGCTGCTTTGTACTCCGGCGTGGATGAGTGATAATGTACGTTGAATCTTCTTAAATACATTGAAATGACTGTTGAACAATTCATCAAGTTCAGTGTCTGTAGCGTCGAAACTCAAAACTTTGTATTTCTCACTTACATAATAAAACTTCTGCATTGCACCTATAATATGTGTGAACAGTGACATTGTGTCTTAAAAGATAAAGAATGAACCTTCGTTATCTGACAGTGCTTGATATTGTATGTGGTCGATTTCTTTTGAGATGGATTCCAACGATGTTTGTGCGTTGTAGACTTGGATCATGTACAAAGTAGTTGATTACATAATGAATGTTGAACTCCGAGTGATGCATCATGTACTTATGTGTGGCTTGTGTGTTAGCACAGTGCTCATATATGTGAATGATATTGATGTTATTTGCCATATTCCTTCGTTATCTGACACTAATTAGTTAGCTGATGAGCCCATGAGCCACTGTGCGTTGTGAATGCATGATCGAACTTGCTGCATGCTGACTGGACTCCGAGTCAGCCCAACTTGGGTTATGGTCCTACCATCCATTCAAGATCGCTGAAGCATGGGTCAAGTTAGCAGTCCTACCATCAAATAATCAAGATTACACCTGGTATGTAGTTCCAAGTCATTAATTAATAGTATTTCATTGATTTGAGCAATCGTGTATTGGGAATGCACAATCGAACTCGCATGCTGAGCTTAGGCTCCTGGCCGGATTATGGTCCTACCGTCGAATCAAGATCACTCAATTTCACCATCATATCATCAAGATCACACCTGGTAAGATAGCTCCAAGTCATTGATCAATAGTAGTTCATTGATTTGAGCAATCGTGCATTCAAGGGAATGCACAATCGAACTTGCATGCTGAGCTTAGACTGGCCCAGTTATGGTCCTACCATCGGATCAAGATCACTGAAATATGGGCCTATGTGGCAGCGAGTCAATTTAAGGTAATTAAATTCCTTATATAAAGGTGCTACATTCATTTCCTTGTATTCATGATCTTTCCTCATGGTTCGCCCCACCATTCATCACACTGTTGCAGCCAAACAGCAGGCATCATGGGATAAATGCAAAAGATACTATGAAAAGTAAGTTCAACTATTATTACTGCCTCTCTCCCTGCAACTGAAGTATTTAGACACAGAGACCTCATTTTATTGAGACGTCGTCTCTGTCGCACAAACAACACTCCTTCCATCACAGCCGAGTCTAACACGAATGTCCTAACGGACTTGGATGATGAGGTCGACTTTGACGCAATGTATGTCTTCTTTTCTCGATGATAATCAAGTTCCTTCTTTAATGATCTGCTGTAGTATCACTTTGTCTGATTGTTTGGGGCTCGTGCGTGATGCAAAGAATAAAGTCCTGGTAATTGTTCCTTCCAGGACACCTACAATATACGTCGAGGGCATCCTCCGCAAATACGCTATGTCATTGCGTGACAGTGTTGCTGGGGACATTGAGGTATTCAGGGAAGGGCTCACCATGGTCGAACCTTATTTGTTATGGGCACAGCAGGGGCAGGATAAAATTTTCAACATGTGTGGTGTATGTGACAAATGGCATGCTGCTGACGAGGTTTCCAGGTTCATCGGGCATCTGGTAGCTATGCTGGAGGATCTCTACAGACTAGCTCTTTTAGGTGATCTTGACGAGGCTTATTTACTTGGGGAAACAATGTACCAGAAGACCTTGGGACTGGAGGCTCCTGGAGTATAGCCACTTCACTTTTAGAATACAATGTTAATTCACTCATTGCCACAATCTATCAGCAAGCGTGGAACAAAATCAGGTTGGACAATTGCGTGTTCAAGTTGATGCGAGATACAAAAGTAAATCAACGTAACATGTATTCAAGCGACTCGATTTCTAGCCTAGCAATCCATCAATCAGCAAGTCTACTACTGCCGATTACACGTCCTCTTCGATGATGATACCTTTGCCTGAGTATCAGAGTGACCCCGTTTCTTGTTACCACCGGAAGACTTAGACTTCGATATAGAACAAATTGCAGTGAGCTGGTCCAAAACCCAAGTGACATCGTCTGCAGCATCTTCCCAGCAGGACTCTTCGTGCTCTTTGCCATTGGCACCGTCTGCCCACCATTTCAAGGTAGCTACAATTGACAACATGCTGTTTGTGCCTGGTTTGTTAAGGGTGTCCCAATTGCCATCATCGGTGCGAGGGAGAACTGCATGTGCCGTGAGTGTTGGCGCCTGACATTTTCTCCACTCCGGTTGAAGTGTCAGCCACCAGGACCACCATTGCGACATGAATGCGTCTAGATCGGGTATGGTTGGTTTCCCTTTACGTCTGCAGGAAATCCACCAGTGGACTTCGATTGGACGATGCTCGCATCCCAAGGCAGCTTTCTCATTCGCAAAGCTCGAGGCATCCTCGAGGCATACCAACTTTTCAAATAGCTGGATCAACTGGGGAGAAGCCGGAGCGGGATTCATCAACTGCTGGAATGGATTTCTGAACCATGGTGGGCTGAGCAGGAGTGCAGGTAAGTTGAGTGATAAGTTGCCGTCAGGAGATGCTGTACATGAGCCTGGATGATTAATGGTGCAAAAGAGAGGCATCGATTACATACTTGCAGTCCAATTTGAGTTACCAGTGCACTTGTCGAGATTCGTGTGAGGCGTGTCATGATCATCTGTAGCTCCTTCTGTATCCTGTTCGGCAGAGGGTATCTCACCCATATCGTGATCATTGACAGGCTCATGAAGATCTTGCCCAGCTGTTAATATTAATATGTCAGCATACTGAGCGCCAGCACTCACCAAGTGGAGCAAGTGGATGATTAACAGCCACCCCAGAGACACCTCTGAGACATGGATCAATCACGTTGTCAGCGAAAGGTGGGAGGGCAGTGATATTGTGAACGGGAGACTCAATTATGGTCGCAGATGTGATTGCTAAGGAGATATGAATTTAGTACGCTTGTATGTCAAACTAGATATCATATTTACCAGGTGGAACAGGAGGACGATCGATGATTATCTCGGCCTCATTAACGGGGGTGTTGGTTTTCTTGGCAAGCTTGTCAAATTCTTCGGTATCTTCCAGCATCTCAAACACAGCAGCTTCAGATGAGCGATCCAGCACTGTGGATGCCTGATCCGGCACTTCGGATGTCTGATCTGACACTTTGGATGTGAAATGGTTTCCATTGGGCACGAGATGGCTTCCCCTTGCGTTGAGTCGCCTGAGAGCTGCCTCTTTATGGCGTGAATTAAAGTGTGCAACACTGTAGTTTATTTTCTTTGGTGCAAATGGTAATTCCCTGTGGGTTTCTCCTTCGCTATCTGTAGAGATCGATGAAGCTGAGGATGATGAAGACGAAGATGAGCCGGAGGTCGGGGAAGATGATTTGGATGATGATTCGTCCATCTCAGAAGGTTTAGAAGGCTTCCGCCGAGAAGCACGACCTGGTTTAGTACCTTGCTGCCATGGCTTCACTCAGCAGGATCTAAATTTAGCTGCTGTCGGTTTATTCGTTTCACCACCTGTCTGATCCTCTTCGGCGTCGGATTGATCGCCTGCCTGCGAAATGGTGAACATGTTATTGAGATCATCTGGAAGGCGACGGGAATCGCAATCCTGTTTGGCTGACAGCGATTATCATAGAGTTAGATGATAGAAATGAAAAAAAAACATACTATAGGCTTGTGATAAATACTCTTGAAAATATTTAGTAACCATCTTGAACTTTTTCTGATCTCGGGTCTGCCAATTGCATGGTATGGGACCCAAATCAATGCCCTCATGCATACTTCCAGTGTGACGTTAGTCCTGTGTTAGAACAATATCAAAAAACATACCTGACGACAATGATTTTTCCTTGCTTCTGAGGTTCGGGTCCACCGACTAAGAGGGATACGTGCATGCCAAGAGTTGCGGACATACCAGCCAGAATCGGCCCAGCAAAACTTGCTAGGTTATCCAGGGCCCTAATCAAGTTGGTTCTCAATACAGATACAAATGAAGATATTCGAACACTTATGCTTGTCTGTCGATGGGAGATGTGGAAGGAGCAGCTTCGAGCTGGTCCTTCCATTCTTGGACTGCTGCTTTACCTTCGGCTTGCGCTTTATCCTTCCAGTCAGTCTGTTCTTCTTTCAATAGCTTTTTGAAGCACTTGCGTGTGATCTTGTCACGGAAGGCTGCCATCTTCTTGCTAGGTAGCCCAGCACTGCGCCACTTCCAGTAGAAAATGAGCCTTGATTTCGGTCCCGAAATGGTCTTTTGACCATCACTGGTGTGCTTGCAAGGTCTTCAGTTTGTTTCGTCGGACGCCAGAAAGTTGGCTGAGAAGCCGAATCCATTTGTTGTTCTCTGGCTTGCCATTGCGCACGAAGCAACTTCTTGGAGGACTTGGCACAATAATCTAGCCAGCTCTTGATGGCCTACTCAAGGGTTAAAAATTTTGTAGATAAATACATGTATAAACACTTACCTTCTGCATTGCAATAATCTTTTGCGATTTCTGCTTGAGTTCGACTGGGGACAGAGACTCGTCCGACTCTGTTTGTGATGGATCGTTCTCAGAAGGCTTGTCTGATACCTTCAACTTCCAGTGATATCGTTTGAAGTAATCTTTCACCACCTCATGTACATAATCGTTCGCTTGTGACTTTCCCTGATTGATGCACTCACGGTAAGTAGATAAATGATTGTTCAAAAAAGCCAGGCATGAGTTTTTTGCCCAGCTGCGAAACAGCTTTTCCACATAGGCATTGGGATCATCACTGTTTGTTCCAGGAGCTGGTGTAGGCGGCGCATCTGGGTCAGGCAATGGGGTGGGAAGTGGGTTGGATAGTGTCACTACAGGTGTGTTGTCTGGTACCGGACTGCTTGTTCTATGGGTTGAATAGTAAGTAAAAACCATCAGAAGTTGAACTGACTCACTCCATCCTTGTGAAATGCCTAGACAGTCAAGTATAGTCATGAAAATAGTATCGACTGACAGCGTTTGTAATCAAAGTACATACCAAATATGATATATGATATATATTTTCTAATATATATAAGCACAGAGCGTTTGATCCCGCAGAACCAATTCACGTCTACCCCACGTGTGTGCTTAATGTATAAATGGTATTGTATGATTATTAAATGAATATAATGCCAGGAATATTGGAGGCGGGTATTTCAACAGGTGATGGGATGCATAGGAAGAGGGTCTCAGCCATGAGCGGTACTTGCCAGCGTGGTAGGTCAAAGTGCACAATTGGTAGTTGCCGTGAATAGTGTCTATGGGAAAACTGGTAGTTACCATATATACTAGGTCAAATTCTACAACTAAGGCTGATCTCCTGTATTCATACTTAACTAGTTTTTAGATTAATGCCAACTCGCGAGAATCGAATTTACGATCTGTCATCGCACAGTATCAAGCTCACCAGGAACACCTTGAGCATGGCAAAGCTGACGCCATCACATTATTGAATGAGAACCATCACAAAGAACTTGCCGAATTCCAGGTAGGGTTCTGCCCCACAATGTTGGCATTCTGACTGTCTGGCAGAATCAGATGACGTTGGGTTTGCATGAAGTACAACAAGAGGTGTGCGTAGAACGAGACAAGCTATTAGCTGAGAAAGATGCTTCCTTTCAATACAAGGCTAGGATAGCCAAAGAGAAGTTGTTTGTTGAGAAAGAAGCCGAGTTGGCCCGCCTCTCTTCAGACTACAGTAGCAAGATAGCTTCATTGGATGTGCATATTGACATGTTCGTATGGGGAACTCTCCTGATATATATTTACAGAGCCAATTGCGACAAGTAGACATCACAAGGTCCTCCCCCTCCCCCCCCTCATGGCGCCATCTTGTAGGTAAAAGACCTGTCGCAACAAGCACAAATATTGTTGGATTTTCAATAGTAAATTCATGTCGTTATTGTACTGTTTATTATCTAACACTGCTCATGCCTCCCCACAGTGCTGTTCTGCCATCACCGCTTTGGATGGCTTGTTGGTATCCATCGGATCACCCCATCCGCAGTCATATTGATCCTCCGCAGAGTCATTGGTGGATATGGTGTGATGATCTTTTGGATCATCCCAGCCACAGTCATAGGCATCAGCGGGTGACTCACCGGATTCCATGATAAATTGATGATCCATATGGTCATCCCATCCACAATCATACAGATCGTCCCTGGACTTACCCGGGAGTGTGATAATTTCATCATGCATCGGATCATCCCATCCACAATCGTAGGCATCGGCCATCAATTCAGTTGAACCGGTGATGCCTACATCATGGCTAGGATGGCCCCATTGGCTGGCATATGGATCCTTCGGCGACCCCTCCGAACTAGGATTATCCCATGCACAGTCCTGCGGATCCCGGTCATTTCTTCCGGTGTTGTCGGCAGTGAATCCCGGTGGTGAGACCCTGTGTACCGTAATGTCAGAGGTCCGCATGCTTTCCAGAAGATACATATCTTTAGACGTTTAGAAAAGCAAAGTCGATCGAAATTAATGGGAGGCTCACCGGACAGCATGCTTCTGATTTCGTCCCAGTGGCCATTGAAGCACAGCTCGTATGCTAAGTCACAACATCTGGTGAGTGAAATTCAGGAGTATGGACACCATCAGCTTACCTTGATCTCTTTTTGCGATGGGGTCATCTGTGTTTTCATAGCCGGCTGGAAATTCATTCTCCAAGTTATATTCTGTTGTTGCAAGTTTGTTAGTATACCGGCTCAGAATGGGGCATGCTTACTTTTAAAACGTGGATAGTCCGCCAATCCGACTACTCCTTTGAACTTTGATTTTCTCAGCTTAGGAGGAGTCCATGACTCTAATGGTACATATGCACCCCACCAGGCGATGGGATCTTTGTCCAGAGGAAGGCGTAGTGCTGCCGGACTGTCTCTGTCGACATTGCTCCCATATATGGAGAACATGGAGGGGGTACTGCCAATATATGGCTGTTCGGGAATAACAAACCGAACTTTTCTTGGTATCATCATGGTTTGGTTTGAAAAAGATTCGAGGAGGATAAACAAACAATCCGACGAGTGGCACCGTGTCGCAACTGTGGACCTTTGAACAATGGTGGACGCTGTCATGATCTTACGTCATCATATCCATGTTCTTCACATTGCACGACACTCGGGAAGAGCCACAACCCGACGTCTGGATATAAATCCCGACCCGTGTGCAAATTTTTCAAAGTCACCTTTCTGTCCCTTCCGTATACTATCTCACCCGTTACCCTACAACAAAGTTTTAACATCGCCATGACACCTGCGGACACAGCTAACGAGGCTTTGAATGAAACACTGGCGGCTGTGCAATTGTTGATGAAGCGGTGCATGATGTTGCGGCAAGGCGATCCAGAGGCATTAAAACTATCGGATGAGATCGCCAGACGGCTTGTGAGTGTAGTTTGTTGCTACAATGTTATTACTTTCATTAATATGAACGCCTTTGACAAAGGCAAATGACTTGAAGCGTCATGCAGGGATTGCAACTTCGTTGTCCCCGGAACTATTGTCATGTGCAGCCGTTGTGAGAGACTGCTCAAAGGGTGGCGTCTTTCAGACTTCGCCGGATTGGGGGTCTGTTACTGACAAGGATCCGAGAATTAAGGGTCACCCGCGGTTCAACAAGACAATCAATTACCGACCTATCGTCAGCATTGAGAGTCCTGATCTTCCTGACGCTCAGACTCCAACAGCAATAACAAGAATATCCTCCTCTTCCTCCTCCTCTGGAACTTCGGCACTGGTCTCATTGACAACACCACCCGTCGCGGCTGCATCTACTTCGGTCCCTCCTCCCGGTGACATAGACCGTTCGAGCATATCCGCCGCACCGGCAATAGAACTGTCGTCATTGTCACCGTCCCCATTCTCAAAGGCATTGGAACCTCTGACCCCCCTTCCTGTGTCAGCTCCAATCCCGCTGAAATACAACCTTTTTGTGCCAGGCATTAAGAATGCGGTGAATACAATTCCAAAGGGCGGCAATGGTAAGAAGAGACGGGCGGAAGATGACCAACCGGTAGAGGCTAAATTAGTTGACAACTCGACTTCCCGGTCACGGAAGTCTGTTCCGAAGAGGAAAAGGGTAATGTCGGCTGATGAAGACAATGAAACTACCAACCCAGTTCTGATGCAGGTGAGTTCCGCGTCTTTCGTTCGGCATAGCTGACCCACCGCATGACTATATTCCCTAAGGTGGTACCATCACAGAGCATCACCGAAGAGGATTTGGCATCGGCACGTTCGCATCACTCGGAAGGCACAGATTATAGAGGTTTCTGGGATGCAGAAAGCAGGGTAAGTGGTTTTATTGGGCAAACTGCAGATGTTGACTCGGATGTTTATCAGCCTGTTGAATGGGGCCAGGACTCTGCTATCGCCACGGCAGTGAAGGTAACCTTATTATTATTTGCATGAAATCTCATTGACGCTAAGATGTTTGAAGTATTCCGTTCGTCATCACCCACAGAAATGCGACAAGTGCACCAAATTGGGTGTGGCCTGTCTTGTCCTCCCGGATAAGAAGTTCGGATGCATTCGACTTGCCTGCGCTAATTGCGATGATATGAAGATCACATGTGCGATCAACGGAGTCGGCGTCCGAGAAAGAATGCAGGCAAAGGCAAAGGCAAAGGCCACAGCGGCAGGTGACGCCCACCCTGTCAGACGATCTAAGTCACGTGCCCCCAAGTCCCGAGTTGTGAACAATACTCCGGTCAATACCCGGTCCCGGCAGATCTTGATACCGCCGGCGCTGTCCTCTTTGGATGTTGAGCCTAACAACATTGAACGCGGAGGTGAATATTTTCATTCCACAGTTGGTACTTGAACTGAAACTTATCAAGACTCCGCACCGGATGCTAACCCAATGTCTATTGATATTCCACCGGTTCACACAGCGGTTCAACCGATGCCTACGATGCGCCCATCGGTGCAAGCCGAGGCGGAAACGCCGCGAGCAGTCAATCCCACGCAGCCCGAGCCAACTGCGAGGGATATCCTCCAGAGCATCCAGGACCTTGGAAGGCGGCTTGATCTTCTCGCCACCAGCGAAAGGGTCGATGAGTTGGATGCAAGACTCGGTTCGGTGGAAGATGTCTTTGGGCGGCGATTGAATGCACTTGAGCAACGTCTCAATTCATCTGATACAGAATGGAGAGCAATGTCAGCTTCTGTTGGCCATTTAACCATTGCTCTTCGGGATCATAAAGATGATCTTACTGCACATCGTTCCCGGATCAACACTACCGCTTATGCCCCCCCAAGTCATGCAAATGCACACCTGCCGGCCTGGCTCGCTCAGAGTGACGAAGACCCGCACATCTCAGCAATCGGCCGACAGTGGACTCATGCGTGGGATGTGTCCGTGATGACGGGTGTTCAAGGGCATGTCGGTACCTCAGCATCTGCTGTGCTCGTTACGGAAACCGTCGATTCCATGGTCCTGGCAGCGGATGTATCGCCAGACACCTCTAGCGATCTCTCAACGATATCCGATGATTAAATACTTATTATTGGATCTTGATGGACAGTGATGATGTCATGTCTTTACTTAGTTTTGATTGCATTCATTTGGTGCTCCTACATACCGACGATATTAAATGGGATCCTGTATTGGAAGGTGTGTGACGTTAATAGTTAGCCTGGGCCAGGAAGATCAATTTGAATATTGTGTTAGCGTTCCAGAACTAAGTCGTCTGAGTATCAAGGTGTGATATATCCAACGGCATAATGCTCTGGTTCGGATGGTTCTTGCGCTTGTGGCACAGGCATGAATGCAAGGTTTGTCACTCCCGACTACGGCCCAGCGAATGCTATATGTACTGCATATTCATCCGACATGAATATTCACGTCAGATCAGGATCTGATATTATTCGGTTGCATGCTGTGAGGCACATATCCATCTATTAGCTATACCAGCATCCGGAACATAAGTATCACAAGCCTCTGGCATGTCGCCCTATATTTAGAGAATGGTAATGATTATGACAATCTCGTGCTTATAGCAGGGCCCGGCAGACCCATGCCGTCAGCATGAATATGAACGTCAAATCCGGATCGGCATTGATATATCATTACAGAGTTCGGTTGCAAATATGTGGTGCTAGACGCCCGATATTACTCACAATCTTGTATTATGTAGTGTAGAAGTTTGATGGGTAGACCTACTTGCACAGTATACACAGATGGAATAAAGAATGCTTTACCGGCAGGAGCCAAATGTTTGATTCTCGCTCCAGCGCCAGATGAATGCAATGTTAGAGCAATCATGTTGAACCGTTATAACCGTTACCACATTCGGATTCATTCATCCGGGGAGATTATTACGTAACATTGCGTCAAACAATTGTCGGACCTCTCATGGATACAAGACTGAGACCACAAATTTCCAATCCACAATCCACAATCCATCACTTTCCAGTAACACTCACAACCGGATCGATAAAATCCAGCCTTGTCGGAATCTCCCAAAATCAGCTTTTGATATCTACTGTATTCATTTCTCTCTGCACCACCGTATTTTGTTTACAAATCCATCATGTCCGTACCTCCGGAAGCAGCTGACGACACATTGAAAGTCACACTGGTCGTTGTGCAATCGCTCATGAAGCGATGCATCAAGGTGAAGGAGGGTGATCCTGAGGCCTTGAAGCTATCGGATGAGATAGCCAGGCGTGTGGTGAGTGTTTCTGATGTTCCCCTCAAAATGCTTTTTGTCAAACTAACATTTGTCATTTGATACAGGCAAGAGACTTGAAACTTTACACGGGAACAGCAACATCATTCTCTCCTCTGCTACTCTCCTGTGCCGCCATTATCCGGCAGTACTCAAGGGGCGGCGCCTTTCAGAGTGTCCCTGACTGGACCTCTGTTACTGACAACGACCCATGAATCAAGGACCACCCGTGATTCCAGAAGACCGTCCACTATCACCCACCCTCTGCGCTTGATGTCCCCATCATTGCAACATTGAGCATTCCCACAACCATTCCCGCAACCACTTCAGCTCTCATTGTCCCGCCATTCCCACCCTCAGCTCTCCCTTCCCTGCCATCCTGCACAGACCTGGATCTCGTCACCAAGCCGGTGGCGGAACCGAGACGATCATCACGCATACGAGCACGCAAGAATCCATCCCGTACGGACCTGGATATCGTCGCCAAGCCGGTAGCGGAACGAAAACGATCTTCCCGCCCACGAGTGCTCAAGAACCTGCCACCTCTCAGTCGTCCGGCACATCCACCCTTGAGATACCCGCACCTGTATGTGGCCGAAGCTGAGAGGGAACAATGGAAGGCACTTTTCGAGGCCGGCGATAGCAAGAAGAGAAAGGCGGATGATGAAGATACCGATGGGGCCGATGTAATTGAAGCCTCCAAGTTGGCTTCCGCGTCCCAAGAGCCGATGAAGAAGAAGAGGAAGTTGAACCAGAATGTCGACAATAGGCCAACAGGAATCATCGATGTGAAGCCAAAGGTATGTCTGTTGATCTTGGTTCATGCATCCAATGACTTACCACTGCAGACATTACTGACTGTCACCACTGACAAGGTTGTTCCACCAGGCGATGAAAAGGCTTTCTGGGACGCAGACACTCGGGTATGTGATCTGCACTTATCTATAGCGCTGGTATGCTGACCAATTTCAAAGCCTGCAGAATGGGGCTCAGATGCTCACATCGCCACTCCGTGCCAGGTAAGTCTGTCAGTACATTCACAGGAGTCCATGGCTAACATATGTCAAGCATTCCGTTCATTACCATCCTCAGCAGTGCGACAAGTGCACAAAATTGGACATACCCTGCGTTGTCCTTCCGGACAAAAAGTTCGGCTACATTCGACTCGCATGCGCAAATTGCGACCAGATGAAGATTACGTGTGCGATCGACGGCGTCGGTGTCAGGCAGAGAATGCAAGCGAAGGCCGTTATGGCTATAGTTGAAGGTGAGTTTGCTTTCAAATCCGGCGAGGATCTTGAAACCAATCCTGATGACTCTTAGAGGAGAAGCAACAGCCTGGTCCGCCGGCTGGTGTGCCCATGTGCACACTCCCAACCGTTGGCACAAGCCCTCGGCCGGAACAGGATGATCAGCCTGCGCCAGCCAACATCGCCGATCCCGAGCCAACTGCAAGGGACATCCTGCAGGGCATCCGTGACCTCAGCAAGAGACTGGATCTCTTTGCCACCAATGACCGTGTGGATGCCTTGGAGATAAGAGTGCGTTCGGTGGAGAATATCCTCCACCAGTGGTTAGACGCACTGGAGGAAAGGCTCAATGCCTCAGATGCCCGGTAGAGAGCGATGTCGCCACCTCCGGTATATGTAGAACAAACTAGTTTCCAATACCATATATAGTGTACTTTTAGCTATTCTTTCGTGCTGTTCCCGGTCACTTTCCCTTGTATTCCAGTTCTCGCTCTCTGTATTTGTTAGATGAGAACCACATTGTTGTTCCCCTCAATATGTTGTGATCCGTGGTGAGGGAATGCTTCAATTTCATGATGCTCACATGAAACTGTGACAGCCAATGGCATGATAATCCGGTGTAGATAGTCCATGCAGTCGTGGGTGCATGACCGATGCTACATGCATGGTGCATCCCTCCAAGAGGTGTATCAATAAAGTACATATATGACTGCCTATTATCATACCATCTTCTGGAACCAGGCGTCTCCAGCTGATCGGCTGTCCGGTCATCACCTGCTTATCGGATTTGCATTGCTGTGCGACTTTTGCGGGTCCGACATCTTCATTTAGTCCTATTTTCAACTCTTTCCGAGACGCAGCCCTATAAACTTTCACCATGTCACCTTCGGAGACCAAATGCTATCCGTGTCACCGTAATATCTGTCGCCCCTTCCAAAATCAGATATGCAAGTACCGGGCACTCATGAGCCTTTCCGAGATTTAATGCTTCACTCTTTGGGCCGATCAGTAAGACACTCTATAGACTCAAACATCACTCACCAGACCTTCCTGACTTGCTGGGCATATCCTGTAGGCCCTTTCGGTACTCTGGACCAAACACTAATTGACTGGGCCCATCCGTCACTCATTCCGACAATCCGTAGATGCACTCTCACTGGCCACTTGTGTAAGCCAGTTGAGGATAACCAGTATCTGTCACTACATGTGCACGGACAGCCAACAATCCCTAGCCGAGCCCTTCCCTAACTCACGAGATGAAACACCAACACCGGGCCAGAGAAATATCCTACTGGGCCTATCAGGAAATTCCTGCACTTGCACATGTATGAAGAACATCCCGCTGGGCCCAACCATCAGCCTTTCGAGATCGTGTATGTCTCTCATGGGCCAGAAGCAATAACTCACTTGCCCTCCGAGACCAAATGCACACCCCATATTCTGATTGATCGGCCCTTCCGAGACCAAATACATTCTCTTGGGCCACAAATTACCAGCAGTGCCCAACCATCGGTCCTTCTAAGATCATGTAGGCCTATCATGGGCCAGAAGCAATAACTTGCCGGCCCTTCCGAGGTCACATGTACCGTCCAATTCATTATTCTTGTTAATCGGCCCTTCCGAGATCATTTGATGCCTATCTTGGGCCAGACACAATCACTCGCCAACCCTTCCGAGGTCACATGTACTGTGCAAGCCGTATATTCTTATTGGTCGGCCCTTCCGAGACCAAACACATATTCTCCTGGGCCAAAATCACCAGCCAGGCCCAACCGTCAGCCCCTCCGATATCATGTAAGCCTACCATGGGTCAGAAACAATAACTCACGAGACCAAACACATTTTCTTGGGCCAAAAATAACCAGCTGGGCCCAAGCTGGGCCCATCGGTAAGCCCATCCAAGACTACCCAGCATTTGTACTGGACCGAACAATAACCAGCTGGGCCTTCCCATACGCACTGCCGAGATCAATACATTTGGGCTGCACGATAAATGGAACCATACATCGCATCTCCGGCCGGGATCATATGCATATCTGGTGGGCCTATCCAGCATTCCTTCTGGAAGATCCTGTACGGCTGTCCGGGTATCCGACGCACCATTTATGGGTGAGAAGTGGATTGAGGCCTACTTTGCCTATGGAAATTTCGTCATAGACCGGTTTACCCCTTTCTGGGTATCCGATGCACCATTTATGGGTGAGAAGTGGATTAAGGCCTACTGTGGCTAGAAAATTTCGTCATAGACCATTTTACCCATTTCCGGGTATCCTATGCACCATTGATGGGTGAGAAGTGGATTAAGGCATGTTGTGGTGCATGCAACATAAATAAACTACCTCTGATTGCGACAGCACATGCACCGCAACAGGCCTTAATCCACTTCTCACCCATAAATGGTGCATCAGATACCCCAAAAGGGACGAAATTTCCCAGGCACATTGTATTCTCACAGAAAATCAATTTCCGGTCACGGGGTGTTGCTGCTTGGCTTTGTAAGTGCATTGTTGCTGCAGCAGTGAGCACTCACTGCAGTCACCACTCGAGACACTATCACTCTTGTTGTCAATGTCAGATGTCTGGACCGCTCCGCCTGAAACTCAACTGTATTGTCTTGGGCAATAATCCTCGCCATATTTTCCCGGTCGACATTGAGCGGACGGAGATTGTTGGCGACCTCAAAGAGGTCATCAAAGACAAGAAAAGGCCGGAGTTTGACCATGTTGCCACTGACCGTCTTGAGTTATGGAAGGTGAGTGATCTGATGCCTAGGATCGGATGTTGATAATCTGATATTTTGGAAGGTCGACCTGCCTATCAACGAGATGATTGAGCACAATCTCAACAATCTTACACTTGACCCAACAAAATCCCTATCACCTGTGGATGAAATGGTAGAGATTTTTCCCGATGCTCCTCCACGCAAGTATCTGCATATTATTATCCAATGCCCGCCTGCTGGTGAGTTGTCCTTCAATATTGCTACCCTTTCCTCACTGATAGTGGTCCAACTTAGTGTCTTCCGGACCGCTCCACCTGAAACTCAACTGTATTGTCTTCGGCGATGATCCTTGCCATATTTTCCCAGTTGATGTTGAGCGGATGAAGACTGTTGGTGACCTCAAAAATGTTATCAAGGTTGCCAAGAAGCCAGAGTTTGACCATGTTGCCGCCGACCGTCTTGAGCTATGGAAGGTGAGCGATCTGATGCCTACGGTTGAATGTTAATAATCTGATATTTTGAAAGGTCAAGATCAATTTGAACAATATACAGTTACGGAACGCGATCATGGACGGAGGTGTCGAGCTGCGCCCATTAACTGAGCTGTCCGATGTGTTTGCAGACAACACATTCCAGCTGTTGATAGGCGAATCACGTATCTCAAGAAGGGCGCGGGTACTCCATCGGCCAGTGCAAAACCATCCGCATTCTCTACGAAGCAGGACCAGCAAGAGTACCTTTGCAATCGTCCTCGCAGAGCTGCGGACCCTGTTCCCATTACTCTTCTCGAGCCTATCTTCGCCGAGTTCGTGGATGATTGTCAAAAGTATGAACCAACTGTCCATGATAACGACTTTGTTTTGCAACTTTCAGAAAAGATGGCCTCCTTCTATCCCAATGAGCTCACGTGGATGAATACATTCTGGCAAGTGCTCCGGGACTACGGTATTATACTCAATGCTTCTATGGTTGGCTCGACCGGATGTACGACGGACGGACATCTTTTGTCTACCAACAGACAGTTTGTGCTGATGATAATTGAGGGGAAGAACGAGATCGGAAGTGGCGCTGCCAAACCATTTATGGAGGCGATGCTGTACTACCATAAGTTTATGGAAGACTCGAAGATTGAGATGGCAAGGCTCCGGTCTTTCATTCCATGCATCCATATCATTGTCTTCGGTTAGTTCATTTCACCAGATTAATTGCTGAAGCTTTTTATTGATCACAAATAGGGGCATGCATCGGCTTTTCAGGCTCTGTTTTTACTGAAAAGTCCAGTCCGATGTCCTGGTCCCTATCATTCCTCTGTTTTGGCATTCAACAGACCTCCATATGCAAGTGATGGCAGCTCGTACTTTTGGGGCTCTCAAAATTGCCGTCGAGAAACTTACAAAACTATACTCCCGTCCAATCCTGTCCCTCGAACCCGAAGATCCATATCTTAAATGTCCTTACCCTCAGAGTTATACCAATTCCACCGGTTTCATTCAGGAATTCCGGTATGATGAGACTCAAATCCTCAGGGATCGACTTATTTTCTTCGGGGAAACTGTCGGCGATGCGGCTGGGAGCAAGATATGCATCAAGTTTGTCAGGCACTATTCCCCTCAGGCTCACGAATTCTGTGCCAGCAAGGGGAACACCCCCAAACTTATCGCCTACAATTCTTTACCCGGCAGCTGGAATCTGGTGATTATGGATGCCCTTGATATTGATAATGATTGCCTTCCGCAACGACCTGGCTCATATCGACTGCTCAGTGAGATAGGTGTTTTGGACCGTCAGCCGCTGAAGGAGACCATCACCTGTCTCATCCGGGAGTTACACAATCACAATGACGGCTACGTGCATGGCGACCTTCGAGATACCAATTTCGTTGTGCGAGATGACAAACACTTCATGCTGCTTGATTTTGATTGGGCCAGACCGATCCAGAAGACGCATTATCCTATGTATGTCAATCGGAAGGATATTCGACGGCCTGACGGTGCATGGGATGGGCAGAAGATTGTGGTGGAGCATGATTTGGATATGCTGAATTATCTATTTCATCCTGAGCAAGATGTTCGGGAGCCAGCTGCAAAGCGCCGCCGTATATTAAGTGAAGGGTCGCTGATGGTCATTTGAGTCATTTATCATTTGTTGCATTTGCTTAATACCAGTCTGTTTTTTCATCATAAAGCTCACATACAATGACTTTGGGAGAATGGCGACATAGATTAGTATCTGTTGTATTGTAGCTAGCCAATTTGATGATTGCCGATGACACACGCCTTCTCACAAGTCTCAGTGAGGATTCTACTGTACATAAATGGAATACATGGCCTCATCCTCAGCGGATACAGCGATAAAATGATCTCAGAGTGGACGGTACCTCGGAGCCATACAGGATCTTCTGGAAGCAATGGTAGATCGGCCTTTCCTGATGTAGATCCCAAGAGTTTAGCCTATGGTAGCCGTGGTGGTTCTCTACAATAGTCTTACACTCGGTTCACACATATGACTCTCCACAGTTGTCGGAATGCCCATAACCGACGGGTTGATATTGATCCCCCTTCCGTACATCCCATGAATTGCAACATATCCTATCAGCAATGGACCCCGCTATGCCGCCAGCTCTTCCATCCGGAAAATCCCTCGACAATCCGATTGCTGCGATGGCAACAGAACCAGAGCTTGTATCACCAGCACCAGACCCAACGGCTGTGGGTGTGCGAACTCTGCCACACCTCCCCGTCAAGCATTCAAACGCAAGATCTATTTATGGCGAGACCTGGAACCACCCGCCAAATGGGTTCGCTTGGACTACTGGCGCATGTTTTGCCAATATAGTCTCGAGATCCATTGCGACCTATTTTCTTCGGTTCCGATGACCTGCAGGTATTACAGCCCGTCCAGTTGCCCAATATGCGTAAGATATCTGGTCCCATGGGTTTGGGCCATCAGTCGGGCCCGGGTGCCACAGCCTTCCGAGCATAAGACAGGATGCACCTGTCAGTCAGTCACAGATACAACGACGCGCCCATCATTGTTGGGGACATAGTTCTGGGGCCATCAGCCAGGTCTCAGATATGAAGGCCCAACCGTCGTTGATGGGGACCTAGGTATTGGTTCCATCTACATCTGGGACATCCGCCGGTACCGGGTACGATAGCCTGCCCACCGTTGGCTGAGATGAGGTTCAGTTCTAGGCCCATCCGCCGACATCTGCCTGTACCGCGCATGACAGGCTGTCATTCCCCGCGCATCATCACAGACGGTACACGTATGGTGCATCCCTCCGACATGTATATCAACGTCGGATCGGGATCAGCATTCGTATCGAACTTTGTCCCATATTTCATTACTCGTTTCTGTTGCACCAGTTGCATCTGTAATACTAGTCTCTGACACAAAGTGCACTGACTTGGCCAACATTCCCTAGCCGAGCCCTTCCGAGATCCAACACTTGCACTGGGCTTATCCGGAAGCCGCTCCAAGATTATTTGCACATGTACTATGCCGAAGAATATCCTGCTGGGCACAACTGTTGGCCCTTCTGAAATCAGATGCCTATCATGGGCCAGACCACATAACTAGCTGGCCCTTCGAGAATACAATGCAGTCCCATGCCATATATTCAGCTTAGTCGGCCCTTCCGAGATCAAATGCATATTCTCTTGGGCCCATCCGTAGGCCCATCCAAGACTACCCGGCATATGTACTGGGCCAAACAATAGATGGGACTATACGTTGCCCCTCCGGGTGGGATCATATGCATATCCGGTGGGCCGAAAAAACTTGCTGGGCCCATCCATGACCCCTACCAAATCAGTACCACATCCATATACTAATGGCTCGCCCATCACTACCGGAAATTCCTTCATGGTAGGCCCACCCGACTTGCCTGCATATTGGGGCCCACCCCGATCTGCATGAATGCACATGTGCTGGGCCAGTTTGGGCCTTCCGGATATTGGTGCACTGGGCCTAACCCTTACCAGCCGGACCGATCCGCATATTGAATGCGAGGACCAATTGGGCCCTTCCAGATGCTTGTGTACTGAGCCGATCCGCACCTGAATTTGTTATGTGCCCAGGTCTTGCATATTTGACCTATCCGCACACTGAATTGGTATCTACTGGGCCCAAATAACCAGTTGGCCCATCCACTAACCCTTCCCAGTATTGTGATGGGCCCAGGAATGACCGGTCGGCTCACTTGTGCCCTCTTCCGATACTGTCAATTACCAGCTGGGCTCATCCGTAAGCTATTCTGATACGAGCTGAGCCTATTCACCAGCCATGCCTGATACTATTTTGGGCTCAAAATTTTCCTGTTGGCTCTTCCGACATCAAATTTCCCCAAGAATAAGTAGCTAGGCCCATCCGTACCCCCCTTCCGAGATATATAACTGGGCCCATGTACCTTGTGGCCCATTACAATTGTCCCATTCATGCTATGGCATCGACACTTGGCCCACCCGCTAGCATGGGCGCTATTCCACACTGTGGGCCCATCTGTGCATAAGCACACATGGGCCCACATTGGATGGCCTGCCTAACTGGGTCAAATCTCAACCTTTGGCTGTCCAACTAAGTCGAAAATAAAGTACTGAATTATGTGATGAAGCAAGCTGGCCATGGCAATGTAACGGGTGGCATCTACGAGACTCAGCCTGGTGCATTAGCCGTAAAATGTCCTGCTTGTCCACACCCTGGCATAAACTTGCCGGAGGACTGGAACAAGGTGGATGAATCAATGAAGTAGGTTTTTTTCTTGATTCGCTGCATCCGTTAAATGTCCCCCCTCATAGATTTCTGTATTATCTAATTATCGCTATGGATGCCAACTTCCGCCTCAAGGACAGGGCTCGATCTTCTACAAATGCTGATCCTGGGCTGCACACGGGTCTGGCGTACTTCGTTCCTGAAAAACCTTATGCGGAGTACATACTCAGGAATGCAAGTCAAACCGATGTAGGTTTTGAAAAAGATTCACTCTCGATGCACATGCTTACGGGGCACCAACCCACTAGATTAGCACTTGTTCAGGCTTTAGGACATTGGCGCATGCTGAATCTAAGTATTCGAGTGGGTTGCGAGCGACTGGTGTTGGCTTATGTCTTTGTGCACGCCATGAATTTGTTCGACCTCAAGGAGTTGGAGACCTTCAAAAGGGTGAAAGGTATTTGCGTTTAAAAATGTCTATATCCAACTGTCTAATGAAGAATTTAGATACGCTAACTGTTAAGACCATGCACAAAGGGTAGGACTGATTCTGAGGGGCTTGGCTTCAGCTCGTGCGCTGCGCCCCTTACCCGAGTATGTGCCCTTAATTTCAGATTGGTGTCCAAGGAAAGTCCGAAGACATCCGAAGACATCCGAAGGACATCCGAAGGTGCAGGAAACTTCGGAAGGACTTTCCGGATGAGTGCGGGAAAGTTCCGGAGGAACTTCCGGAAATTACGATGAGGTTTCATCCTGATACAGATATGTATAATGGCTACTCGGGACTTGTCCTGAGTAGAAGTAAACAGAGGAAAGGCTGCAAGGACAAAGTCCGAAGCAGAATAGGTCAGGAGGACCACGGGAAAGATCTGGATGAACTTCCGGAAACTACGGAGGATCGGATGAGCGGATGAGCAGAGTATCAGATAAGCAGAGCTCCGGCCTAGGAAGAAACTCCCTAGGCCTGAGATGGATAACAACTAAGTTGGAAGACTAGAACTGATATGAGGACTTAGAGTGAAGACTAGTGCGAGGACTAATATGATATTCAGACTGAGGTACTACAAGACATATACACGAGTTTATATACTAAGAGAAATAACGGAAGGATCAATAAGCAGAGTCCGAGGCTATGTATGAAGCATATGCAAAGGTTGACAAACACAAGTCGGAAATGAACATAGGTTAACAGATCAGTAAGCATACCGGTAATAGATATAACCAAGATACCAGTAACAAGGAATACCGGATAGGCTGTGTTAACATTATATGCACAGGAAATGAATTACAAAGCTTATCGTATATCGGATAGGAAACAGATCTATACATCGGATCGGACCGGATCGGATATAGTCCAGATGAGATGCGTGGATATATAGGATGTGGCATTAGGGCAACGGGACAAGGATGAATGATGCAGGCTAGCTGCGAAGGATAAGGGATCTGGATGTGGACATGCGGATGTGGATGTGCAGAGGTGCAGGGATCCGGATGGGTACTGGAGACATGGATAGGACATCTGAAGGTCCGGATGAGGCGTGGGAATATTATCGGATGTAGGTCCAGAATACAGGATATGACACTAACATGGATTTCATTTTCTTCTCGTCCATCATGCCTCTCCTCCTTCTCTCCGTTGTCATCTCTTACGATATCGCTTGCCAGTGGAAAATCAACCTTACAAAGAGAATGGATGACCTTCCAGAACACCCTCAGATTTTGGCAGCTGTCGCTCTTGCGGCATTTATGTTTGGAATCCCTAAGTTTCACTGTCCTGCACATGAGGAAAAATGTGCAATCCCACATTCGTTGAACCTCATGCCAGGCGTAGGACGGACTGATGGTGAGGGAATTGAGCGCAATTGGGCAGAGATGAATCATGTTGCGAACAGCACGAAAGAAATGGGCCCCGGTTCTCGACACAATGTCCTCAACGACCATTTCGGATATCACAACTGGAGTAAATATACTGGACTAGGTAAGATTTTTTTTCTATTTCCACCTATACAATGATGATTCAATTGATTTACAGGACTCTCGCTACGGAGAAAACTTCTGAATGCCGTCAAGGAGCACGCTCGTCACCAGTCCTTTTTGCGTGACTTTGATGAAGTGATTGGTGATATCCATCGAGGAGAATGGACTGCAATGATCAAGGCTTGGGAATGCGATAAATCAAATCCAAACCTATACGTGCTCAGCAGAATTAGTAATGTTCATATATTTAATTTTTGTCATTGAAGCTGACTCTGGTATAACAGATCTTTCAGAGGCTCAAGTACGTATTAATCTTGCAGATGAGGAGAAGATTGCTATCAGTAATGGGCATGTACTTCCGCATGAAGCGACTCCCAGTTCCTTCATGAATATGGCCCTGGTTCTTGAAGATGCTCAGTAAGTTTTACTCCTGTAATAGTATGAGACTCCCTTCTGATCATTGTCAGGCAATGAATCAAGGTTGATGTCACATCATCTCTGAGCGCGATGTCTTACTAGGATGTGAAAACAGTAAAATTCACCAATTTTCAGTATCCTACCATGGTCAACGGTTCAGACAAATACCAACAGTCAATAATGTGGTTGTTCGTGGGAAAAAGTGTGTTGAGTTTTCAAAGGAAGTACTCAGTGACTAAAAGGGAAACAGAATCAGTAACTGGCTTGATGCAGTGCTATGATCCTAAAGAAAGTCAATAACTGGCGCAATGTCTTGTTACTTAAGGGTCTTATATGAAAGTTGTGTATAATGACAACACAATTATACACGGTGAAGACTTCTTGCCAGTCCTTAAGTCCACGGTCTCCGACTTTTCTACTTCGTGGGAGGTAACGTGGTGAGTTCTTGGGAGGATTTAGTTTGTTGTCCTCTTCTTGTGTAGTCTTATACGAAGTTGTTGTGGAATGTTCTGTGTTCTGGATAAATTCGTTAGGTTTGTTTCAGCCTAGTAGGTCGTGTTTCAACCTATGAAAGTCTGTTTCAACTTTGTCGTCCTTAGATGTGTCTCACTTTCCGTTGAAAGGGAGAGTCTTATGAATACACATAAAGCTTAGAATGAGAGCTGTTCAATGGTTATATAGTCAACCCCTGTAAGGTAGTATATAACCTAGAGTAGAATAACGATAATGAAAGTTATATAGTCGACCCCTGTAAGGTAGTATATAACTTTAGAATAGATAATGATATCTTAGATTACCTCAAGGCACTTATATTGGCCTGCACTTTAAGTCTTAGTGGTCTCACACGGTTTGAGATAAGAGTCAAGTGGGAGGATTTTATTTCATGGGTGAAAATGGGGTCCTTTTATACCTTTTGGGAACCCCCTTACTAAGCATGATTAATCAGATGGATTGGTAAGAATGTGGCTTACAAACCAGGTGATTAATCAGCTTATTACTAAGTACATTACAAATACAGTGTAATCTTACAAAGAAATTAGAAACCATGACAAACCATGACTAAACATGTTGAGTCATGTTAAATGTTGTTACAAAGCATGGCCAATCATGACTAAACATGTTGAGTCAGCTTAAATAATGTTACAAACCAGAATATTTCCCAGTCACATGATGTGATGACAAATAAAAGCTGGTGGCTGAAAGAAGCCAAATACAAATAAACAGTCAGAAATAAATAGAGATACAAAACTTGGTGGCTGAAAGAAGCCAAATAAAAATAAACAATGAGAAATAAACAGAAGGTCACATGCTTGATACAAATACAAGGTAAAATAAGCCTGTAAAGTGAGAAATAAAATACCAGACAATGAAATAAAGGAAAAATAGAGAGGTAACTTAGTGACAAAGGGCTAGACAGTCTCTCATATCTTCCTTATCACTCTCTATATATATCTGACATGGTATGAATCACATACCATGCATGACAGCGATGCAGTGCTATGACTTCAACGAATACAGATGTATGTCTATGCAATGATTCTCAGAGCTATATCAATACTCCTTATCTTCACAAACCAATTGGAGATCAAACTAAGCCTCTAACACGGATCAGCCCAAACTAATATGTGACTTTGAAACCACAGAGTACACCCTCTTGATGTAGTCTTAAATGGCCAAGTTCTTAATATTAGTGACTGACTGTTAGTCTTATTTGTCTTCCCTTGCTAATGAAAATATGTATATTCTCCCCACAGAATTGATTTCCTGTGTCTGAAAGAGAACTGGAATATATTGCACTAGACGACTGATAACCATGTACCAGCTAGTGTAAAAGGTATGGCTCAATGGTGGCCTCAAATGTGCTTCTGTATGTCGTGGGAAACAGTGTCAAAAAGTGGAATGAAATAAGCTAATATTTCACTCAGTGTCACTCAGTAATCTTAGAGGTGAGAATCTAAAAAGAGCCTTATGATCACTCTTCTTATTTTCAATCACTCATTCACACTCAAGCTTAGGTAATACAAGAAAATGGGCTCTCTGATAACTTGGGAGCTCTCTTTATTAGAGGGGAAATGAGCCCCTTATATACTACTCTACTAGTGGCTATGCTACTGATTACTAATCTACTATCAAAGTTTCAAAGAATGTCATAGAATTTTCCAGACTATTCCACCAAACTCCAGTGGTATCTAATAGCATATTCTAGAATCTTTCAAGTCATCATTTAGTGGCTGTGCTCTGTGGCTATGTATTAAGCTGTGTACACTGCCTCTGCACTACCTGAATGCTGTACTCAAAGCTTTGTTCAAACTTTGTTGCAATCTGATTGTTAACTTGTTAAATACCATGGTGTGGGTCTTGCATACTTGTCATAATGAAGCTCTACATGGTTGTCAAAAATGTGCCACCAGGTCACATGAGACTGATTATGTAATAAGATATGAAGTACTTCAGTCTTTCCTCTTGGTATTGTAAAAATGAAAGGCTTGCGTAAGCAAACATGTTCAAGATGTAACACAAAACATACCGATTATGTAATATGTATGTCAGGATATGTCACAGAGTATGTTTCAGAACATGTGAAAATGTGTGAGAAAATTATAGGAGGTGTGAGAAATTGCTGACTAAGTGAAGAATTGTAAGTTCGAAACCAATCTTTCAGAAGTATAAGTATTATTTTTGAATGTTAAGTAGCGTTGCACTCATTTTGAGCCCGAAAATACTCAAATAAATTATGAGTGCTACAAAGAAAATTCTAGGCATAACCATAGGCTCATTATGAAGGGTATTACAAGCTCAATATTTGCCATGTTCATGTACAAAACACGTTTTGTGCATATCAGCAAATCAATACGCTAAACTTCACCAACGTCGGGTCACGCTACGACGACAGCTAGACCGCTTCCGCATCATACAGCGGGTATATATGGCAGGTATCGAAAAGTGGATTGAAGAACACGATGGGGACTTGTCTGATGACATTGAGGATGAACATCTCTGGCTACCATCAACACTCCCTGAAAGCGATCGAGAAGAAATTTGTAGGAATGATATTGCTCGCATTGAGGCCAAGCTTCGCAAAGGGCAGTGTCGCGATGCACTCGATAAGCTCCGCAAGCAATTACATACTAAATCTCATTTCGTTAAGCACCGCAATCTCGATTTACGTGGACAACAAGCGAACACTCACGTGACTTCCTTTCTCGCTCGCTTTGACAGCAAAATCAACGCTGCTGCTGCAAAGTATTGTGTTGCTTGGTCAGCATTGCTCGAACTGGTTGGGATCAGTGAGCTGGAGAGGGAGAAGGAATTTCAATGTTTAGAGGCGAAGGATATTGTGGCACCCATTGACACAATGTTGGGTGTCAGGAGTACTACTGGAATGCGCGGAAGGACAAGGTCTGAGCGAGACACATTTCGTGGATTTGGGCAAGGCTATCAGACGACATTGTGGATTTGGCTTGCTTCAGGAGTTTGGGATGATGAAGTTGATGGGGGTCTGAATGATGGTGAGTGTATTTGCTGTTGCATAGATTGACTCGCTTTTTGATGTTAAATGTCAGTGTTGCGTGTAGAATGGGGAAAGTCTCACGCGCGTGCACAACGGTGGAATGAAGAAGTGTATCTTCTCAAGGAGGAAATGTGGCAAACACGACAATTTCTCGCATGGCGTGCAAAAGAGTGGGGATCTGTTGCTACCCTATCGCACCAGGATGCACAAATCGTGGCTGGCGCTGCCGCATATGCGAACAGGCAGGCGGCAATTCAGCGCGTATTACTGGCTCATTTCACTGTTCTCTGGGGCGCCAGAGTTAGCGCGAATGACACAGCCGGTGAGGATGAAATAACCACATATTTCGCTGAAAATGAGGATGATTTTGATGACGACGAGGGGTAGGGGATTGTAGGGGCTTTTTTGTCTATTATTTTGATTGTACCAATATTATCATATTTGTGTTTAATTAGTCATCATCAATGAAACATTTATTTGAAACATACATTTAAATATGATTATTCGTGTGGATACCCATATTACTGGTGTGAACCAGGTGTGGGTGACAGAGTGGCAAGAGCCATGAATTAGGTCAAAGTGCGTAGCTGGTAGTTGCTGTGAATGGTGTCTATGGGAAAACTGGTAGTTACCATTATACTAGGTCTAACCTTACAGCCAAGGGTGAGGAGATGCATAATGGAGTGTACTTGGATTTGCCGCTTTCGGAGTAAGAGATCGTGCTTGGAGAACTGCAGCTTGCGCACATCATCCCGCAGCCTGGACGACTGATCGTCTTCTTTGAGAAATATTTTATTAGGCTGAATATCTGTTAGCTCAGAAAAGCAAAGAAGTATCTATGACCCACCCGCTGGTCATCGTCATTTCTCTTCCTATGAGCAGACTCCCAGGGATTATCAAATAATTGCATTGTGAACTCTTCGCTGACTGATGTAGCGGGCACTGATGAGATTGTTGACAGACGAGAATCTAGACTAGCCAAGGCAGCAGGCCGAGGTGGGTACATATGCATATTTGCTGCTGGACGAAGCTCGTTGAGAGGGTGAGACTCTACAACTGGGGTGAGCGGATCATTGTCATCCGAAAAGAAATAAGACATCAGGCAAGACATCTTGCAGTTCAAATAATTCAGTAGCGCACATTTTATCTCAAGACAGCTCACCTAATGTCAAGTACCTTATTGCAATAATTGAATGCAACTACAACACGACATTGTAGTTACAACTCTATTAGAAAAACAATAAGGCAATATAATGTGTTTGAGCCATATTACGCGTTAATAAGTCATCACTACATATCAGCTAATTCAAATCGTTCTTCGATCATCACCACTACCTCCATTGGGAGTTCGAGCGTATTTAATCAACTAAAAAAAACTGAATTGTACTTTCGTAGTTTATACGTACTTGGATACTGTTATTTTGCATGCCTCTGTCGCTCCTTCGCAGAGGTGTTTTTCAGCTGCATCTGAATCATATCTCCAATTGGCCAACAGCCATCATAATCATCGAGTTCGAAAAAGTGAGAGAGCACCTCGAACGAAGTTAGTATCAAACAGATGTAGAAATTCTAGATGTACCTCTATCTGAACCACATCTAGTGCGGCAGGAGTTTGCGATATCTTGCTCTTGCTAGTGTCACAATGTTTCTCGATTGAAGCGCGCACGCACTCCTAATGTCATTAATTTCAAGGAAGATCTCATTGCTCAAGTGCGATCTCACCTTGAATACCTTGAAACGGTTGGCATCCCACTTGAGTGCCCTTTCTAAGTTGTATCCACCATGGCTAGGACACCCTGCCTCACCATCTGGTTTGGGGATTTTGGATTCATGGGAGGCTAGAGATGATAAGGAAGAACCCATTGACGTCTGACTGATCTGCTCTGTAGGAAATGAGACGACTGTTACGACGTGTGTCGTGTGCGGACTGGGATAATCTAACAGCGACGATCACAACAGTGATACCTCGTGCTGAGAGTCCGAGGTCGGCTCCTACAGAAGAGCAGGAGTTGCGTACGTTCACGGAGGTGAACGATGATAGCGAGTTACAGGCAGAAGGGGTCTCAAGTCCTCCTGAAGGTGCGGGTCTGATGTCGAGCAGGTAGCTTTAGCAAGACAAAGGTTTCGATGGTAAACCCAGTAGGATTAAAGTAAGGAACATCTACTTTAATCTGTCGACCTTTATATAAGGCTACTCTATCGTATCTAAGCTCAGCTTGAAGCTGGGTTCTAAGTGCTTATCTATCGAGTCAGAGATACCATGCATGAGGCAGGCTTCTATCTAGGATAAGGACCGCGAGGCGTCCTTCTATCAGTACATGAGGCAACACGAGGCTTGCCTTCTATCTTGATAACATATATAGGTCTTCTAGACCTATGTCGTCATATCATGTAAGCGATCCAGATCGCTTACCTAATCCGGCATCTTCCGGACTTCTCTTCTATTCGTCAACTGTTCGTCATCTATTCGTCGAGGCCCAAGGGGCCCGGGTATCGTATCGTATCGTTGCCGTGCAGGGTGGCAGAGGGCAGGTCGTGTAGCTGGGGGCTCACGTAGTGACTGTAACAACGACCTTGGCAACTTTGGGGGGCGAGCTAGAAGGGATGGGCATAGCCACGTGAGACATAGCAGTGAACACACGCGAAGGAGTTGGAGTGAGCCCCGTGAGTTTGAGTTTATGAGACAAGAATAACATCTCTTCTTGCCAAGATATCGAGATGAATGATGTTGTCGGACAAAACATTTCTGTATGATACGTCAATAATGGAAGGGACTGGGGAGGGCCTTCAGGCTCATAAAAAGGAGCGACAGGCACAGAGGACAAGGGCATGACTGACCTGATACAACCAGAACCGAAGAGACATTTTTAATATGAGTAGTTTAGTCGGGCGTAGATTGGATGCCCACCAGGATAATGTTGTGAGGCAGGATGTCGTTATCGATTTTCATTCAGTTGTTATGGTCCCTATTGTGACAGTCAGTTTTAAAGTCCTTCAAGACATCAAAGATAGACTTACTGATGCTCCCAATGTTTTTACTTCCCACCAATCATTCCAATGACTATCGCCTCGAAGGACTGCCTTGTCGGGCACAAGAACACCATCAATTGCTTAGCGGTCTCTCGCAATGGAAATATGTTAGCAAGCAGGGGTTAGTTTGATATGCATGACAAAATACAACTTAACTCACCAAGTCCCAGGCTGTGACGGAATGAGGATCTGGGACCTCAAAAGGCGAGTGCAGCTCCCAACCCCACCTCAAACTCCAGCTGTTCGAAATCCGGCCGACCCGGTGACTTGTGCATGTTGGATTACCCGCCATGAGGCAACGCGCAAAATGTTATGTTATGGCACCAGACTGGGTTTCATAGGGATTTGGCACCAGCAGGGGGAAGGTTTACAAGACTTTGACGCAAAAGTGTCAAGAAGGGTCGGAATGGGTAAGGAGATCATGTGTCTCGCATATGACCATACCGGGGACAAACTCGAATTGTGAGTGGGACACGAGACAGACATGTTCAAGTATGGGGGTTTGACTTCAGAGGACCGTTGATACTGATTTTCAGTGTTGAACTCGCTACTACCATCCCACGCACCATGAATTTCAACTGCACTGCAAGTAGAAACATATTAGTCTTCGGCATGTATGACAGTGAGATGTAGGTGTTCGTACCTACCCAATCACTATCAATCTAATATACGATTCTAGACATACACTCAGAGGTACAGATGGCATTGTCATCACCACAAACAGTGCTGGGCCATTGATGTAAATCATATTTTATATCAGTAGTCGACGATCACTTACCATATCACTACAGCGGGTATGCTTCAGTCGACGCAGCTCAAATGTTGTTCCTGATGGACAATGTCACGAATGGATTCAGTTTACATCGCTTGGAGGATGCAGTATGTATCTGTACCTATAATACCAACCCAGTCAAGACATTCCCGAAGCAAGTTGTTTTTGGGAGGAAGGCTACCCTCGTAGTTGGGGGTAGTGACACAGGAGTAATTTACATTTTTGACAAAAATGAGGGAACACTGAAACAAGTCTTGCAACATGCCGACAAGGGCCGAGTACAAACTGTGACGGTATGCTATTTACATGAAATATTAAAAAAAAAAGATCTAATTAACAGAGTGCAAGACATATGATGGCACACACCACAGCTTGATCTTCGGGGCAACGTCTATGAACAACACAGAACCGACCATCTCCATCTGGTGTCGCAAACTGGACAGTGTAGCAAAATCAACAAATGACCATCCTCTGGAATCAGCGCTGAAAAACTTTGTGCGGGGAATAGCCCAGCTAACTATCACAATGGCATTAATAGCATATGTCAGCACTTTCATACAATCACAAGATAAACTGACCCACTAAGCTGCAGGTCCTCAGGACCCACAATACATCGCGTATCTCATTGGCGCCGCTGGGAAATGCCTGGCAAGAATATTCAAAAAAATTTAATCGACCACAGGACCTAACGGATGATGTTTGTCTCTTGGTAGAGAAATACATTGAGGATCAGAAGAGGGGCGAAGGCTTTGAGAGGGTGCGAAGCCCAGTAGACAATAAGAAATATGCCTGGACGAGTGAAGCCCACCATATTAGGCAGTGAGAAGTTGCATGATGAGGACTTGCATGATGAGAGTATGCATGCCGTGATTCTTCTCGGAAATTAGAGAGATTCTATTGGAATAAAACAATGTATGCACTATGTGATTCATGCGATGAATCAGTTCGCATCAATAACAATCTTTTATTGGCGAGTACTACACCATATGTAGAATCTTGTCAGTCTACGAGGCACGCGCATGTGCAAACATATGCTCAACCATATGATTACTATTGCAAAGTGATTCAATTCTCAAGTTGCATTACACATATACTTCCGAGATCAAGGTTAAGCTTATTCTAAATGTAATATTATGTTGTACTCAAGCCAAAGTCAAGTAATTTACTTTCGAAAGTAAGAGAATGAGTCGGGTCCAAAGTCAAGTCTAGTGTCCCACCTTTGACTGCTGGAAGAATGGAAGTCGGAAAAAGGTGAAGTGTTTGAAGGACGCGGGTTGATATACAGAATGACTATGAGATTCAATCTCCGCCCGAAGTCTTGCTCAGCGCCACAGCCAGCTGGGTTTGAAATCATAGTCATTCTGTATATCAAGGGCGTCCTATTGACAAAAATTCCCTTTCCGAAGCCAAGGCACCTAACAAGTGATGCAATAGGATAGAATTCATTCCAATTTATTAACTACTCTACTCTACTGTCTGTGTTATGCCCATAATTTATGTCACTGTATATTGTGGATTGAATGGGGCTTTTTGTTCTTAAGTCTTAGTGTCAGAGGTCCAATTGTCTACCACATCTCCACAATGTGAAGCATTGTCGTCCGTATTTGCTAAGCGCTTCCAAATTAGTTGTTCACTACAAATACGGATCCTTCACGTTAATATCTCTTCTTTCCGTCACCACTACTCCGATATGTTGATAGATAGATCATAGATATCATAGTCTTTAGAATATTGAACATATAGAATTGAGAGTGCACTATGTAAGCTTTTCCGTCGCAACAGATCTACATATGTTCAATTAATCGATGTCCAGAATGTCCAAACGCACGGCATCCGAGTCTTATGATGAACCTACCCCAAAATGTGTCAGGAATCATGAAGGTGAGTTGTCGCATCATGTCGTCTATTTTCTCTCCGAGGACTTGTTTCACGTGTGTCAAGAGGCCATCAATGAAGAGGTATGAGTAAATAGAACACACTGCAAGCCTGTCTGACATTGCATAGGTGGAAGTATCGAAGTACTTCTTAGATCATCGTCCTTTAACTCACGTGCTTCAATCCCGGCTGCCAACGCAGCCAGATTACGACCCTTTCCCTGAGCCTGAATCTCTTCAAATTGGTGACGAGATAGAAGTGTGTGCAGGAGAGTACATGGGGAAATGCGGGATCGTGGTGTGGTTTCCTGTGGGGGGGACCATGCTGTGGTTCCGTACTAGTGACAATATCAAGGATCAGCTTATCAAAGTCCCCGCAGCATGTGTACAACACATTCGACCCTTCAAGACTCTCCTCTTTACCAAGGAAAGAGGTTATGACATTAAGCCCAGAGACATTGTGACTGTCGCCCGTGGGCCAGAGTTCCAGATGAAAGGGGTTGTGCAAAGCGTGGATTTTTTAAATGTGTGCTTGACCCTGATATCTGAGAGTAATCACTCACTTGTAAGTACTACTCTCCTCGACTCAAGCGCCTCTGAGTTATGATAGGTTAAAGTTCCTATCGGATTCGTCATGAAAGTATCCAACGTGAACCCGGACTCATTTTGCAATATCATTGGGAAAAAGGTTTTCATCATTAAAGGTCCTTGGAAGGGTTACAGGGCAATGCTATACCAGCTCGCTCACGATGAATGCTCCATTTCTTTACCCGGGCAAGCGCGTATCACAATCAAATGTGAGGAGGTTGCTACTAGGTGATCACAGTGCATATTTTCTTATTGCTTTTATTCACAACTGTTAAAGGTACGGAATGAGGTTGAATGGTTAAATACTTGAAGGATCGGATATGATTTCTTTCTGCAACATGCAGAGGAAATCGTACATAATGCCGCAACGAAGCAAGACCCCTCCACCTGACCCTGTAGTCCCACCCGAACTTGGCTCCAGCAAGTGGTCTGACTGGTCCAGCCATAACAATATTGATTTGACAGATGGTGTCAAGACATACAACCCTTGGGTTGCTAACAATGCAGAGGATGTCAAGGACGCAATTGCAGACAGAATGGAGAAGCTCCGAAAAGGCAGTGAGTCTCTAACGTAGACTTCTTAACGTTTGGCTTATTTCAATACAGGCCCGTTATCTTGGTTGATGAACAAAGAGTTTGCATTGAAGTTAACTGAGTATCATGTGGTGTTTAAAGTTTCACCAAGTTTCATGGGAGGCAGGCTGCACAATTGTTTTGTGTCGACAGCTTGTCCTGACCCGTTCTGTGGTAACAATGGACCCGCACCTGATGGCTACGTCGCGGTATTTTGCACATCCAACAGTGCCGGAGCCGCACTTCAGCACTACTACATTCCCGCTAGCTGTCATATCCCATGTTCTGGACCCGGACCTATCACACATATCATTTCCGGGTACCCGGATCCAGCTGACATCTATCTATGTCCGGATCCGACCCGCGTCTAACTTCCGTGCCTTATCCCTTTGTATGTTCCTACTCCAGTTAGACTATATCATTTTCCGTACCTCGTTTCATTTCCGCCCTTTATTTTCCTTTGATCTAATCTCCGGGTTCATTTACTATTTTCTGATAGACTAGTGTTTGACTTTTCTATATGCTCCATCCACCGCTTTGTATAGCTTCGGACTTCGCATCTTAGTAGTATATAAACCCTGTAGAATCTATGTACATCCCTAGTTCGAATATTATCTTAGACTCTGCTCATTCCTTCCTCCGTCCGACTTGAGTTATCCTCTCGTCGACCTCCGCTCATCTTAGGATTGATTCCTATAGACTTGTCACCTCCGCCTCTACCTTTGGTAGTCCTCTGCTGTTTCCTTTCTAGTTCGGACTTCGTCCGGATTAGTCTTACCTCTCATTCCCGAATGTCTGCCGGAATTCCCATGCATCGGACATCGGACTCCAGACATCACCCGACGCCCTCCGGACATCATCCGGTAACCTTCGGACATTGTTCGACAGCCTTCAGGAAGTTAGGGGCACGTACTCGGGTAAGGGGCGCAGTGCACAAGCTGAAGCCAAGCCCTTCGGATTTGACCCTTGAGCATGTTCTTAACACTAGCGATCTAAGTCCAGCTCCACCACACAAAAAAAACCAACAGTGTCTCATCCTAGACGGCAATTCTCGTGGTGAGATTTTAACTGTCGCGAAGTGCAACATGAAAAAGAGTAGTGTTGAGATTGCGACTACCGCTAGGACCAGTATTAGTCTGCGGTTTGATCAGATATGCCTTGTGGAGCAACGTAGATTCCGATAGACATCTTGTCATATCCCATATATTCATGCTTCTCTTCCGGACTTCGGACCCTGAGATCCGATCTGGTCCGATGTATAGATCCGCTTCCGATCCGATTTACGATAAGCTTTCTAATTCATTTCCTGTTCATATAACGTTAAACACAGCCTATTCGGTATTTCCTCTTCCCGGTGTTTCGGTTATACTTATTACCGGTATGATTACTGATCCGTTAACCTATGTCTCATTTCCGACTCGCATTTGATAACCTTTGCACATGCTTCATACATAGCCTCGGACCTTTGCTTACTGATACTTCCGTTATCCTCATAGTATATAAACTCGTGTATATGTCCTGTAGTACCTCAGTTCGAATATCATCTTAGTTTGTCCTCTTTCTGTCCTCCGGACTTGAGTCCTTCTTACTCTTGTCACCCTCCGAGACTTCGGATAGATTCCGATAGTCTATATCCTCGGCTCTACCTTCGGGTAGTCTTACTCTGTTAGTTTCTAGTTCGGATACATCCGGATTAGTCTTATATATGTTTCCGATATCCGGAAGACATCCGGATATACTACGAGACCCATCCGGACCTTCGGACGCGTTATCGTTAGTACTTTGAAATAAGGGACAGTACTTGGGAAAGGGGCACAGCGTACGAGCTGAGGCCGAAGTCCTTCGGATCCGATCCTACGAGAGCACGACCTTAACACATCTGTACTATACTCTGCACCCCATACTCGCCAGACTCCCTGTACTCCACAATATTTTATACCCAATACGAGCACCCAATGATTGCCCAATGAACGCCTGATGAACGCCCAACGAGCGCCCTCATCATTTTTCCCGTGTTAAAACTATATGTTTTACTACTGTATTTTGTCTTGCTCAGAAATTTGATTGTGTCGAAATTGGAAAATGCCCATTTTTAGATGATATTTTGACGAACATTTTCTCCGCGCTCAAAACTGTATAATTTATGTCTGATATAAAATTTTATATTTGTTTGTCATTTATTATAATAAAACACTTCAAGTTCAGATCGAACATAAAATTTGGGTCAGCATGGTTTATTTTGCTTTGTCATTTCGCCGTCTGCCGAAATGTGCAGTGTTAAAATTCGAAGTGAAAATGCCTAATCTTCCAATTACATTTTGATTTCAATCTCCCTCAAAGCAAAACTCCGATACCGCCGATGTGTAAAGTTTGCGACACGGTGCCTGGTCCCCGGATGATAAATTTCTATGATGCTGGCTGTCGCAATAGCAAGGCGTTCGCCAGAAGGCGAGTAGCGAACGCAGAAGACACGATCGTAACACGTGATCAATCTTCCTTGTAACTGCCAGGTTTTCGTATCCCACAACTTTTGCTTTTTGGTCCATTGAAACGGTGGCTAGCACTGCACCACAGGGAGAAAAGTCCATGGATATCATCCCGAACTGGCTTTTGATAGCTTTGATGAGAAATTCTCCAGTTGCTCCGTGCCAGGCGATGACTTCTCCCTTCTCATCACCACTTGCTATCAATTGCCCGTCTCGCGACACCACTAATGCCCACACCTCACTCTTATGCCCTGCCATCATCTTCAGCAATGTGCCTGACCTCAAGTCCCACATACGAAGCCAGGAGTCCGACGAGGCAGTGACCATACGCTGTCTATCAGGGAGCACTGCGACTGCGAGCACCGCTTGATAGTGATCTTCAAATGCCCGAATGGGTGTGGTGCTGGGATTGAACCAATGCATTTTGGTGAAGGATTATGGTAGAGTACGGTCAAGATCGACTTGTTAGAGAGATTGCAGCGGTCTCGATCTAAGTCCTGGAGGTGCGTCCACCGAGCGTCTTTATACTGCTTCACAGCATCAGCCCCATCAGAACTCTCAATACATATAAAGCTGTGATGATAAGCTCCTTCGTGTTGCCGCTGATGAATCGACGGACTCTCCTGAATACCATGCATCAACAACAAAGCTATCAAACAGACTCAGTCCTTAGCTTCAACCGTCGAGACACCAAATTAATACGAACGTTCAAGCCCTTGCCAGCTCAAATGCACAATAGCAGTCTTTCAATCTCCACTAGTGGCACGTCCCGAGGCAGGACGCTTTCTTCCCACATGTTATAGTCATATTTATAATTCTTGAACAACAAGTACGCCAATTGAAGTTATTTTGTCCTATACTAAAGTGACTCGACTGAACATCTCCATCTAAGGCTCTTCGCTCTTATGACTTCTATCGCATTCAGACGTGACTGTCACTATATGGCTAGCGGTTGCGTCCACCACAAGCCACTTTAATAAGCATCTGATAGGTGAGTCAGGTGAGTGTGGGGCCACGGGCACTACCGCAGACATGAGTCCCCACCTCGTTTGTCTTCGAACTATCTACTGATGTAGCTCAAAAGTCCAATTCCTCGCTGTCGACGATGGGCATAGCATCATGGAAATGTGTTGATTTGGTCGAGTACGCCGTAGCGAGAGTCATTAAGTACGTCTATTCGATGCTCCCTGGGTCCTCGTCTCACACTTCCGTTGTAGAAAAGATCGCGCAGTCTAGTTATTCGGATGCAGAGAGAGATACCTGAAAAGAACATTGAGAAAGACCATCAGATTCCTTGATTGCTCGGGTGTTCAGGGGGACTATTGGAAAGGACTTGTCGTCCGAAGGTCTGAAATTTGTAAATCAAAACGGAGGTAAAGGGCCGCCGTGAAGGTGACAGCTGTACAGCCTATCGTTCTTCAACGCGCCCACAAGCCCTGATGGCGTGCCAGCAGGTGCCAGCCCAGTGAGAATGATCGCATGCGCCTCTGTACGCGGTAAAACTTTATACCATAACAAACCTTGTTTATTTGGATTGCAACCGGTACGTGTTGGATACATGCCAAAGAAAACAAGAGAGATCAAGCAGAAACCTAGGGATACATGATGATCTAGATTTGAACTCGACGGTTCGGCGGACTTATGTCGAAGGTGATTACATAATTGTCGTTGTCACGAACTCGGTTGAATTTATCGTTTACTGAACCGTTGAGTCTGGCTCTGCTATCAACTTCGTTCAACTACTTATCGATTATTAATTGTGGACTTTGACTTGAAATATTTAACAATGGTGTTTTGCTAGTTTGAAAGCTAGCACAGGTTTGCGTGTTCTGATTCTCAACTTACTTTCGTTTCTATCTCAGCATCCTTAGCCTGCATCATGGCCGACAATGTTGACCCCACCGTACGCAAGGCACCTCCCCGTAACTCTGCCTTGTCTGTTCATTCGGAGGCTGGACTCAAATCCACCTCACTCGCAGTCGGTTCTGCTGTTGTCAGCGAACATATCAGTACTGTTGACGTTGAGTGCGTCAATTCTTCCTTTTGTTCTTGCCACCATCACCCATATTAGTGAATTTTGCAGAGTCAGTAATGTCCGCCCATGGATCGCGAGGGACGTCCAAAACTCTGAGAAGTGTGAGGCAGATATGACGCTGCAAGAACTCCTCGCAAGATGCGCAGGTTCTTATCAATACCTTTCTGTCAGCGAGAAATCAAAGCTACTCGACTTCGTTCGGGACCTCCCACGCTGGTCTGTCTTGCTTCTCATCATGCAGCGGATGGGATACGAACAGTGGGGCCTTAACCGCATGTTTGAGCCTGAGCCCGGATTTTCAGGCAAGGTGATGGTTGAGGATGCCCAAATCGACCTAGAGTTGGATGTAAAGTCTAAGGAGCGCGTGACTCCATTCGGTATACGCGGACGTGCAACTACCGTGTTTTCAGTGAAGAGCGAGGCACTTTCAGGTCTGCAGCGGGATCCTCGTTTTCCCAACGAATCTTCTGAACTGGTGGCCAAGCTCTATTGGCCAGAAGAGACGCGTCAGAGCGAGCCAGACATCCTCAAGAAGGTCTACAAGATTGCACAGACAGATCCGGATGTGCGAGGCCATATCCCAGAGCTGGTCTGGTTCCACAAGTTCAAAGAAACATCCACGTCCAAAATCAGAGTCGCACTAGGACTGAAGGACGCTGAACGGGCCGAACAGGGCAGCCGCGTCTTGTACATCATCGTATTCAGAAAGCTTATCCCAATCACAACGCTTTCTGGCGAGGAGTTCCTTGCCGCGTGGTGGCAAGTTGTGAAGTGTAAGCTTTTTTTTCCCCTTCTCCTGCTCTTCATCATTCATCCACGACTCGACAGGTCATTGCGCCCTCTGGAAAGAAGGCGTGCTTCATCGGGATGTCAGCCCTAGCAATCTTATGGTGTACCGCTTACGCGGTCAATACATAGGCGTTCTCAACGACTACGACTTATCGTCGTTTAATCGTGATGGTCCCAGGGGCCTCGAGCGTACAGGAACGGTACCATTCATGGCGGCAGACCTTCTCACGCCAGACGGCGTCGCAGGCAAGGTCGAGCATGTGTATGCGCATGATGCTGAATCGTTGATCTGGGTCCTCACCTGGGTCTGTCTTCGGTATAAAGAGGGCGAGCTCCTCAGCAGGCCCAGACCACTAGAAGGCTGGCTGAAAGCGGATGCTATTCAATGCCGCAGGGACAAGACTCACTTTTGGTCAATAAAGATCAGAAGCGTGCGTCCATCCACATCGCACGCAGAGACCTGGGATCTTGTAAAGAAGTGCTTTGATGGGATCCACTCGATTTACCTTCCATCAGGGTACCGCAAACTCACCGATGAATCGGCTTTTCAGTTGTTACTTGAGGGGCCTATGCTAGAGCATGAGAGTCGTAGGCGTACTTATAGTTGAGGTAGCGTGCCTCCCTTACAAGTCGCTTTGTAGAATGAACGGTCACAGGCGAGAAGCGGTCTTGGGTACCACTATGACTTTGTAATAAATAGAATACGACAATCATGGAGGCTAAGCGTGAACATTCGAGAACACGTGGTTCCGCTTTCCAGCATCTTTTGTCCAACCAATTAAGTGTTTACAGTATCAAGTCAGTATTGACAACATGACACAGGGTTTCAGTTGCCTAATTCCGACTGTAATTTTGCAATGGCGTGTATCTCCATTCTGAGTGGATTGCCCAATCTTACCGCGAAGAAATGGAAGAAGAGTACTACATGTCGAACGAAAGGATTACAATATGGCATAAATGCAATTCATAGTAGGTGGTATGTAGGAGGAAGGTAAAACGACGATAAGGTCGTAGTCATTGAGAACGCCTATGAATTGACCATGTGAGTGGTATCCCATGATATTGCTGAGACTGACGTTGCAGTGATGTACACCCCTTTCCCAGAGGGCGCGACGGCCTGTCAGAATGTTGGATGCATGTACAAAGAGCACGAGGATGAAAGAATACATACACTTTACCATTTGCCACCACGCGGCGAGGAACTCCCTCTCGGTGAGCATCATCACAGGGAGATACTTTTTGAACATCGTGATGCACAGGGCGCGGCTGCTCCGTTCAGCGTCCTTGAGTCCTAGTGTGCGCCTGATTTTTGCCGGTCGAACCAGATCATCTCCGGATCAGCATGCCAGTGACCCAGCACCTCTAATTGACCTTTTTTTCTGCAATCTTGTAGACTTCATCGAGGATCTGAGGCTCTCTCTAGTGTCTCTTCTGGCCAATAGAGAGACTTTTTATGTGTATTTCCGTGCTGAGCGACCGCCGACAGTGTGCTTATTCGCATGACGGGAGGGAGGGTTTGGGAGGTTTGCGCTTCGATTGGAGAACTGCAAGGAAAATGAACTGCGTAAGGAGATGGTGTCGTGGATGCCTACGGAGATCAATCAGAAGATGGAGTTGTGTTAGATTAGATTGATTTGTATAAGGCCGGAACCATACTCAGGAATCGCACTCCCCTATATCTCACTATCATGATGTATGAAACCGAAAAAAATGCGATACCGCGAAGCTGAAGCAGCGTACATTGTAGATGTGTTCAGATATTTGCGAGAGACTGAAAGTCGTGCGATGAGCAGAGCGAGGGGTTAAAGAAGAAGCTTGATCATAATGCGAAGAATGATCCAACGACGGGGGACGAAGCACACCAAACAATTTTCAACCGACACGTTATGCAATGTCGGGAGCGAGATATGCGAACATGTATGAATATGGAGCATGATGGTGGCGAATAGCAAAATGGTGGGGCAATTATGAAGGCACCCGGAAACACGGAGAGTACATCACCAACTTATAAAGAGATAAGTATGGGTAGAGATCCGCCTAACAGTTCAGGAGACGTAAGATTTGACCGTTCTCCCGAGCTCTCCTTGGTCGAGGAGACGATGACTCGGATCCTATGGGTGGACAAGCAACAACATCTGTTGAGTGGGCCTTGCCTGGAGAAGTGGATCAGCGCCTCTTGTGCGGTGATCAGCAAGTCGCAAGTCTCAGCGCACTACCATTTGACACGACATTCGTCCCATGAGCTCCGATGTGTAACCTTGAGGACTACAGGAAAGTGATTCTAAGGCTCACTGAGGGAGCAGCTGGGTCCCCTTCTCCCACTTTTACTCCATACCAGATCGCACAGCCCGGCTGTGGAATGCAGACAGTGACTTCTGATAAGACGTCCTGAATCAGATCCCTCGGTTATTCGTGTATTCAAGCTCAAGAATGAACAGAAGTGTTCGACAAAATGGAAGTTTGAAATCTGTAAATCAGAAACGGAGGCAGAGGCTGCCGATCAGTAAAATTCTTCTGCAAAATTTTCCTGTGCGACGCGCGGGACGCACGAACGTCAAGACGGACCAATAAAAATGTTCATCACTCAAGGAAATCGCACCCAATAGATGCCAAATGCAACAACCACAGCATAATTCGAGAATGAGTGATTTCGATGCTCCCTGGGTCCTCGTCTGATACTATGTTATGTAAAAGATTGCGCAGTGACTCCAGTTGTTCGGATGCAGAGAGAGATAGCTGAAAAGAACATGGAGAAAGACCATCAGATTCCTTGATTACTCGGGTGTTCAGGGGGACTACTGAAAGTGACTTGTCGTCCGAAGGTTCGAAATTTGTAAATCAAAACGGAGGTAAAGGGTCACCGTGAAGGTGACAGCTGTACAGCCTATGGTTCTTCAACGCGCCCACAAGCCCTGATGGAGTGCCAGCCCAGTGAGAATGATCGCATGCGCCTCTGTACGCGGTAAAACTTTATACCATAACAAACCTTCTTTATTTGGATTGCAACCGGTACGTGTTGGATACATGCCAAAGAAAACAAGAGAGATCAAGTAGGAATCTAGGGATACATGATGATTTGGATTTGAACTCAACCTGCGGACTCATGTCGAAGGTGATTACATAATTGTCGTTGTCACGAACTCGGTCAATTTATCGTTTACTGAACCGTGAGTCTGGCTCTGCCATCAACTTCGTTCAACTACTTATCGATCATCAATTGTGGACCTTGACTTGAAATATCTAACAATGGTGTTTTGCTAGTTTAAAAGCTAGCTCAGGTTTGCGTATTCTGATTCTCAACCCACTTTCTTTTCTATCTGAGCCTCCTTAGACCTCATCATCATGGCCGACAGTGCTGACGCCACCGTCCGTGACAAGACACCTCCCCGTAACTCTACCCTGTCTGCCGATTTGGAGACTGGGCTCAAGTCCACACCACTCGCAGTCGGTTCCGCTGCTGTCAGCGAACATATCAGTACTGTTGGCGTTGAGTGCGTCAATTTTTCCTTTTGTTCTCGCCACGATCACCCATATCAGTGAATTTCGCAGAGTCAATGATGTCCGCCCATGGATCGCGAGGGACGTCCAAAACTTTGAGAAGTGTAAGGCAGATACGATGCTGCAAGAACTCCTTGCAAGATGCACAGGTCGCTCTCAAAACCTTTCTGTCAACGAGAAATCGAAGCTACTCGAAACTGCTCTCAATGCTGTTCTGCCTATCTGCAATGCGGGGGCTGTAGCGCAGGAGATAAAGGGACACCTGACTAATTTGTAAGTCAGTATCTCGAGCAGTGCGAAAGAAAACTGACGCCATTGTCAAGTTGTGATACCAACCTCGAACCATTGACATATGCTCCTTTCGTCAAAGCCGCCAACTGTGCGCTCCGTGAACTAAGCAAGGTGAATGTAGATGGGATACCTGCGTTCAAGGTCGACGACAAGACCAACATTCTACTTCATGTCAATGATCCAATGCCCATATACCAGGACCACCAGGACAAACAGTCCGAACGCAAGCCTGACGTTGTCGTGGTCTCTCATCAAACTGCCCTGGGTACGAAGGCACACGAAACACAAGAATCCCAGGTTCTTACCGAGACGGCGTGCAAATCGCCCAAAGACAACTTTCAATGGACCGATGTTCGATCGACATTGGAGTTCAAACGCACCCGGAAGTCTCTGACCCATCCGCCGTCCGTTTATAAGACAGATTATGTCGTTCCTTCTCCTTCTGCGCAGTACATGGAATATAGGAAGGACGCGAACGGCCCTGCTAAGCCAACAGGTTCAACGCCTGCTACTGGGTCTGCTCAGACCCCCCACGAAGCATCGAATGAGTGTAAGCTGTAGTTTGTCTGTTTTGTGCTTCCTTACTGACATGTGCGAGGTAGTAAGACCCTCGTCGCAATTGAGCAGAGGAGTCAAGCGCAAGCGAGATGAAGATCGGACTAAAGAGAAGGAGCCGAGAAAACCCCATCCTGTCGTCCAGAACGGCCTCTACGTTGCAGAGATGTTCGCGGCTCACATCGCGCGGCAACACGTCATCTCCTTTATAGTGAACAGTAAGTTGATGGGATGCTGTTAACCTGGCGCCAAACTGACAACTCCTTCCAGACGATTATATTTACATCTGGTTCTGTGATCGCGAAACCACGATTCAAGGCGCTGCCATCAACTTCGTTCAGGACCTTCCACGCTGGTTGGTCTTGCTTCTGATCATGCAGCGGATGGGATACGAGCAGTGGGGCCTCAACCGCGTGTTTGAGCCTGAGCCCGGATTTTCGGGCAAGGTGATGATTGAGGATGCCCAAATCGACCTAGAGTTGGATGTAAAGTCTAAGGAGCGCGTCACTCATTTTGGTATACGCGGACGTGCAACTACTGTGTTTCCAGTAAAGAGCGAGGCACTTTCAGGTCGGCAGCGGGACCCCTGTTTTCTGAACGAATCCCATGAACTGGTGGCCAAGCTCTATTGGCCAGAAGAGACGCGTCAGAGCGAGCCAGACATCCTCAAGGAGGTCTACAAGATTGCACAGACAGATCCGGATGTGCGAGGCCACGTCCCAGAGCTGGTCTGGTTCCACAAGTTTGAAGAAACATCCACGTCCAAAATCAGAGTCGCACTAGGACTGAAGGACGCTGAACGGGCCGAACAGGGCAGCCGCGTCCTGTACGTAATCGTATTCAGAAAGCTTATCCCAATTACGACGCTTTCTGGCGAGGAGTTCATTGCCGCATGGTGGCAAGTTGTGAATTGTAAGTTTTTTTTCCGTTCTCCTACTCTTCATCATTCATCCACTACTCGACAGGCCATCGCGCCCTCTGGAAGGGAGGCGTGCTTCATCGGGATGTCAGCCCTAGCAATCTTATGGTGTACCGCTTACGCGGTCAATTCATAGGCGTTCTCAACGACTACGACTTATCGTCGTTTAAATGTGATGGTCCCAGGGGCCTCGAGCGCACAGGAACAGTACCATTCATGGCGGTAAACCTTCTCTCGCCAGCAGCCATAGCAGGCAAAGTTGAGCATGTGTATGCGCATGATGCTGAATCGCTGATCTGGGTCCTCACTTGGGTCTGTCTTCGGTATGAAAAGGGCATACTCAGCACAAACAGACCACTAGAAGAATGGCTGAAAGCGGATGCTTATCAATGCAGCAGGGACAAGGCGCACTTTTGGTCAGCGAAGATGGGAGATATGTGTCCATCTGCATCGCACAAAACGTCCTGGAAGCTTGTAGAGAAGTGCTTTGATGGGATCCACTCGATTTACCTTCCATCAGGGTACCAAAAACTCACCGATGAATTGGCTTTTCAGTTGTTACTTGAGGGGCCTATGCTAGAGCATGAGAGTCGTAGGCGTACTTATAGTTGAGGTAGTGTGCCTCTCTTACAAATCGCTTTGTAGAATCAACAGTCGTAGGCGAGAAGCGGTCTTGGGTACTACTTATGATTTTGTAATGAATAGAATGGTGCAATACGACGATCATGGAGGCTAAGCATGCACATTCAAGAACACGTAGTTCCTCGTATGTACCCACTATCACTTACGCAAGGACAGGCTTTCGGACATCTTTTGTCCAATCAATTGTGTTTACAGTAGCAAGTCAGTATTGACAACATGACACAGGGTTTCAGTTGCTCAATTCCGACTGTAATTTTGCAATGGCGTTTATCTCCATTCCGAGTGGATTGCCCAATCATACCGCGAAGGAATGGAAGAGTACTACGTGTCGAACGAAAGGATTATCATATGGCATAAATGCAATTCATAGTAGGTGGTAGGTGGTAGGAGGGAAGGACTAGAGGCGTGTGAGTGTTGTACATAGAACATTTAGTCTGATTTCAAGCCATGGCCTGTCATACGATAAATGTAATGTCGAGTAACCGTACAAGACATCTTTGCATTTCAAAACGCAAGAGTGACTGCTCGCGGAGAGGGCTGTATCTCCACGGGCAAGACGTAGTACGCTTCAGTCTTTCTAGAAAGCTGAGAAAAAAGTAGTTAAGGATCGCAGCATGTAACACTACCGACGACTTACCGGCGAACCACGCACGTAAGCTGGGTCTTATAGCTTCATCACATGCGTCCATCATGGATTCGAACGCCGTGTATGCTTCTCCGAATCTACTCACCCGAATTAGTGCGTAGCATAGTTGCTTGCGGGCGGTGAGCCACAATGACTCAAGGTCCCACCCGAAGAGCTGCCAAAATCCCAGAAAAAAATGCAATTGAGCACGAAAAAACATTGATGGCTGTATGACACCGACGTACCACGGTAAAATCGCCATACATACGATGAATTGACGATTTAGAAAAGAGGGCGCTAGCACTGACAGCGGAAGTGAAATGGTTGACAGCTTGGCCCTTGTGACACCAGCTACTCAAAGCAATGGTGCCTAGTTGGACGTGTAAATACGTCTAGGACGCGTGGAACCATCAGTGTCAGCACGCAAAATTGTACTTCATACTCACTTCAACGACACGGCAAGCAAGAAGATCGGTATCGGGAAAATCAGTGACTAGTTCTTGGACGCGCAGCATTGCCTCATCATGTTTATTTGCATTAAACAGTGCGATAGCCTGTGACTCATAATGAAGCGCGGAGTGTGCAATGAAAGAGAAACATGCCTTGATCAAGAAAAGTAAATGTGTTGTCCTTGCAACACCATCAGCCGATCTGAACGCAAGGTCAAAAACTTTCGTGGCGTCCCGGAACTGCCTTTTCCCACAGAGGGCAATGCCCTTCGCAACATAGCCTGTTAAGGATGGATTTATCCGTAGTGACTATGCCAGGATCGATGTTAGTCCACGTGAAGTGCATGCCGTATGACTTACTTTATTTGCATCTTGAAGTGCATCGTCCCAGTTGAGTTTGCGTGCCATAACGATTGAGCGAGTAGCATAAGAAGTGTAGTCTCTAGGGTTGTCCGTGATCTCTCGCGTGACTATCTCTTCAGCCGTAGACAATCCCCCCATAAGAAGGGCATCGCAGGCGCTCGTGGTGATGGTGAGAATCTAAGATACGCTCGAATTTAATTATCAGAATTAATGGTGGAAACATGCCTTTAAATCGACGCTTTGAGCCTTGAAATAAAAAGAAGGCAAGACGAGATGATAAACCAGGACGGCCCGGGCGGGATAACAATGGGAAAATACCTTTGACTTGGGAGCATCCTCGGACAAAGCGTCCTTGGGTACTGCCCACTCTGATATCTTCTCATCGTCACCTCCGCTGAGTATATGTTCGCCGTCCACGGAGAAAGTAACACAACACACCCGGTCAGAGTGCTGGAATATGGAGATAGTGTGTCCATCTGAAAGGCGCCAGAGACGGACTTGCTTGTCATCAGATGCAGAAGCGACCAGCGTTCCAGCAGGATGAATCGCAATTACATTAACATCATTAGTGTGTCCCACCCAGGCATCACCGACCTGCTCCCAGGTGGATGCATCCCACTCTCGTATGGTAGGATCCTCATAATTGCCTGATGAAAGAAGACCTGTGCCATCGGGTGTCCAGGTGAGCGAACAGTTGTATGAGCCGTGACTGTTAAACTTTGCGACACGGTGCCTGGTCCCCGGATGATAAATTTCTATGATGCTGGCTGTCGCAATAGCAAGACGTTCGCCAGAAGGCGAGTAGCGAACGCAGAAGACACGATCGTAACACGTGATCGGTCTTCCTTGTAACTGCCAGGTTTTCGTATCCCACAACTTTGCTTTTTGGTCCATTGAAACGGTGGCTAGCACTGCACCACAGGGAGAAAAGTCCATGGATATCATCCCGAACTGGCTTTTGATAGCTTTGATGAGAAATTCTCCAGTTGCTCCGTGCCAGGCGATGACTTCTCCCTTCTCATCACCACTTGCTATCAATTGCCCGTCTCGCGACACCGCTAATGCCCACACCTCATTCCTATGCCCTGCCATCATCTTCAGCAATGTGCCTGACCTCAAGTCCCACATACGAAGCCAGGAGTCGGACGAGGCAGTGACCATACGCTGTCTATCAGGGAGCACTGCGACTGCGAGCACCGCTTGATAGTGATCTTCAAATGCCCGAATGGGTGTGGTGCTGGGATTGAACCAATGCATTTTGGTGAAGGATTATGGTAGAGTACGGTCAAGATTGACTTGGTAGAGAGATTGTAGCAGTCTCGATCTAAGTCCTGGAGGTGCGTCCACCGAGCGTCTTTATACTGCTTCACAGCATCAGCCCCATCAGAATTCTCAATACATATAAAGCTGTGATGATAAGCGCCTTCGTGTTGCCGCTGATGAATCGACGGACTCTCCTGAATACCATGTATCAACAACAAAGCTATTGAACAGACTCAGTCCTTAGCTTCAACCGTCGAGATACTGGATCAGTACGAACGTTCAAGCCCCTGCCAGCTCAAATGCACAATAGCAGTCTTTCAATCTCCACTAGTGGCACGTCCCGAGGCAGGACGCTTCCTTCCCACATGTTATAGTCATATTTATATCTTGAACAACAAGTAAGCCAATTGAAGTTATCTTGTCCTATACTAAAGTGATTTGACTGAACATCTCCACCTAAGGTTCTTCACTCTTACGACTTCTATCGCCATTCAGACGTGATTCTCACTATATATGGCTAGCGGTTGCGTCCACCACTTAAGCCACTTTAATAAGCGTCTGATAGGTGAGTCAGGTGAGTGTGGGTCCACGGGCACTACCGCAGACATGAGTCACTATCTTGTTGGCATCTTCGAACTTATCTGCTGATGTGCGCCCGTGGGTGTTCCTTCCAGTTTGTCGAACCAGAACATCTCTTGATCAACGTGCCAGCGGCCCAGCGCCTTTTGATCTTTTTTTGCAAGTTTGTAGATTTCATCGAGGATCTGAGGCTCTCTCTGGCGTCTCTCTTCCGACCAATAGAGATACTTTGCAACCACGGCTAGTTCACCGGGTTCAGGGTTCATCAGAGATTCCCATCGCAAAACCGGTAGCGCCTTGCTTTCCACTGGAAACACATTGGTCGCACATTCGGGTGCAAATGCAATTCATTCCGTGGTGGTGACTTGGATCTGAATGTGTAGCCATTGTCGAATCCGTGGTCTGCTTTTGTGTTACAGATGAGCTACCGCGATACGAGTACAAAGGAGATACTTAGATGTGCAAAGGCAATGCCGCGGTACATGACAAATAGACCTCCAGTTGCAATATGCATCATAATGCCTAAGAGTGGTAGCGTCATATCTGTCGACAGCGGGTGCGCTTCATTCAAATTCATCAACAGTTGATGAAATATTTACGAGTGAACATCATGGGCACGGGCGACATTATGAATCACTATACAAGTCGGGGTAATCGACGCACAAGCTACAGCGTGTCTGCACGTTATCTCGATTGCTGATGAACAAAGAGGTGGAGTCACGTATGCCATGCACGAGCATGAAAGCCGCTCGGTAGCGCGAGAAGGAAAATTTTGTTCTGTAAGCCAACAGACTATACGAGCACAAAGGGCAAATTGTGTATACAAGCAGGTGACGTCAAGGCATGAATGAAAACTGCTCAAAGTACAAATTGCTAGGCGGCATAGAGCGCGCTTCGCCTCCCATTGAGAGCTGAAGGAATTTCGGGTGAGCACCGTAGCACAGGTAGCGTTTCTGACGACTTGCCAGGGATCCAATGAAGGAAGATGGCCTTCGTGGGTTCATCACTCATCTCCATCGCGTATCGGTACGCTTCGAAAGCGGCTCCAGCTTGATCGTCCAGGAGAAGTGCATGGCAGCGTTGCTGGTTTACGGTCTGCCACAAGGACTTGAGGTCCCAGCCAAAAAGTTTCACAAACATACAGTTGAGCATGAAAAAGATTGTTGGTCGCGTCATATCAACGCACCACGACAAAGTCCTCGTATATAGAGTGAATGTCTAACTTGGCAAGGGAAACGCTAGCATTAACAGCAGCAGTGAAATGGCGAGCGGCTTCCCCGTAAAGGGCGCTCTCCATGGCAATTTTTCCTAGTTGGCCTCGCAAATATGCCTGATGTGCGAAGCGCAGAAATGTAGTGAGCATACAAACCCAAGCTTGATTGAACGTATAATACTCACTTCTACAACATGACAAGCGAGAGGGTCAACATTAGGACGGGAAGCTAGCTTTTGGACAGGAAGCACCGCCTGCTCATCTTTATTTGCATTGAACAACGCAATGATCTGGAAAAAACGTAATGAAGCATAGTGTCAGAATAAATAAAAACACATGCCTTGATCAAGAAGAGGAAATGATTCGCCTTTAAATCGGTGTTGGTGAATGTGAACGCGAGGTCAAATGCTTTCGTGGCGTCCCAGACCTGCTGTTTCCCGCAGAGGGCAAGGCCCTCGGAGACATGGCCTATGAAGGAGGGCTCAATACTGACGGACTATGATACGATCCAAATTAGCCTGCATTAAGAGGCATGATGGGCCAGCGTATCTTACCTTGATTGCATCATTGAGTGCACGATCCCAATTTAGTTGTCGCGCCATGATGATTGAGCGATGGGCATAGTAGTTGTAGTTGTCGGCATCAGCATCAATCTCTTTGGTCAGTAGCTCTTCTGCAGTACGCAGGTCTCCGGCTATGCATGCATCATGGACTTCTGCATTTATATCGAGGATCTGCGTAAAGTATGTTTGCATTAACTGTAAGAGAGCCAAAGGTGGATACATGCCTTGAAATCAAACGGAGGTGAAATTAGATGATGAAGAGACGTCGAGATGAAAAAGGACGTACCTGATGTATCACTTCTTTGTTGGGGCCATTCTGCAGCAAAGCATCCTCTGGTACCTGCCACCTCAATATCTTGTTGTCCGCACCTCCACTGAGAATGTGCCTGCCATCTGTGGAGAAGGTGAGGCAGTGCACCTCATTGGAGTGCTTGAATACGGCGATTTTTTGTCGATCAGAGAGCCGCCAGAGGCGGACATGATTATCCTCAGATGCAAAGGCAATGAGTGTGCCATTAGAGTTCAAGGCAATGGCCCTGATACCGCGGGAATGGTCCTCCCAGGGATCACCGACCTGCTGCCAGGTTAATGAATCCCACTCCCATATGGTACAATCCCACCCAGTTTGGCTCAATGAGAGAATACGTGTACCATCAGGTATCCATGCGAATGACAAGTTCTCGAATATTCCGTTTGTCTCCATCTCCAAGGTCGTGACCCATGCGCTCGTGTTTTGGTTCCATATGTGGATATAACTTTTTGTCGCGATGCCAATATGTTCACCAGACGGCGAATATCGAACGCAGCGGACAGAATCATCGCATTCTATCAAATCTTCTTGCTGCCACGTTTTTGTATTCCACAGCCTCACTGTCTCGTCGTGTGAACCGCTGGCCAGCATCTTGTCATCTGGGGAAAAGTCCAGCGATGGGATCCAATCGGTGTGGCCTTTGATGACTCCAGTCAGAGGTTCGCCAGTATCTCCATCCCAGGCGATGAGCTCTCCGTTCTTACCGCCACTTGCTATCAACTTTCCATCTCGTGATATCACCAATACCAAGACAACGACGCTATGCCGTTCCATTTTCTTCAATGTAACACCTCTTTTTATGTCCCACAGGCGAAGAATCTTATCTTCCGAGCCCGTCACCATCCTTCGTTGATCAGGAAGAACTCCAACACTGGATACAGATCCATGGTGACCTTCAAATTCTTGAACGGGTATAGTACTTAGAATGAAATATGGCATTTTACTGAATGTTGAACGTTGACGGTGTAGGTTTGCTAGAAGGCTCTGGAGAGATCGTGGGTGTCTAACACTAGGCAGTAGTTGCGGTCATTGAGGGTTTTTCCCGATCTGGATTTCATTGTTCTTCGGATACCATGGTCGACTGTCATTGCAGCTGATGCAAGTGCGTTTTGTTGCCCTCGATCACCCACGAAAAGGAAGCTCATACATACAGTTGTCGTTGTTCGATAGCGTTTTCGCTCTGGCATCACAATTTAGTGATAAAGTTCAAAGCCCGCGATTGTTAGTACCCATGTAGTCACTGCTTCGCGTACGTCCGATCGAAATCTAGACGTCAAGCTCGTCTGCACTCCGTGGCTGTTGCTCGTATCTACTTCCTCACTGCTCCTCAGCTGCAGCACAAAAGATCTTCTGCATAAAACGAGACGCAATTTCATATAGTACGCCGTCACATTCATTCAGAACACGCAAACCTTCCTCGTTACTCAAGAGAATCGTGACAAGTATGCACTCCAGCGCCTGCATCGCAATTTATCGAATGATTCTTTGATGGTCTGGCGAAGCTCGCTGAGTTGGAACGATTCGTTTCATCGTACACGCATGCGACTCTTTACAGACTTTGTGGGAAGAATGGTGCCAGTACTATGGTATGGTGTTCAGGCCGAATCAGCGGCAAAGCAGCGATAAAGAGCTGCGGTTGCGGCTATGAATGAAATATTAATGACCCACAAGCCGAATCAGACTCTACTGAACTGTTTCAACACAAAACTAAACTGTTCTCTGAGGCAGCTGTGAGCGCCCTCGCTTCCCTTTGTGTAAGCAACGCACTTTATGCACATGTGTGGATCGTGACAGTATTCGTTGGTTATGTAGAGCCAAAGGCTCCTAATTTTACGCGACACCATACTCCCGATCAGTCCATTTTTCTGTAGAGGTCACCGTCCTCGCACCAGTGCTTACATCACGATCTAATGATAATGTCACATGCATGCGTAAAACATCTATTGGGACTTTGGAACTGCTGACTCTGTCAAAGCACCTACTGATTGATCACTTTTCTGCCTCGACTACACGGGGAATGAGCGGTGATCACGCTGGAATCAAACTTGAGGAAGACGAACATTCACAACTCAGAACAAATTACATATAAAAGAATGTATTATCCTCCAGGGAAAACATCGCAAAGTGATATATGGAATATATAAACGAGTGGAAGGGTGCCCAGAGTTCCTCATGGTGCACAAATAAACGAAAAATCAAAGAACGACTATCACAAAGAAAGCAAGAAAGAAAAAAGTAACATAAAGTGACGTTCGATTCTTGAGATGATGCAAAACTAATAACGCCTATACTCATACCCTGGCATCTCCGAAGGGCGTCTCTGCATCAACTCAGGACACATGCATCCCTCAGTCCACCCATTGGGGGCCCTCGCGGGTCCGGTATGCATGGTGTAGTCGTCCGCGGTATCCGCTGGGCCGTACAAGACTTTCAACGACTGGTTGTGGATAGGTGGGGGAGGCTGGTATTGAGTGGATTGGGGTTGATATTGGGTGGGATAGGATTGCATGGGTTGCGGTTGCATGGGTTGGAGTTGGTATTGGTATTGGTATTGGTGGAATGTACCAAGGGGAAGGGGCTCTGCTGGCGGCGGAGGCTGGGACGGCGACTGGGCCCCGGATGAATTTGTTGCAGAGGGACCACGACGATTGCACGACCGAGGAACATACCCATGTTCTTTCTTGCGATGCTGTGTGATGTTGGAAGAGGTGTGAGTTCTGTAGTCACAGCCATCGTGAGGACAGACGAAGCGTTGCTCGCCCGTACTAAAATGAAATCAAATAGAATTGTTGATCAGGTGGAATCGGTGATGGTGATGAATGACCACGTACTGCACATCAGTATGATAATGGAAGCTTGCTTTGTGCAATGTCACAAAGTTACACCCGTCCCAGGTGCAGAAGTACGCTCTGTGTGAGTGAATATAAGTTAGGTGAGCCACATACCACAGGGTAAAAACACGTACTTTTCTGGTGAATGCATGGCCTCGTGTGCCTTGCAGTCGGCGAACTTTGGAAAAGCTTGGTTGCAGATAGAGCAAGCGTAGGTCTAAATATTACAAGAGTTAGTCTTCAAATTAATGCACGAAGTATGCGCCTGATTGGGCTTACCTTTGGCATGATTGGTTATATAAGAATATGAGTGAGGATACCACTTGTGAGGTGAATGTACGATCGAACTTGAGCGGATGATGGTGCTGGGTAAGTATTGGGGTAGGTATATATACCATTCCCTGCTGTGGTCGTGGTATTGTGTTTTGCGATGGACAAACCCAAGTTTTCAGTGGACAGGCGTTTGTGGACCCCACTGTGGTCGTAGTATTGTGCTTTGCGATTGGCAAACACATGTAGATTTGTGGTTTTCAGTGGGCAGACGCTTGTAGAATTCGTACAAGGATACTTTGTGGAGGTTACTAGTGGATGTGGGCCATGTGACGCGTGAACGCATTGTTGTTGAAGCAACCACATCCATTTGAATGCTTCGTCACCTGTTACAGCATCGAGCAAACGCCAGGATATAGTTATTTGCCAGAGACATGCAGGTCGATCGAAATTTAACGTGGAGAATCGAGTAAAGACCGGCATGGATGTCGAATTCCATGATACCAAGGTCCGACAAATTTTTAGAGGTCTCTGTCGTCGTGACCGGCCTGGGCCATGCAACAGGCACTCCTCGACCAACCCATTAAGCCACTAGGTGCTTTGCATGTCCAAGCGTAGTGCTTTGAGACTTTCATCCTTGTAGGCAGGACCGGGTGAGAGTTGTCAATTTTAGCAGTAAGATGGTAAAAGGGATGGGGTCAAACGCGCAATTGATCATAGAGTCTGTGCAAGTCCGACAGTGCATTTTGTTTATTGCTAATAATGTTAGGCAGTACGTCGATGGAGTAAAAAAAGGGACTTGTTGAGTCTGCGGTTGACATGCTTGCATGAATATAAGCAGCATCGAATATCAGGAACATGACGTACCAGCAAGTTTTGACGTCCAAGTATGCCCGACTTGTGCCATTTACAATTACTTAGCGATAGTAGAACTTCACGGGGGCGGCAGTGGCTGTGCACTACTGCATCTTTTCATTGAAGGCGATCACACGTGACGGTGCCTTCGTCAACAGATACCAGACAGTCACTCAACCAATTCAAAATCGTTTATCGTTTCAGTCTTTGCAATTGCACTGGATTCTAGCAAACCACGATGCCAGCTACACGCAAAGTTGTGCCTCGCAAGCCCGCTCAGTTATCGAATGAAAGATTCAGAGGCCGAATCTCTTCACAGCGACGCGCTCGACGACCTGCCGCCCAAGAAACGCACGCGTTCTTCCAATTCCAAGCCCAGTTCGCCTTCGAAACCCAAAGCCAAGCGTAACAAACGCAAAGCCAAGGGAGATGATGTGAAAGATGAAGAAGATGTCGATGGTAGCGATGTAGACCTGAAGGAGGGGCAGCAAGTCGTAGGTCGCGTCGTGCAAGCTCCAAAGACAGGCTGGGGTAAGTCGGTCTTTTTCTGCCTCAGGCCTCAGGAATGATCAACTTACCAGTTTTAAAGTACCTCCTGGTCAGGTTTCACAGAACACGCTTGATTTTCTAGCGAAACTCAAAGCCCTGCGTGTAATGACCGTGAATGGTTTGCACTTCTATCACGGCCTTCGTTCATCCATTGTTGACTGAAAATCATCCTGCGCTTCTAGGTTTAAGCTACACGGTATGCAGGGTTTATGCATTAGGCTGAAGCTCTGAGCTGATTTGTCAAACAGAACCAGTTTACCGTCGCGTAGAAAAGGAGTTCAAGGCGTTCATCGAGGCGTTCACCGACATGCTCACAGACGTTGACTCTGAGATTCCTCCGTTACCCCTAAAGACGTCACCCACCGCATATATAGAGATGTTTGTCCCTTACATGTTTCCTTCCGTGGATCTGCGGACCTGATGTCGTGTGGGTAGGTCCGCTTCAGCAACGATAAAACACCATACAAGAAGGGACTGTCTGCAAGTTTTTCGAGGAGTGGCAGGAAGGGGATTTTTGCGTTTTGTGAGCCTCGCAGCATTTTGCTTTCGCTGCAGATATCTAACTGTTCGTAGATCACGTGTACGCACTTCTTAGCATGAGAGTCGGACAAGCTGACTGGATATATGCACGTTGTTTGCTCACAGAATGAGTCAGTCGCAGTTGGAAATACTGGATCGGTATATGCTGACATGAATGACAATTAGTCAAGCCGGGTGACGAGAGCGTCATCGCTGCAGGTGCATGGTGTCCTGCGAAGAACGAACTCTTGACTCTCAGGTACGTCTCGTCTCCGCTTTTTTTGCGTGGTTCTTTTCATACTTTCCATTACCTAACATAAATCACCTACTTCGTTCCACACCCGCCGCCAAGACTCTGCACACAATCCTGGCTTCTAAAGCATTTACTACCCATTTCGGCCCTCCCCGCCCACACCCGCATGGAGATTGGTATATGGCTAGCGGTTGCGTCCACCACTTGAGCCACTTTAATAAGCATCTGATAGGTGAGCCAGGTGAGTGTGGGGCCACGGGCACTACCACAGACATGAGTCACCATCTTTTTGGCGTCTTCAAACTTATCTGCTGATGTGCGCCCGTGGGTGTTCCTTCAAGTTTGTCGAACCAGATCCTCTCTTGATCAACGTGCCAGTGGCCCAGTGCCTTTTGATTTTTTTTTTGCAAGCTTGTAGACTTCATCGAGGATCCGGGGCTCTCTCTGGCGTGTCTCTTCTGGCCAATAGAGACACTTTGCAACAACGGCCAGTTCACCGGGTTCAGGGTTCATCAGAGATTCCCATAGCAGAACCGATAGCGCCTTGCTCTCCACTGGAAACACACTGGTCGCACATTCGGGTGCAAATGCAATTCATTCTGGTGGGGACTCGGATCTGAATGTGTAGCTATCATCGAATCTGTGGACTGCTTTTGTGTTATAGATGAGCTACCGCGATACGAGTACAAAGGGGATACTTAGATGTACAAAGGCAATGCCGTGGTACAGATCAGAGATGACAAATAAACCTCCATGTTGCAATATGCATCATAAGCCTAAGAGCGGTAGCGTCATATCTGTCGACAGCGGGTGCACTTCATTCAAATTCATCAACAGTTGATGAAATATTTACGAGTGAACATAGTGGGCACGGGTGACATTTATGAATCACTATATTGGGGTAATTAACGCACAAACTAAAGCGGGCCTGCACGTTATCTCGACTGCTGATGAACAAAGAGGTGAGGTCACGTATGCCATACACGAGCATGAAAGCTGCTCGGTAGCGCGAAAAGGAAAATTTGGGATCTGTAAGCCAACAGACTATACGAGTACAAAGGGCAAATTGTGTATACAAGCAGGTGACGTCAAGGTATGAATGAAAGCTGCTGAAAGTAAAAATTCCTAGGCGACATGAAGCTCGCTTCGCCTCCCATTGAAAGCTGAAAGAATTTCAGGTGAGCATCTTACGCCAGCAGAGGTAGTGTTTCTGACGACTTGCCAGGGATCCAATGAAGGAAGATGGCCTTCGTAGGTTCATCACTCATCTCCATCGCGTATCGGTACGCTTCGAAAGCGGCTCCAGTTTGATCGTCCAGGATAAGTGCATGGCAGCGTTGCTGGTTTACGGTCTGCCACAAGGACTTGAGGTCCCAGCCAAAAAGCTTCACAAACATACAGTTGAGCATGAAAAAGATTGTCGGTCGCGTCATATCAACGCACCGCGACAAAGTCCTCGTACATGGAGTGAATGTCTAACTTGGCAAAGGAAACACTAGCATTAACAGCGGCAGTGAAATGGCGAGCGGCTTCCCCGTAAAGGGCGCTCTCCATGGCAATTTTTCCTAGTTGGCCTCGCAAATATGCCTGGTGTACGAAGCGCAAAAAATGTAGTGAGCATACAAATCCGAGTTTGATTGAATGTATGATACTCACTTCTACAACATGACAAGCGATAGGGTCAACATTAGGACGGGCAGCTAGCTCTTGAACAAGAACCACCGCCTCCTCATCTTTATTTGCATTGAACAATGCAATGACCTGAAACACCCGTAATGATGCATAGTGTCAGAATACAAAAATTACATGCCTTGATCAAGAAAAGGAAATGAATCGCCTTTAAATCAGCGTTGGTGAACGTGAACGCGAGGTCGAGTGATTTCGTGGCGTCCCAGACCTGCTGTTTCCCGCAAAGGGCAAGGCCCTTGGAAACATGGCCCATAAAGGAGGGCTCAATACTAACGGACTATGATACGATCCAAATTAGCCTGCATTAAGAGGCATGATGGGCCATCATATCTTACCTTGATTGCGTCATTGAGTGCATGATCCCAATCTTGTTGTCGCGCCATGATGATTGAGCGATGGGCATAGGAGTTGTAGTTGTCGGCATCAGCATCAATCTCTTTGGTTAGCAGCTCTTCTGCAGTACGCAGATCTCCAGTTATGCACGCATCGCGGACTTCTGGATTTATATCGAGGTTCTGCATAAAGTATGTTTGCATTGACTGTAAGAGAGCCAAGGTGGATACATGCCTTGAAATCAAACGGACGGGAAATTAGATGATGAAGAGACGTCGAGATGAAAAAGGACATACCTGATGTGTCACTTCTTTGTTGGGACCATTCTGCGGCAAAGCATCCTCTGGTACCTGCCACTTCAATATTTTGTTGTCCGCACCTCCACTGAGAATGTGCCTGCCATCTGTGGAGAAGGTGACGCAGTGCACCTCATTGGAGTGCTTGAATACGGCGGTGTTTTGTCGGTCAGAGAGCTGCCAGAGGCGGACATAATTATCCTCAGATGCAGAGGCAATCAAGGTGCCATTAGAGTTCAAGGCAATGTCCCTGATATCGCGGGAATGGTCCTCCCAGGGCTCACCGACCTGTTGCCAGGTTGATGAATCCCATTCCCATATGATACAATCCTCTTCAATTTGGCTCAATGAGAGAATACGTGTACCATCAGGTATCCATGCGAGCCACAAGTTGTCGATCACTTCGTCTATCTCCAAGTTCGCGACGCGTTCGCTCGTGTCTGGTTTCCATATTTGGATATTACTTGCTGTCGCGATGCCAATATGTTCACCAGATGGCGAATACCGAACGCAGCGAACCCGGTCCTCACATTCGATCAAATCTTCTTGCTGCCACGTTTTTGTATTCCACAGCCTCACTGTCTCGTCGTCTGAGCCGCTGGCCAGGATCGTGTTATCTGGGGAAAAGTCCAGCGATAGGATCCAATCGGTGTGGCCTTTGATGACTTCAGTCAGAAGTTCGCCAGTGTCTCCATCCCAGGCGATGAGCTCTCCGTTCTTGCCGCCACTTGCTATCAATTTCCCATCTCGTGATATCACCAATACCAAGACAACGACGCTATGCCGTTCCATTTTCTTCAATATAGCACCTCTTTCTATGTCCCACAGGCGAAGAATCTTATCTTCCGAGCCCGTCACCATCCTTTGTCTATCGGGAAGAACTCCAACACTGGATACAGATCCAAGGTGACCTTCAAATCCTTGAACGGGTATAGTACTTGGAATGAGATATGACATTTTACTGATGGTTGAAACGTTGACGGTGTAGGTTTGCTAGAAGGCTCTGGAGAGATCGTGGGTGTCTTAACACTAGGCAGCAGTTGCGGTCATTGAGGGTTTTTCCTGATCTGGATTTCATTGTCATCATAGGCGCCTTGGCATGTTCTTCGGATACCGTGGTCGACTGTCATTGCAGCTGATGCAAGTGCATTTTGTTTTCAAATCAAGCCTTGCCCCCGGTCGGTGTATCACGAAACGCGTGGTCCCAACTCGTGTTTCTGTGTCATAACAATTTCAAATGAACGGCGCCAATTAGCCTTTCAAATTTCAGCCGTAGGTGAACGTTAAAGCGAACGTTTGAACCCTTTGTGATGCGGTATCGTGGGTACGTGACGCTATATAGAAGTGCTCGATGGTTGGCCAAAAAGGAATATCGTGGCTGCTACCAAACAGATGCAGTACCACAACCAAACAGATATCTAGTACAAGCTTCACAGTAAGTTCATATATCGTACAGTTGTCGTCGGTCGATAGCGTTTCGCTCTGGTTCTTTTAGTAACATACAGTTCAAATTTAAAGCCCGCGATTGTTAGTACCTCAGTACTGAGCGTAGTCAGCTATTCAAAATCGTTTATCTGCACTGGATTTCAGCAAACCACCATGCCAGCTACACGCAAAGTTGTGCCTCGCAAGCCCGCTCAGTTATCCAATGAAGATTCAGAGCCAGAATCTCTTCACAGCGACGCGCTCGACGACCTGCCGCCCAAGAAACGCGCGCGTTCTTCCAATTCCAAGTCCAGCTCACCTTCGAAACCCAAGCCCAAGCGTCAGAAACGCAAAGCCAAGGAAGATGATATCAAAGATGAAGAGGATGTAGATGATAGCGATGTAGACCTGAAGGAGGGGCAGCAAGTCGTAGGTCGCGTTGTGCAAGCTCCAAAGACAGGCTGGGGTAAGTCGGTCTTTTCCTGCCTCAGGGATGAGTTATTAACTTACCAGTTTTAAAGTACCTCCCGGTCAGGTTTCACAGAACACGCTTGATTTTCTAGCGAAACTCAAAGACCCTGCGTGTAATGACCGTGAATGGTTTGCACTTCTATCACGGCTCTCGTTCGTCCATTGTTGACCGAAAATAATTACGCGCTCCTAGGTTTAAGCTACACGGTATGCAGGATTTATGCATTAGGCTGAAGCTCTGAGCTGATTTGTCAAACAGAACCAGTTTACCGTCGCGTAGAAAAGGAGTTCAAGGCGTTTATCGAGGCGTTCACCGACATGCTCACAGACGTTGACTCTGAGATCCCTCCGTTACCCCCTAAAGACGTCACCCATCGCATATATAGAGATGTTTGTCCCTTACATGTTTCCTTCCGTGGATCTGCGGATCTGATGTCGTGTGGGTAGGTCCGCTTCAGCAACGATAAAACACCATACAAGATGGGACTATCTGCGAGTTTTTCGAGGAGTGGCAGGAAGGGGATTTTTGCGTTTTGTGAGTTTCGCAGTATTTTGCTTTCGCTGTAGATATCTAACTGTTCGTAGATCACGTGTACGCACTTCTTAGCATGAGAGTCGGACAAGCTGACTGGATATATGCGCGTTGTTTGCTCACACAGAATGAGTCAGTCGTAGCTGGAAATATTGAATCGGTATACGCTAACATGAATGACAATTAGTCAAGCCGGGTGACGAGAGCGTCATCGCTGCAGGTGCATGGTGCCCTGGGAAGAACGAACTCTCGACTCTCAGGTATGTCTCGTCTCCACTTTTTTTCCATGCTTCTTTTCATACTTTCCGTTACCTAACAGAAATCACCTACTTCGTTCCACACCCGCCGCTAAGACTCTGCACACAATCCTAGCTTCTGAAGCATTTACTACCCATTTCGGCGCTCCCTCTCCACACCCGAATGGAGATCGTCGGAGTGTATTTGGGCGTGAAGATGAATTGAAGGTGGCACCGAAGGGCGTGGATAAGAATCACAAGTGCGTGGATTATCATTCGAGTCATAAAAGCTAATTGGTATACTATGCTACGCATTTTCTAGAGATATAGCCCTCCTCAAATGTCGCTCTCTCGCTGTTTCCTATCGGTTCACAGATGCACAAGTCGTTGCACCTGGATCCGAGTTTATAGATGCGCTACGTGGGGTTGCGGATGTGATGACGCCATTTGTCCATTGGTGAGTGCTGTTACTTACCCTTTCTGAATCAGAGGCGCTATTCGCACCGAGTGCTCCATTCTGAGTATTACTTTCGGAGTACATGGACTGATCATTTGCTGTAGTTTGAATGATTTGATGACGCTTCCTGTGGACGACAGTTCTGATGAAGAGAACGAGGAAGATGATACTGGGGATCCGGAGGAAGATGAGTGAGGACGGAGATGTATAACGAACGGGAAGCTTGGATTCATTTACTACAGCTGTTCAAATATTATCGGTGTTAATTTTCTCAGGTATCTTACTGTCATTTAGTATACACGATGTAATCTATTTGGTTTGGCATATACACGATGGTGATTGTGTCTACCCCATCACTCACCAATCTGGGGGTAAATAGTTCACTCCCGTATGGGTCCGGGCCATGAGAGTTGAACGGACTACTCGCCGGACTTTCTGTTTCTTGCACCCCGCCGAGCGGACTGTCAAATCAGCCAATGTGACCATTCTGTGACGAGATGTATGAACTGGTGATGGAACCAATAGTAACTTATAAGTAGCTGGTTCACTTATTCAGGTGCTATGTCATCACGCCATGCCAGGTACCGTCTCACTCCAACCCACTGCAATCCCAATTATCGACTTTGCATGCTTCGGGGATGGCACTTCCCCAGTACGTACAGTGTCCACAATGCACATGCGATGATAATAATAACTGACACTCCTTTTGTGACGTGCAGGAAGCGACAGAGATAGGAAAGCAACTAGTGAAAGCGTGTCGAGAAGTCGGATTTGCATACTTTCGCAACACTGGTATCCCTCAGGCGGAGGTGGATTGCATGTTTGAATGGGTGTGTACATATCACCACATGTGCGAGATTCACCCCAATGAATGAGTGGGCATTAAGAGCAGGAGGTTATTCTCGCTTCCCATCGAAACAAAGCTATTGGCTCCGCATCCTAAAGAGGGATGGAAACACCGGGGATATAGCGGGGTATGTTGTTCTGCGTTACATGGCAACATGTCCTAACAAATGTCTCATTCAGGTTGGTAGGGAGCAAATTTCACAAATGGTACATCACAGCGTCATCCAAACTACCAATATCCTGACTCGCGTAGGTGTTCGACCCAACGCAGCTCGCCGAGATACGGAAACAAACTCCTGATCACAAAGAATCATTTGATATTGGACGCAATGATTGCCCACACATGTCCAATGTGTGGCTCCCGGAGGAAGTCCTTCCGGGCTTCAAAGACGCAGCATCTGCTTTCTTTGATACATGCCGTCGCTTTGAGTTCGAGAAGTTGTTACCTGCATTATCACTAGGACTCGAGCTCCCTGGCGGAGGCAAATTCCTGGAAAAATACCACCAACAAGCAGAGAATCAACTGCGATTATTGCATTATCCAGCTGTGCCTGCAGAGGTATTCGCGCGTGGTGAGAAAGGGAGAATCGGTGCACACACGGTATGCGATTATTTGACCGGCATTGATTTCACCTATAATGAATGATAGGACTATGCAATGGGCACGATTTTGTTTCAAGATGATGTTGGGGGACTTGAAGTTGAGAGCCCTCATGGTTCAGGAAACTTCGTTGCTGTGTCACCCATTCCGGGCACTGTTGTTTTCAATATAGGAGACTTTTTGATGCGGTGGTCAAACGGTACGATTCTCTTGAGCGGCTACTCTTCACCACAAGGCTATATAATCTGTTTGAATCAGATACTCTTAAATCAACATTGCACCGCGTGCGTGCGCCCCCGAATGATGGAAAGTTGGAAATGATCAAGGAGCGCTTCTCGATCCCATATGTGAGCTTCCTGCAGACATATGATGTGTGTTTGATATTGATATTGGATTAGTTTATGTCTTCTGACAGAGATATTTTGATTGACTGCCTCCCTGGCTGTTGGGACGAAGACAGGCCGAAGAAGTACGAGCCTGTGACAGCAGGAGCGTATATTGACATGCGGCTTGATGCTACGTATTAATGATTTACGAACATGGAATGATTCTGTCTGAATGTTGAATGGATGGTGAAGGTCTTTCCTGGACCTTTTACTTCTTGTTCCGATTTCGCCATAACGTCTGTACCTTCTGATGATGCCATTCGTTGGTCATCTCGGTTATGATTTCAAAATGCTGGTGCGCTGCAACAAACCAATTTGCTCTGCCACGTTAATATCGTCGAAATCATTTAGATATTCATATCACCGACCGATACATGGGCGCACTACTCCCCAGACCCCAATTTAATTGGCTACACTACTGCGCATTGCATATAGCGGGAGCCTTATCAGTTTGTGAAATAGGTGGGCTTTACAAGATGAAACATTTATATTGAGATAGTACTACCTTGTACTCGAAAATACCAAAGCCACCGTCGCAAATGTAGCAGTGGTATTTCCAACCAAATCGCGCACCAGTGGCATATCGCGAGCATCCGATCGGCTGCCGGCAGCTCAAATCTGGGGTTTTCATTTGTTTCGCGAACAAGCAGGGGAATCGTATCACGCACATTTCTATGACACCCGAGGAACAGATGTGAAGAATTTTCAAGCACTTGACCCAAAAACGGAACACGGAGGCATCTCAAATGAGTTACAAAGAGAGGAACGCCGGGGTACTACTACTTATCGCCTTGAAGCTTGAAGGCCGGATCGCGACGAGAGTAAGTGAATTATAAGCATACATCTACGAGCTTTTCCTGGAGGGGAACACGACTCGGAAGTATGATTTTGAAGTAAAAAAAAATAGCGGCAGGGCCAGGAGAGAATGATAAAACGAATGTGACCAACCATAAGTTGATAGCTATAAAACTAATTACGTATGCTTCCCCGTAAAGGACCATGTCATCAGCCCGCAGTACTAGTCTCGGCTGTGCGCACGTAAGTTCGTGTGTAGTATGATAGTACAAATGTAGTATTAATAATTATGTAAGATCGGTCTGTGCGCACTTGTGAGACAACGCACACTGACAAGGCCCAAACGTTTGGTATTCGAATTCATCAGACGCAGTGATGTTCATTGTTGTCTCCTCGACGACGCTAGTCAGACATTGATATGCAGAAGCTTGGAAGGCAGTCACAGTTGTTCCTTCTTTATCGAGGCGGTGATGGGCTGTTCAAATTTCGCAATTGACTGATCGGATCAATGTTCAAGGAATTGCGAGACACTCCTCGAATCGGATCTGTTCACCCGCTCGAGATTCGCCAGCTGCAGCATTCTCAGCTCCGTCCCCTTTCCTTTGTAAAGCTTGGCATTTGATATCGAGTGCTAGTGGCCCCGTTCCACATGCGGTTCCCTGTGGTTGATTGATGACAAGAGTACGTTTAAAAAGCTCAGTTTCTCGATCCTGGTCGAGGGTCGGCAATGTTTACCGAATCATCGTCAGAACGCCAGCTCGATGGCATAACCCTCCTGAGCTTAACACTTTTTACATCCATTTGCTACGGGACTGTACTGACCATCTACATCCAGTGCCTCCTTTCGTTGGTCTACAGTCCGATGCGGCGAGCTCCCGGATCACAACTGTTTTTCCTTGGCTATACATCCGTCATGTTCATTCTTGAAACGTTATATGCTGCTGCAAATTTTCGAAGAGTTTGGATAGCATTCGTTGTAAATTGGGGCTCCCCCATGAATTCAGCGAGTTACGAGATTGGTTTATGGAGTGATTGGGCCAGTACAGCAGCAATGACGTGCTATATCATCTCCAATTGGTTGGCGGATGCGCTTACGGTAAGTCTTGATACTATCAATGTTATTTATGCTCATATAGATCCTTGACTCATACCTCATACCTCTCCTCAGCTTGTGCGCTGTATGATCTTGTTTCGAAACATGAAAAACACAAGATGGCTGATTCCTATCCCATGCAGCGTGTTCCTTGTTGTTATTGGTATCTACTACGATATAATGCGTTGCCTCCAAAGTTACTGACAATACATTGACAGTGACTTCTATCAGTCTGTTTGTGAATACAACAGAAGTGACCAAGTCAATGGAAGCAATGACCAAAGCCTACTGCATCTTTGTTGCAGTCGATCTCTCCTTTAATGTTATCACGACGTCATTGATAACCGCCTGCATCATGACGCACCGCACGAAGCTCAGGAAATCGTCAGGTAAGCAAGCTATCTTGTATCATTATCCTGACGTACGTCCTTTGTCAGGAACTCATGACCATGGGAGGGAGTACATCAATATCATCGCGATGACCATTGAATCTTGTATGATTTCCGCGATTAGCCCGATCGTCTATCTCGTCCTCTACGCGATGAATAACTTTGTGCAGTATCCACTCATGGTCATCCAGAACCAAATGCAGGTGAGAGATAACACTACATTATCCCATCTGGATTTCATTTTCAGCATGCAGGTCATTGCCTTCTTTGTATTGGTCTTGAGAATCATTCAAGGAAAAACGTGGACAAGACGGGCAGATGTTGATATCACTTCTCATTCGCTTCCAAGTGAAGGGCTTTCCTTCCAGCTTCAGCGGGCTTCGTCTTAGTGTTCGTTCTTCTGAGGCATCCGCTCCCGTGTTCGCTGACAGAAATCCAGATTACCACTAAATAGCTCCATCACGAGCCCAACACACTGTTACACCTACATAATGTACAGAACTACCAGAATATTCACATAGCCCTCTAGATTTTCGTCATGGACTGATTTCTGCAAGCGGCGGAGCAGAAGTAATCTGTTCCAGTCTGTGGGTAGCGTTGGCACATGATGCATCCAGGAACCAGTCCGAGGGTCACTGCTTCTCTGAAGAACATTTAGTATCTCGTGGCAATCGATCTCCTGTGACCACTTACTCTCGGTGCCGTGTGGAGCAGTAATCTGCCTTTACCCCACCTCTATCAACGAAAGACGGTTTTCCACAACTGGGGACGAGACAGACACCAGTCACATGACGGGCTGATGCGCTTTGTTTCAGCGGAGCGTGCACAGTCTTGACTGGTCGTGACGGAGGAGCTGGAGTAGGTTCTTCGTCATCATCTGATGGATATGCGTCCAGGTCTGTGCCTGTCCCCGTATCGTCTTCGGCCTCCTCATCAGCGTCAGCGTACTCGTCATCCTCGCTGGACTCATCTGCAAATATAAGTAAGTATCGAAATCAGATGAGCGGTAACGAGTAACCTTGGATCACAGTGACAACTGAGTGGCGCGTTGCCGGTTTAGAAGTTTTGGCAGGCTGAGCAGTGGCAGGAAGGCGAACGCCATGCTTTGGAACCGATCGTCCATGTGCAGCAGGCTGCGCAGAAGGAACGGTAGCGGCTTTCGACGCGCATGATTTACCGCAGTAATCAAAGTTATTGAACTTGGGCTTTTGCCCACAATACTGGAACGAGATGTGGTTCATGATTGAAATTAGATCTTCATGATTCTGCACTCACGTCGCAGAGCCGTCCCGCTTTTTGGGCTGGTGGTGGAACTTTGGCCTTGGGGGTTGGTCCTGATTTCGCGCGATGCGCTGGTTGGTGTGTAGTGGCCGCCTGAGCAGCGCACGTTTTGCCGCAGTACTTATGAGTACCGAATTTCGGCGTCTTGTGACAGTTCTACGCAGGAAAATTCAAAGATGAACTACTAGTACCAGTAGGGACAGGGTAAGCAATCACTGACCTCGCAAAGTCCGGTAGCCATTGAAGTTATCTGAGCTGCTGCCCAGTTCAAAATTGCGTCGTGGTTTATAGAGGTGGTGGCCATTGGCATGAGGCTGCGGGGGCAGCCTGGGCGTTGGGGTGAATGGTATCACACTACAACGTGCTGTCCGCATGTCAGTGCACGAGGCTGTCTGTCATGGAGCGGAGCAGTGCATCTAGCCCAAAGTGAGCAAAAAAGGGCACGCCCTCAGTGATATTAGGCCTTCTGTTTGCCTCCTTTATTCCTTCGATCAAGGGAAGGCATTGCATGCGGCTAAATCATCATGACCCACATGGAGATCCAAATAGTTCCGGAAAAAATTTGGTTTGTGCTCACTCAAGAGATCGAAATACATAAATAATGTCCAAACTAACAAAATTTCAGGTCTGTTTCGTATACATCACGATGAATCGGGGGATAATCGCATCTGACACTCGAACAACCACCCTGTCGCCAGCAACAACCTGCAGATATAACGTCAATGAGAGCTCTAATTTCAAGTTCAAGTCAGTTACCGAATTGCTCTTGTCAAGGTGTTGCGGCAAAACAACATCGCAGGCGATCATAACGCGGTAAGGTGAAGATAAGCATGATGTGGCAAACCGATCGGCGGAAGCTGGGTTTCTAGAAGAGTATAGCCCCTTGCCTTGCCTTGACAACGAATAACGATAAATATGCGTCGAGTATGAGATGAGGAAGCCTACTCACCTCCCTATATTGGATTGAACACCAAAGGCGACACTTCTGAAAGCCGAGCCCACGACATTACAGATGCCGCACGAGTTCCACTTGCAAAGCGTGGGACCTTTAGTCCCCATGTCGCAGATACACTGAGATGCGTGAAATGTGCGTAAGATGTGGGCTTGCCCAGTAGTTTGTGAGCCCTGTCTGTGGATAACTAAGCCCCGCACTGAGTTCGGTGAAAAAGGAGCCACTTACAGATACTTGTCTTGGGCATCGGATATACTCGCCGGATAAGATATTTCATATAACTTTTCTACCAACGCTGATCCTTCCAGGGACAGCCACTTGCTATTCCACTCCCTCACAACTTGAAAAGACGTCAATCAAATAGCATAAGCTTGATTGAGGACATCACGTACATTCTCGCCACACCGTCGCAGAACTGGGAATCTCAGACAAGTGAACAACATCCGAGGGAGCTTTAGGCTTCGTACGCCCAGTATCATTGTGGTTATGAGTTTGTAGTTGCGTCTTGTGGCCGGGATGAGCTGACGGGGAAGAAAGAGCATTCCCCTTCCTGTTAACTCTCAATCTCTATCTCAAGAAGTGTTTCTTTATTATGACTTACTTCGCATGATCAACGGAACAAAACCCATTGAAAGCAGTCCCTGTGTTGCTGCATCCTCTGAGCAAGCATTCAGGCGCTGCCTTTCCAACCCCAGTCCGAGCACACGAGCGACCACAATAAGAGTGCTGCGTTCCGCTTGGATCAACATATTTTGGCTTGATACCACATGCCTATCGCCGACAAAGGTTAATATTTTGATAAGAAGAAAGGTAGTCCCTGAGAGATACCTCGCACATAGTAACATTTTGCCGCACAGTGTCTAGAATTGTAGCCATGGTAGGAAATGACGACCTCAGGATTGCTCACCAAACAAGATAACTGGCTGCGCATATGGCCCACGTGTAATGCACACCCTACATGCGCGTGAAGCAGCGCCACTACGGCGCTGCTTCCAGCACAGACCATCGCTGCATCACGGATCCAGCTTTCCTCGAAGCATCAACGTGTCGGCAACACATGGTGCATGGGAATAAGAGGATCGCGCCCCATACATAAGTTTCTTCGTATAGAGACCGGAAAATTGTAACTTAGTGACGAGTATGAAGCCTACCACGAACCAAGCGGCGACAGTGCAATCAGCTCGAAAGTCCCAGAAGGCACCGACGTTCAATACGGACAACAGTACCCAAACAACACTCCTGACGCATTACATGGACCTTGCCCAATCATTTCGGGTCAGCTCAATTGAACCACAGAGTCCCCATAAACTTGACCGGATCAAGAAGGGACTCGAGGAGGATCGTGGATACCTGTCGGATAGCGGCAAAGTTAGTACTACCTCTGCACTGCCGCCCCGAACACCACGTGGGTTGCATTCCCCTCACGCATCGTCGGTGCAACGTCCATCGACATCTCCTCAGTCATCTCCACTTGCTACCCGACCAACTCCGCCTTCCAGTGCGACACTCTCAAATGGGAAGCCTATTCTTTTCTATCATGCCCACGACCCATACTATGGGTTCACCAATTTCTCGTCCGACCCTATTGAGTACAATGGAAAGAAATACCCCACGAGTGAACACTTCTTCCAGTCGCTGAAGGTAAGTGGCTTTACGAACAGCATCATCATGATACACTACTCACCACTGCTATAGTTCATGGAACGCCGCCCCGATCTCGCAGAGCACATCAGGACATGTTCCACGCGTCCGCGTGTGGTATTTGACGAAGCCCACAGGTTCAGTCCCGAAGTGCGATCTGACTGGCTGCAAGTGAGGATTGAGATGGTGAGAATCAGTATCGACTGCAACTAGGTTCAGCTGACGACGCAAGTGATCAGATGGACTTTGTTCTCTGGCATAAATTCTCGCAGAACAGACATCTGAAGGAAGAATTACTCTCTACTGGAAATGCAGAGCTTGTCGAGGTTAGTAAATCTAGACCGCGAGGGCTATGAGACTATGACGAAGTTTAATTATACTCCACAGGACTCTGATAAAGACTCATTTTGGGGGATTGGAGTAGACCGAAAAGGCCAAAACCAGCTGGGCAAGGCTTTGGTGAGGCTTAGGACCAAGTTGAGGGACGAGCAGAATAGTAGTGCAGGAAGCAAAGCTTTGACACTTTTGAGGAAGACCATTGGACATTGATATTGCATAAAACACATATCCTCATCCTGGTTAAAGCATATAGCTCTGTCGGTAGGCTAAATAAGTAGATCGCCCAGACGGTGAGATGATGTAGGATGTGTTGCAAACTTCAAGTGAGAATTCACAATGAATTATTGAATTACATAATATGACACCCGGGCACCTCCGACGGAAGTTTTATATGCGAAGATTAACTAGTAGAGACACGGTGCAACGTTTTGCAACTGCTATGAATCAAGTATGTCCGCCATCCCTCGGCTAAGCCTCACAAGGTACACTTCAAGTTTACATGACTCGGGAACAGACATCAACCCCCATCACACTGTGTCCGCAGTCGTTTTGACATGTCACCCGACAGGGACGTGTAACGTCGGCAATTCCTTGCTATCGGTTGCGGCATTGATACGGGATGCACAGTTGGACGTATGGTTACCTGTTCCGCTGTGATCGGCTGTCCCCTATATTATAAGATGTGGTGAATGTCCATTAATCTGATCTTGAAAAACCTTTGAACTCTACATATGAATTCTACTCGTCCTCCCGTGCTAGTCGTAAGTGAACGACATACGATGGATGGTTGCCCTCAGCTTAGTTCCTCTTTCTTAGGTAGGCGCTGGGCCAGCAGGTCTGGTAGCAGCGTTAACGCTCCTCCAGAACGGTGTACCAGTTCGCATCATCGACAAAGATCCCAACCCTCGAATCGGACAGCGTGGTCCTGGAATATGGGTGTGTCATGACACCACTTCTCTAATTTCCCATAGTCTCATTTAATGCATAATCCAGCCACGCTCCTTCGAACTTTTCAACTTCTTGAATGTCCCAGAAGTTTACGAGCTGGCGAAACCCGTCCTCACAATCCGTTCCTACAAGCACGGGACAATGGAATTTGCGACAGAATCGTTGATGACCCGATATGTGGAACCTACCCCTACAATACCATTCGTACGTACTATACAGAACCATCTCTCTCAAGCAGTCATGCTGATGATTTTCTCCTATTGTAGCACGTTCCAAAGCTGATAGGTCAGCAACTCCTAGATGTGATTCTGCGACGTCACCTAGAGAAATTCTCATGCTCTGTCGAGATGGGCACCGAATTGCGTTCATTCGAGCAGTCCGATGAAGGTGTCACGGCTGTTCTAGCAAAGAATGGCATATTGGAGACTTTCCACACTAAGTGGCTGATCGGCGCTGATGGCGCTAGAGGTAAAACGCGGTCAAATTCAAATGCAGTACGATGAGTCTGAGTTGTAGTTTGTAGGCATCGTGCGTAAACAGCTCGGGCTTACATTCTTGGGCGAGACTAGAGACGATATCCGACTGGTCATGGGTGATATTCGTTTACATGGTCTTGATAGGGAGGTGCGTCTGAATTTTACCTAATCCATGAAGGAGTGCTTCTAATACTGTCTTGAAAGTATTGGCACCGGTTTGGGACCTTTAAGCGAGGGTACGTCCAGTCTCTACTCTTGAAGGTTGGGGATGTGTATATTGGCGCCGGGCAGCGTCTCATTGCGTCCAACAGACGAAATTGGCGAGGATGGCTGGCAATTTGTCATTATTGATAATGATCTAGACACGACAAAGGTCGCTCAGAGCGAGGAGCTGATCTCCGAGATCATTGCATCAGCGATACCTACTGAGATTACGATCAACAAGCTCGTCTGGGTGAGCGAGTTCAGGTGTGTTTTATCTTGTTACCTAGATGCGTTTTAAATGTTCATTTTTTTTATCACTTTAGGGCCAATATCCGCATGGTGAACAAGTTTAGCGAGGGCCGAGTCTTTGTTGCGGGCGGTATGTGGTTTTACTTTTGGATGATGTACCTGTGCTGATGGAAGTCTATGTAGATGCTGCTCAGTATGTCTATCTTTGAGCGCTTTCTTGCCAAACTGATTCTGACATATTTTCAGTGTCCACAGTCCGACCGGCGGTCAGGTGTGTGCGTTCTAATCAAATTCAGATGCCTACTCATCCATCTATGAATAGGGACTCAATTCAAGCATACAAGATGCTGTAAGTCTTGCAAATGCAGTACGTATGACACTACTGACTGTATACCAGTTCAATCTAGGTTGGAAACTTGCGCTCGTCGAAAAAGGACTTGCTGACAAGTCTCTCCTTGAGACATATAATGCCGAGCGTCTACCTGTCATCTCCGAGATGCTCGAGATGACGACCACGATTCTCAACCAGGCATTGAAGACAGACAGCATGACCGCCGCACGAACCCCCATCCTTTTCATGCTGGGTATCAATTACCGATTCAGCAACATTGTTCTCGACGAGTTTGCAATCCCAGGGAAGCCTATCAATGCGTACGGGGTGCTTGATGAGGAGCACCTAGAGGCTGGAGACAGGGCGCCTGATGCACAAAATCTGGTCCAGGTGGGAGGTGGAGGTTCTGATGTGAAGACGCTTTTTAGTCTCTACAGACCTTGGTATCACACCGTACTTGTGCTCGCGCCCAGTCATGCAGATGCTGTCCCGATCTTGGGTGCGCTGGAGGCATATGATACAAGCGTTGTGCGATCGGCAGTCGTTCTGCCTTCATCCACATCAGTGACGTCTGTTGCATCGCCTGCTGACCTCGTTTTTGTTGATCAGGAGGGCCATGGTTATTCGGCTTACCTCGTGGAAGCTGGCCAGATGAGAGTGTTTGTGATACGGCCGGATGGAGTGATCGGGGCGATCGTACATGGTACAGAAGGCGTGAAGAAGTATTTCTCCGGAATATTTTTGGATGTTTAGTTGTTTTTGCTTGTACTCTTACATCTCAACTCATTCGTATTTTACAATCAACGTACTTAGTTGTTAAGTAGCGTAGATGTCATTGCTTTACTTCCGCTTTCTCTGGGAGTTGAAAGCAAGCCAGTGGTTCGTATAGACATCTTTTCCTTGCAACTACTACACGCATGATATTGTCAGCAGTGTACTATTTATCGTTGGACAAACAGTCAGACAAGAACCCGACAAAGAACTATGATGAGGGACAGGAACACGCACACCAGGATATCATTCCAAGTATGATCCCAGTCTTCAGGCACCGCTCAGAAATCTACAAATAGAGACGCACGGAACACTTGAGTTCAATGATCTCGTCAGAATGAGTCAATCAGCACGTCCTTATATCTCTGTACGTGTGAGGTTGTCGCCGCTTCATCACATACGCTTCGATCGAGACTGGCTGTCATGAGAACGTCGAGTTGGAAAGTCTGACGGTGATGACATCAAAACAGGATCACCGAAGCACCTGTGACACATCAGCATGATGTCTGAGGGTGTATCTGGTGAAATTAGGTTTCGCTACGTGCTCTCGCGAATCAGCGGCAACATTGCAGGTTCGCCCAGTCTACTGTTCAGTGCATATAGCAGCTTGTCTGCACGGCCACATAACTTCGCCCGAAGTCAAATCAATAAACATAGTGCATGACGTTAATGTCGTATCATTGACCATGGGACGATGAAAGGAACACGTGCAGAGGATAAGCAAATACTCTCGATTGAAGATGTTTCAGAGTTCGAACTTGAGCGAACCACGAAAATGATGAGTGTAAACATTGTAGATGAGTCCTGTTCGAGTAAGCCCGTGTGTGGTACAAGCACAGATGTAATACAGATATTGTAAAGGTACAAATGAGAACTGCTCGAAGAACTGTGTCTCAAACAGTATGAGCATTGTCGCCATTGGAAGCATGGAGCACGCTTGGTCTTACTTGAGATCTAAGTGAAGTACTGTTAAGGATTATAGATGGGATAATATTGCTAAAGACTTACCACTGAACCAAGCACGTAAGCTGGGCTTCGTAGCTTCATCACTCTTGTCCATCAGAGATTGAAACGCTTCGATGGCTGCTCCAGTTCTACCTGCCTGAATAAGTGCCTTGCACAGCTGCTTGTTCGCGTTTTGCCAAAACAACTTGAGGTTCCAGCCGAAGAGCTGCAAAACACGCAGATGACCATGAAAAGCCCATTCGATTGCATTATATCAACGTACCATGGTGAATTCCTCGTACGTAGAATGAATTTCCAATTGATAAAAGGAGGCGCTTGTGTTGATGGCGACATTGAAATGGTCAATGGCTTCACTGTAGTGGGCGTTTTCCGAGGCAATCGCCCCGAGTCGGACGCGTAAATAGGTCTAATGTACGAGAATCGGAAAAATCAGTGCCAATTTATGAAGTCGGGCTTCATCAAGTGCACGATACTCACTTCTACAATACGGCACGCAACATGATCGACATTGGGAGACACAGATAGCTCTCCAACGCGCAGCATCGCCTCCTCATGTTCGCCTGCTATGAACAGTGAGACGGTCTAAAAATCGCAATGAAGCATACGATACATAAGAGGAAAGATGACTTGCCTTGATCAAGAAAAGGAAATGGCTGGTCTTTAAATCTCCGTTCATGAACACGGAGGCGAGGTCAAATGCTGTATTCGCGGCTCGGACTCGCCCTTTTCCACAGAGGGCAATGCCATTGGAGACGTGGCCTGCAAACGAAGGCTGAATGCTGACGGACTATCCACCAAATTTAGCTTTCATAATGGAGAAATATAGGACAGTCTATATCACCTTCATTGAATCAAGAAGCGCGCAGTCCCAGTCGGATTTTCGCGCCATAATGAACGCGCGATTAGCGTAGGATATGTAATTATTAGGATCAGCAATAATTTCTCCATTTAGCGCCTTTTCAGCAGTAGGCAAGTCACTAGCTATGCATGCAACACGGACTGTTGGGCTCATGGAAAGGACCTGCGAGAAGTATGTTCACATTCCGTTTTAAGACTCAAAGGTAGGAACATGCCTTAAGATCAGAATAGGCTTGAGCCTTGACACAAGAAAGATGTTTAGATGACGAAAGGGCGCAAAAATGAAACAAATTACCTGGTGCGCCGTCTGCTTCACGAAAAAATCCTTTGGACCACCCTTTGGACTATCCTTTGGAATCGTGTTTTCGGATAGTGGCCACTCTGAGATCGTCTTTTCACTTCCGCTGATGACGTGCCTGTCATCTGCGGAGAACGTGACACAAATTACATTGTCAGAGTGCTTGAATGAGGTAATGGTTCGTCGATCTGAGAGCCGCCAAATGCGGATACGTTTATCTCGAGATGCGGAAGCAAGGAGAGTGCCACTAGAATTTAGGGAAATGGCGTTGATACCCTCAAAATGGCCCTTCCAGGGAATACCGACCTGCTTCCAGGTCGATGAATCCCATTCCCGTATATTGGGATCAGAATCATGTCCAGCAGAAAAAAGCCGTGTGCCGTCGGGCGTCCACGCGAGCCCTGAGATGTATCCTGAGTGAGCCTTGAAGTTTACAACACATTCCCTCGTGCTTGTATTATAAATTGCGATATTGCTGGGTGTTGCGATGGCAAGAAGTTCGCCAGACGGCGAATATCGAACGCAGGAGACATGATCAGCGCAAGTGATTGGATTTCCTAGCAACTCCCAGGTTTGTGTACTGAAGAGTAGCGTCATTTTGTCGGGTGAACCTGCAGTTGCCAGGATCGAGCCATCTGGAGAAAAGTCCAGTGACTTGATCCAATCTTGGGCTTTGATGGGATTGGTGAGAGGTTCCCCAATATCTGCATCCCAGGCGATGACCCCTCCTTCTAGACTACCGCTTGCTATCATTTGCCCATCTTGCGATACCGCCAATGCCGTCACCGGCCTGCCATGTCCCTCCATTTCTTTCAACACAACAGCTTCCACCATATCCCATAGAACTATCTTACCGTACAAACCTGTGACCATGCGCCGTCTGTCGGGGAAAACTGCGACTGTAAATACAGTAGTACTTGCGTTGAAAACTCGAACGGGTGTGGGGTTTAGAATGTGCTGCGCCATTTTCTAGAAGTTGGTGGTGTTAAGCGCGGTCAGGGTGGACTTTGTTAGGGTCCTGCTGAGGCGCGTTTGTACTTCATTGTGTCGGGCGCCTAAGACACGAGGCTGCGCGCTTTGCTTCAGTTGGTTTGTCAACTTGAATGTAATGCGTAACGGCCGATCCTGCAGCTTTTTCAACTCTCCATGTGCTGCTCCCTTGACTTTCCATTAGGTCGACATTCAAAGACCACCCGTGACTCATCTTGAGCCTTCTCTTCCCTAGAATTTCATGACAGAAGATAGGGAATCTCATCTGGGATTTGCATTACAAGTATGTAAAACTCTGCTATTATGAATCACTGAATAAGCGTTCATCCGAAGAGTCGGTCATGGATTAACTCCAGTACGATGTTTTTGGTTTTATCCTTTGATCAATCATCGTCTTGCCTGCTCGGGTCGCCCCACGTCAGTGTTCGTGTGCGTTTCCATATTCTCGACACGGCGTTCATGGATAGACTTGCGGTAATCCATTGCTGATGTCGATCGCTTTGGAGATATTCCTCGATGTTGCACGACAGCTTCATTCGCTAGCGAGCAGCCCCGATCCTTTATATATGGTTCGGTTTGGAGTGGCAGGCCAACTTGATTGGGACGGATGACGAGTGGAAGGAACACGTGTGCAATAGGAAAGGTTTCTCGATTGAAGATGTTCTAGAAATTGAACTTTAACGAATCGACGGTGATTTGGTGAAGGGCACGCCGAATGATGGGTGTAAGCATGGTAGAATCCGTCTGTTCAAGCCAGCGTATGATATAAGCACAAATGCAATACAGATCGTGACTAAGCATCCATTTTAGAATTAGGGCCTGATCCCCGTCAGTGCCCGCTGCCACGTTACGGTCAAAGCTCAATCATTCCGAGTTACTACTTCGATCAGGCTGGGTCCCGCTTCCATATGATAATGCATTAGTGTGAAGCGTCGCGTCGATGGTTCAGCATCCCAACTTGAAGGCCTTCGTACACTTGGTTGAGTTATTATTTTGATGTGTTCCAAATATATACTAACTTTTCACTACATCATCTATCAATTCTTTCTGTTAATTGGCTGCCTCAAATAGGGTCATTTAAACGAAGTAGAAGTACTTGGGCCTGAAAATTCTTGTACGACGCCGACGAGTCGTAACGTTGCAATGTGCAATCGAATCTTGTGGGAGCTTGTAAGTACTAGCGAGCAGTTACTCATGGGTTGAAACACGGAAATCGAGATCCTCAAGTGTTTTTGTACCTGGACAGTTACCGGTGTCCGTATTGCGCAAATAGTCCTTGGTACTCATGTCGTAATACAGTGGCTCACTTGAACAAGTTCACCCTATCAAGACAGATAAATAAAATGATCATCATCATCATTTCACTTGTCTGTCTTGATGTGAGCAAAACACGTTCCGCGGACGTGTCATGTTCAACAACGGCATGCCAAGTGAGTGAGTTCTAATACTATCTAGCTTGTCGCAGCGATATATAAAAGCGACATTTCCTGAATCGATACTATATTTAGCACCCCACGTTCCAATACTCACTTCACATTTAGGAATCATGAAAGGATTGTTGTCTCTTTCTCTCGTCACCATCGCTCTCTTGCCGTAGACGACAGCGGCAACACCCATCCCTCAAAATTGTGTACCTTCGATATACACTTTCCGGTGTTTGGCTGGACTTTCAGACAAGAAGCCCGAGTAAAGTATGTCCCGACTTTTCTGTATTATGAGCATTGAAAGAACGCCTTCTAAAATAAATATCTAGTGCTACTCTTGTTTTTGAGTGCTCTACTTACTTGCTCCGTTAAATATGTAGTTCTTTATGATGCCGAAGGTATGTCTTCAGTACAGTATTGAGTTACGGAAATCATTCTGACCCACAGTGGTTAGAAGCGTAAACATGTCACCGAGTCCAGTCGTCTGGGTCGTCTAAAGTCTGGAACTTGCAGGATGAATGTTGACATGGTCCAATAGCTACCAAAGTTTGAAGATGTTTTTTATTCGTGTATGGTAATGTATTGCGCTGGTCTGAATAGTCTTGAAATCACGAAGAAGTCCGTATCATCTTATTTGACCGATTCTTCACACCAGACTTTTTCGCGGCAGCTCAAGTTGTACTTGACTCCGAAGTGCCAACTTTGAAATTGCCGCTGAATGTACGCCCCATGCGTGACTTCGAACGCTAATTGACCCACCTGCGTCCACCATGCGTAATCCGAAAAACTTTAGTATCCCACTGGACTGAGCCTTTGAAGCATGGTAGCTTGGATGAGAGATTCCCCGATGTTTAAATCACAGGCGATCAATGTCGCGTGTTCATCACCAGTTGTTATCAATTGTCGCGGGAAGATCGCGGGCTTCACTGCTGTCTTACGCTGCTCCACAACATCAGACACCTTGCTGCTACCTGTTGATTTCAAACTTCGATTGCAAAAGTCGACAACCAGATACGTGTTCCACCTAGTGAGATGTGAAGGTTATTCCCTAGAATAACATTCTTAGCAGAGATCCCCCTTGGATTCGCTTCAGAGGTGTTGGTTTTTCTAGCGAGGTCCCTCATCCAATGACTCCACCCTGCTCTTGAGATGCAGAGCTTCTTGAGGTTAGCAAACGAATTTTCGGAGTAGCAGAACAGATTTTGCGAGGTATTGAGACAGCATGAGACCAAGTATTTCAAGTTTTCGAGTGAAGTAATGTCCTGTGTGATAATTCGGCTCGGGTAAATTACAACTCTTGCGAACGAAGGACATACAAACCACCGATCTCTTCTCATACCCACCCAATATTACTCATCAAACGCACCCATAGCCCGCACACCTTCCACTAATCGTCTATACTCCCTCAACAACTCCCCCACCTCTGACACTCTCAAATCATCCTCCGCGCACTCCATAAACCGCTTGCTAGGCGCGGGAAGCCGTATAGAAATGGGAGAAGGCGCACGTGATGATGCCGGTGAATCGAAGCGGTTGTGGTGCGAGGGGAGCAACAGTGAGGAGCGTGTGATTGGGGGTGATACCGTCTGCGACAGGATGAAGATCAATAAGTATAGATAGAGCACGTCAACGATGACTTAGATGCATGAATAAGCAAAGACAGACCTTGTGTATATCCGTTCCTGACAGCCTTGAAAGCCCTGGCACCTGCGCCAACCGGTCCGTCAAGCTCTTCCTGCTGAGCGAAGAAAGTTTTCTCTTCTTTTTTCGTGCTTTCCCGCTATTCCCGCTCATCATGCTCTCGAAGCTTCGAATGCTTTTTGCATCATGGGCGTGTTCTTCCTCACTTTCATCTTCATCTTCATCTTCCTCACCATCTTCCTCCTCCTCGTCACTCGCTTCACTCTCGTCCTCCGTCTCTTCCACCCCCGCATCTTCATTCACATAAATCGAGTGTATGGAACCCGGGCGCGACGATACCGCCACGAGCTCCCTCTGCCCATCCTCCCCCTCCCCCTTCCCATCTCCCTTCCTCCCTGGTACCAAACTTGCAATCGAGAACCCGCTCTCTCGCCTCAACAGCCCCATATTCCACCGCGTGTCACTGGTCTCTGTGATGGGAGCAGACGTGAATGTTGAGGTCAGGGTGGGTGCTGGAGTCGGAACAGATGCTGAGGTGGGGGCAGATGGTAAGAATGAGCGGAGTACGCCGAATGAGCTGTCAACGACGCCGGAGATGACTTTATTAGCAGACCCTGCGATGGCGTCAACGCCTTGTTCTACGCGTCCGCGGAGGCCACCAGGCGCGTCTACAGGTACATCTAGTGGAAGTGTAGTACGCACGATTGGAATTGGGGTGAGGTGCGCGGTGCTGTGGAAAAAAAAATTAGCGCATCGAATGGGAATGGATGTTAGAACATGGGAAAAAAGAAACAGCAGTTTAAAAGTAGGCCAACAAACGATATCAACCATCGAGAAGCTGAAACACCCACCTAACAATACCAATGCCTCCAACACCCACAGCACCAAGATCCACATTCTCCAAAAATTCCACAACAGCCATCAAATTGATCAAACAGTACCGCTCCTCTCCACCAGCGAATGCAGCATTACGATAACGCTGCGTGAACAGAAGGTGCGAGACCAGGCGTGCGGGATTTGATTTGACAACGGCAAATATGAGAAGTGGGAGGAGGACATCGCCTGATACTGTCGTCGGCTCTTGGACATGGGAGATGGTCGGTCGGGGCGAGGAAGCGCGAGGTGGTACGGGGATGGAGGAGAGTACTGTAGTCGAATATGGCGCCTGTGGGGACGTGACACTAGGCGAGAGAGACAACTTCTCGGGTGACCCATGAGCTGCATCCCCATCGGATTGTAGATTGGGTGAGAATAACGCATCGGGAGAAGCAACGAGTGCGACATCCACAACTTCGATCGATTCTGGGGGTGGAGTCGCTTTTCGCTGCAGCGGCGCGTGTTCCTCATGCTGTTTTTCACCATTGCTGAGTTTAATCGGAGGAAGGCGGGAAAGCCCATCTTTCCGTAATTGAAATCACATATCACGCGTGCATATGCGCATCTCACTCACCTACTATGAGCTTGTGCACTGCAACCAACACAGCTGCCTTGTCACCGGGAGATCTACAGGATACGTCTAGCTGAGATAATGCTGTGAAAATATCAATGAAGATGAATTATCAGTACATGTGGATGGATTAAGAAACTTACTCTCTCCACACGCTCGGACTACGACATCGATCTCGGACCCAGCGCTGCCAACATCAACGTCAAGATGCTCGAGCCCCAGATCAAGAACGTTGAGAGCTGCAACGTGGCTTGATAGTGCTTCGTCATGCGAGGCGTCATCAGAGTGAGATGGAAGGAATAGTCTGGTAGGAATCAGCACTGGAACAGGGAAACTTACTCTTCCATACTATTCACGTACCGATCATAAAACAAGGTAGATAGAGCCCCCTCCACCACCTCAACGAGCTCCTTAACCCTGGACTCTTTTTCTTCTTCCGATGCCTCGCCTTTCTCTTTCTCAATTTCAGTTCGTACTTCTCCCTCCAATTCCAAATAGAACTCCTGAAATTTCTCAGCCAATTCTTCGGAGCGATCTTTCCCTGCATCGAGATTGACGGCCCATGTTCCGTATTTACTTGGGCTTGCGCCAATATCGTGAAGTTTCTTCTTCCCAGCAGGACCTCTCACAAACGGAAGCAATGGGGACGCAAAGGATTGTATGCGCTCGATGATCATTGCCGGGACACCAGCCGTTTCAAGAGTCGATGTGAGCTCAGACTTAAGCGCAGCAAGAACGTCTCGCATCACATCATGTCGATATACCGCACGGGAAATACTGAATGCACTGATGAGAATGGGATGATCCTCTGGGGGAGGTATTGATGGCGTCTGTATGGGTGGGAGGGGAGCAGCGATTGTTGGGGGTGTGGTCGTGGGCTTGGCGCCAAATAGAGAAGCGAAAGGCATGGCGAGGCGCGAAGGTTGGGTAGCAGGTGTGGGTCGCGGAGGTAAGGGTGGCTTTGGTGGACGAACTTGAATTGGGATGGAGGTGCTGTGTGCTGGGACTGCATATGAGGGGTATCCAGAGTCTGATGGAATTGAAGGGAGTGGAGGAAGAGATGAGAGTGTGATATCGGGTAACTTCGTGGGCGGGAGTGAGGAGCGAAACGTCAAATTTTCGCTGAATAAAATATTAGGTCAAATTGGTACTGAGTAACGAAAAAAGGAGGAAACAAACCTAGATAAGTGTCCGCGCAAGCCAGAAAGTGTAACCACTTGAGTATTTTCTTTGGATAAAGGATTGCACATGAGCACATGATCTGACATGAAATCAGGCGTGATCTTCTCCTGTCCTGAGTATTTCTCAAGTGGGAGCAGTAGCGACGCCTACGAAACTTTTCTGTGAACTGAATGGTCACAATCAATGAAAACGCACCTTGCCCTTGGTAATGGCACCCCAAATTTCAGCCCACTCTTCTGTCTCTCCATCTTGGCTTAGTTTCTCTAACATTACCCACCCAAGACATGCAGCATCAAGGCCAATGTCCTGTGCTGCGGCCTTGAGGTTCATCAGCTGGAGCTTGCTAGTCGCACCGCCCGTGAGTTGATGCTGCGGAGAGACTGAAACTGGCGGTTGGGCAGTGGTGCTGGTTGTAGGCAACTTCTGTCTGGGCGTGTATGGCACATACTTTGGTATTGAGGAAGACTGAGCTTCCGGTGTAGGACTCGGGGAAAGGGTAGATGGACTGGAAGAGAGGAGTGGATGTGTGGCTAGATTATCACGAGAGCTGATCCTGGCAATAGATGCACCCTGGACACGCCCTATCGAGACGGCATGAAAGTGTGCCTCTCGTCGTGTAGTCATTACGGTGTAACACTGGTTGATGCAGTTGAAGCTTGAAGTCTATCCAAATAGCGCGATTGTGATTTCTCTCACATGCGAACGTTGCTAGGATATCCTGTCGAAACTCAACGATCTTCAAACAAAGCTCAAGTATGCCTGTGAACGCTGGTGACTAGAAATCTGTTGACGTGGACAGCCCTGTGACAGAAGTTGGAAAGAGTTGGCGGACAACCTTTAAGCACTGCTGTTACTACCCTCACCGAAAATAGTAATTCGACCCCTATGGAAACATGCAAAGTTGCTCTAACCCGCAGACGATATTTTGCGCACAATTACAAAATAGCTTGGTATACAGTGACTATTTCGAATACGTTCAATACCGGTTCTCATAGGCCTGCACGTGCACGCACGATGATGTATAATGACCAAATGGAAACGAAATTAGTGGTGTCTCATGGGAACTATAGCACAGATCAATGGACCCCCGACCTCCATTCCTCAAACAGTCCTTTGTTCACCGTGGTGTCCGTCATTATCACTGAGATAGAGCCGAGGGGATTCACTCGATCCAACATTAGTCAAAGTAATAGTACTTATATACTGAGATACACATACATAGTGAGGGATCGGAGTGCGGTACTATTGCTATTGTGGATATTATCCCCTGCAGCTGCGTCCACCCCCTCGCTTGATGTGGGCAGCGTTGGGTTCTTTCAATGGCGGAGACGGCTGGCATAGAGGAATGTGTGTGGAGGACGAGGACGAGGAGTTGGATTCTGTGATAGAAGCGGTGACCTCTTTCTTGGACTTTGGGGAAATTTTGTTACGTTTCCAGGGTGCCTTACCCTTCATGCCACCCCTTGTTTGCACATATTTGACTGTCGAGGAGTATGGGGGTGAGTAGGATGCTGCGCTAGCATACTCAGACCCGGACTTCGCGAGTTTCAATTGACCTGATTGATAATTCGCTTCCGCGAGGAAAGTGACTGCAACATCCTCGAATGTGACCTTTGGAAAGGTGGAGGGTGTAGTAGGAATTGAGGAGTTGTTGGTAGTGAGGTAAAGCCCCATGGTTAGACTTCTATATACCACCCACTGCAGAGTATCCGGTAAGCCGTGCAGTAGCATCCAGATAGCTTCTTCGTCTGAGAGACTGACGCCCATCTCAACAAATCGGCGACGCCCGTTTTCAAAAACACTGAGATAGCGTAAAGCGTCGGCGGCATCCTTCAGCTTCTCAGAGAAGAGCTGGTTGCGCAATTCGAATCGGGAAGTGATGTCGAGGCGGGCGAATCGTTGATGCAGAATGTCCCATTGCTGACGAGCTGTAATTTTCTCGCCAAGCATGTTCTGTATGACAGGTGAGAGTCTGCATTCGATAATAATCTTTGCCTGCGCATCGTCCTTGATCCATTCCTTCATTGCAGCACATTCTGCACTCGTAATCGTTCCAGGAATGGCTGCTGTGGGCATAGTGCTAGCGTACTCTGCAACGTCATTGGGATCTGTACCATTGGTACAATGATTCCATAACCCTTTACTAGCTAGAGCTAGCATCACAGCACGGCGCCAAGCCCGGTAAGAGTCTGCATCCGTCAATTCTGGAATATAATCATATTTTCCCATTTTGCGTGATTGTGTCTGATCGAGCAAAGAGATGAGAGCCGTTCGTCACTGTTTGAGTTCGGAAGTTTGAATCGTCGATGTTTTATGTTCAGCCGTTAGATGAATGTGACTCGGAGCGCGGAAAGTTCTGATTGGTACGAGTCAGTGAACGTAACCACTATGAACTGTAAGACTAACATACCTCAGCGAGATGTGGAACAACGCTGAAGTAGGTACGACGACGAGACTTCGAATAGTAAGTATCGTGTGTTATGTAAGAATCAGTGGCTTATGATGCGAGACCATGGTACTGTAAAGTATGTGCCAATTAGGTATCGAAGGTGCAATGTAGAGAACGAAGCAAGGATGCCAACAGGACCGAGTTGATAGACGTTGGTTCTAGTGCTTTGAAAGCTCGGCGGATCTGGTGGGATGCAGTTGAAGAACAACTGAGCGCCTGGTTACAGGCGGCCGCGCTGGAGTGTGGCCCTTGTCCATTATAGCCAGAAGTTCCATGAGCGCCGATGGTACCAGCGATAGAGAGATACCTTTATTCTGGCTTGTCGATTAGTTACTCCCATACTAACCCATTCTGTCTAGTTCGTAAAACACAGGAAGCAGCCTATTAGCATGCCTATAAAAACTGCTTGGGATTGTTGAACAGTCGATTCTGCTGGCGCATCTCAGATCGACAAACTGGAGAATTCAAACTGTCACATACCGAGGTCTGCATTTGTCAGATCAAAACCCAAATTTAAGAGAACAACAGTACTTGTTGTAAATTTCTTGTCGTCTCTATAGTACATAGAATCAACCTTGCAGGCAGGTGATTCTGTACCTTGAAAGGTTGTCTTCTAGTTGATAGGTTTCAGAGTCGGTTGATGATTCAAGTTGCTCTGTGTTGTACAAAGTAAGTCCAGCGGTGCTACCACTAATGCAAGACGGACACATACACTGGCAAGAGTCTGCAGCGTGGCTACCTTGTGTGGCGTGCAGAGCTTGGGTAGGATCGTCTAATTCTGTCACCGAAATATTTGCACTGCGCCCTCGCTATACGAGTTGATCAGGCTATGCATGACAAAGTACTTCATCGAGAATGTAAGTGACATTGCATGATATTTGAATGTCATCCCTGCAGATGAACGACCTTAGGAGTACTGTTCGTGTGTTTGATGAGAGTATCAAGTGTTCGGACTCCGTCGGGACTCGTGACGACGAGCTCGGCAATAAATCATGTTGACAATTGAACAATAACAAAGGATAAAGGATTAGAATTTCACCCCTGCCACATACTGGCACATGTCGCTTCGAAGTTCACCCTAATTGCTATTCTTACAAAGCCAGGTCCATGGTTTCCTGCTAGACATGATGGCTTCAGCAAGTGGTTTGCGACAACCGAAAGAAACGAACAAAGGGAAAAATGGGTTTCGCGACAGACACATCCCTCTCAATTCTACTAACCCAGACGACTTGGCCATTAGCAGGCATCACTTTGCTCAGTACGTCCTTGCATCCAAGGGGTCTTATAATGGTCCTTCGTAAGTTTTTTTTGCTTTGCGTATGCTGGTTTAGGTTTCTGAGGTTCTGCAGGTTGAAAGAACTCAAAGCCACTCCAAACGAAGCCCCGAAAGACACGCTAGCAATTGTCGACGATAAGATAAAGGAGCTGAGGAGGCAGCATCAAGAAGATATTGAGCTACTTACCGCGTTCCAGGCTGCGGAATATCGCCAAGAGGTCCTTAGCAAGTATAGCTGCATCGATGATTCAATGATGGGAGTGGATGCGGAGGACCTAGTCCAAGTTGATTATCTCGCTGCCCTCAATGTACGTCTTCCTTTATCTGCAACTTTGGACGAGTCTGACAATGCTCTAAAGGAGCTGTACAGCGATGCACGGCCTATGAAGCGCTTCCAGCATGATATGGACGATTCCTTATCTCAAATGCGCTACAACTACCTCAAATCCCTCCTCCCGCTCCTCATTCAGCGTCACAAGTTGAAACGGGAAGAAAAAAGCATTCGGAGACGGCATGATGCGCAGTTCCCGCAGAGTATTGAAGAATATCACAATATCCCGGACCGAGACACTCAGCTACGAATCGCGAGGTTCCTCTCACGTCCAAATTCTGAGAGGGAGAAGATGATGGATGAATATGGATGGGCATGGAAAGCGGTAGGTCCGCTGCTCTCAGCGTTCAAGGCGAATGTAAGCTATATTTCAAAGTGCAAGAGCGCTGACGTTGATGTTGATGTTAATTTACAGGAAGGGTTCAAGAACGAGATATCGAAGTCACTCAAAGATGCGCATGCTTCGGATCCTCGGCGTCGGCCAACAGCGACCCCTGGATGGCAGCTGTAACTTCTATATCTTTGCATTATCTTCGTATCACGATTGAGATGAGATTGCTTTATGTTCATGTGTCTGATCCACTCAATAAAAGCGTTCTTCTCGCTGAGATTGGTGTAGCTCGAGACACGGGCGCTACGCGCAAACATGAAGATAGATGGACGAGAGTTTGTTTATCCTGATGCGACAGAGGGTTTTCGCATGTGTGCTCCCCAGTGGTGCAATGGATGTTATGATATATCAATTCTCATCGACCATGGGTCCATCCAGAGATGCCCCGTGTTTGAAATTTCTTATCGCAGCGTGGAGCAGGTCAAACATTTTGTTCGGCCACATGATCCTATCCTGGATTCCTGGATGAGACTAAGATATTGTTAGTATGGGAGAGCAGCATTGCCATCACGATATCAGAGATATGGTGATGAGTATCAAGGGTTCTGCTTGCAGGGTTTCATCCTTTGTATTCGTGTAATAAGGCAGTGGCAGGTATGAAGTAAAAAGAGTTTTTCTCTTCACTGTCCACGGATCAATAGATAAGCATAATCCCGCGAGATGCCCGTTCGCGAAAGAAAGCGAAGCCCCGAAGATTCTTCGCTCTAACGCTCTTTATTTTGCGGCCCTGCCTTTGCGGAAGAATGAATTACACTAGCAAATCATATGCAGGGTCATTAAATTTCTCGACAGTCGGACAATATTAATGGACGCTTGTCGTCATGATAGACGACGACAAAGATGCTCGGTGCATGTTTGTACATGTTTGAAAGCGAGGCTGCTACCAAATGCAGAACACTATCTTATCAGATTTACCATGATCAAAGGATAATAGTAATTTCATCGTATTGCGGTAAGGCTAGCCCTGTTCGGTGTTGTGTTCTACAACATAGCATATGTCGCATTTCACTGATGAACGCGGCAGATTAGTATTAACCCAATGCGCCACTGGCACTGTTGGGCATGATTGACCGGGTAGTGAATTCAGCCCTCTGCATTTGACGTTCACTGATTTGGATGGTTAAACACAGACAAAAAAATTTACCCCACTTCTGCTACAGCTCTGCGAAAGCAAAAAAAAAAAAGTGGCTAAGAACGTTATAACCGTAGACACACGTTTCCAGAATGCTAGAATGTCCTTCAGCCGCCAAGTGACTCGTGTCAGGGTGCAACTGAATTGCCAAATGCGATCATCGTGTTATTAGAATGTGGAGCTCAGACTAGGAACTGGTTTGACCAAAGCACCATGATTTTGATTGGTGAAAATGCTGTGCGCTGGTAGATGCAGTTTCAGGACGGGGATTTTGTCCGATCATTTCTCGTCCCAGCCTCAGGCCTGCCTTCTGGACTATGAATATAAACGTCGATGCGGAGAGTGTACATGTCCCCCCTGAGGGATAGTGATAATATAATATGTACTCCTGGATGTCCTGGCGACAAACGATGGTTGACGCTGATCTGAGCTAGTTTACTGGCCCAAACAAAGCGGTGCTGCTTACGTAACTTCAGGTGCAGCGCCACGAATGGCAGTACTTGCTGCTGTGTTGGTTACATGTTGCATTTCGTGAACATCGATATCGATTACAACTTTGATTGCGCGGGTGCGGTCAGTTGACATGTCCGGATCGTTTATTCACAGCTCGCGTACAGATGGCCGGGATCAATCAGTCCTTCATCAGGATAAAAGCGTAACGACTAACATCTTTCACACTCAAAACTTGTTCCTACTGTGCTATATTCACCTTCAAGCTGTAGCTCCCCAGTCTCACCCTCCTTGTTCTTTGCTAGCTGGTCTTGTATTCTTCTCAGCTCTTTTGTTTCTCTATCAATTATCTAAATCCGTTTGTTGACCAACTCGGACATGCACCAATATTATCCAACTTCTCCCACTACTGGGTTGGGAGCTTTTACTACGCCTACGCGGCAGGGCTCATATGCAAGTAACTACAGTGCTGTAAGTGCAGTATCGTGGTGTCATGTCTCCCATCGTCAATACCAATCCTCCACCCCCAGTACAGCGCATCAATTCCCAGCCCTCAATACAGCGCCTCAATCCCCAATTCCGTACACACGCTCATCGCATCAATGAAAAACCTCCAATCTACGCTCACTCTATGGTCCACCTCACGAGCCTCCCCTGACGCAGTCAGCGACGCCTACATGCAATTTGGAGTCGGATTTAACGCTGTCGTATGGGCGTTTGAAGGATCAGGGGTCGACACGTCGTGCGTCTTTACCATACCCCTCTCTCATCAATGAGGCTATACCTGAGGTAAACAGAGATCTGCATCAAATTCCCACACGACTGCGTGCTGTGCTCGAGACATGTTTAGGCGAAGACCCTTGCCCTGCTGCACTGGAAATGTATCAACCACGAATCCGACAGCAGCTATACGAACTACTGCAGGGCCTTAAAGCAAAGCAGGGTGCGTGGCGCAGCGCTGTGGCTGCGGGACTCTAGATTGACGTACGTGCAGGCTATGCAGGGTGGCAATGATGATGAGAACAAATTATGCAGTCCATTCCCGACGATGATCTGCGATCTTGATGGTATTGTATCTTCTTTATATAAGTATTGATTACGACCTTGATTCGATTGAGTATCGTTATTTCGCTGATTGCTAACAGTTAATGTATTGCCTATATATTTAGTACAGAAGCGCAGAGTTTACATAGTCCTTTGCAGTAACTTGCAATAAATCACGAGTAGAAACGCACTACTGTACAACTTTCTTGCATTATCTTCATGCATCACATTACTTGGGATATCAGGCGTCTGGAAGTTCTGCTACACACTCGATCTCGACGCTTGCGCCCAGCGGAAGGGAAGCTACACCGATGCAAGTCCTCGCAGGCATCGCCTGTTCATCGAAGAACTATGTGACAAGGTCAAGCGGTTTAGTTAAAATGCCTGTTCATAAATAGAGACGTACCGCCATATACGCTCTGTTCATTTCAGAAAAATCCGCCGTCAGATTGGTGAGATAGACGTTCGCTTTCACAACGTGTTGGAGTCCAGATCCTGCAGCATGGAGAATGCTGCGAATACTTTCAAGGGCAGCAACCTGTAACATCGTGTGACCGATTGGTTCATGAGAGATAGGAAGTATGAGCTCACTGTTTGCCCCTGCACTCCGCCCTCAACGATCTGGAAATCCTTTGTACATCCAATGTTGCCTGAGACGTACACGAACCCTTTAGATATGATGGCCTGAGCTGAACGAACATATCGTCATGATCCATTCACATCCGATAACACAAGAACTCACAGAAGGTCTTGAGGGGAGGGACGGCGTCTAGAGTGTACACAACCTCTTTGGGCATGGTAGGATAGTAGGTTGAGGTGGGGGGCTAAAGATGATTCCTATAATAGAGGAGATAAATAGCTTCTAGCTTTTGTTAGCACAGCGGACCGAATAAGCTACTATCAGTGGCCTAATCCGCTGACAGCTGCATATATCAGACGAATGGAAGATCGGAGCTGTCAGGCTCCTTCGCGCTCGCGAAGTTCCTTTCATGAGATAGGCCTGAGGCTGTGCAACGGTAAACTTTCCGGCACGGTTGAGTTCATCCCACGTTACGTTTGTGCGTGCTTGATATATATATATCGTACAGCTAATATGGGCGGTGCAATGAACATGCAGGAGGTCTGAAGGCGAGACTTTGAAGGGACTATAGTATCAAGGTGAGTCGACAATGTAATCACACGCCCGCATATATTTGGCACACAGAACGCACTGAACCCACAAGTCAAATGATGTTTTCATACATCAACGGTGCTTGGTATGAACAAGTATGAGCCTCTATGAGCTAGCTGGCGCCAGGAAATGGGAAATACAGGCACACCCGGAGCAAGTTAGTCCCTACTAGGCGGGCTAGAAGTCGTTTTGAGGGGTATGCTATCTATAGCCTGAGACACCTACTATTAGGAAGGTTGCTGGCGCTGGTCAGCGTTTATATCGTGATTGTTCGCTAGTCGTTGGTAGCCGGAACCTAGACCAATAGACGGGAGACAATTGTTCTGTTTTATCGTAAATCGAAGTAGTCGGCTCTTCATGGATGCCGTGAAACAGGCTTATGATAGCGTCCTTGTCGCGTGCGATGGAGTAAGAGACTCGGAATAACTGTGTTCGCCATGGTGCATCCCAATGGCGTGGCGTGAAGGTGAAAATGTTATAGAAAAGGCCGGCATTTGACAATCACCGTTGAGCACCAGGATAGTCCTGATCGGTCATTATTAGAGCATGCAGCTGCGGATGCAGAATCTTGATAGGTAGAAGTGTGACAGGGAGGTTTAGGATATATATTGGACCGCACAGTGCATTGAACACCATAAAGGCCATAACCATGCGGAAAGGAAGTGACTTAGTGGAATAGGCGGGATTGTATCGCCAAAACGGTCAGACGCTGATCACGATGCACCAGGGAAAATGCTTCTCATCAGTAGAACCACGTTGATGGAAGTACCTACAGTCACATCGGGCTGCTCCTACATCCCAATCCTGCAAAATTTGAATCGGGGAAATCATCTAGCTCTGGCCAAAAGTGTACGTGCGGAACGCTGAGGCCGGAGAACGCTGAAATCGATTGACCTCCTTAGAGACAACCCCACGAAGCTCATTGAACTGTTCATAAACACGGCGAACGTATGGTGCAAGAAGTTCGATGACATGGCATCGCCCATAAAGTTCAGTTCCACTAGAACAGGCATTGCTGGGCAAGCCCTTCACGATCCCAATCTGTACAATCAGACAGTCCAGATACGAAAAGCGAAATTTTCGGCTGCATCCAGATTCCAGTGCAATTCAAATCTTTGATTGACCAGACGCTACCATGGTATGGCGGTGCAATGAGCTAAATGCACTGTCTCAGCTTCGTGAAACAGAATGATCAAGGGGAATCAACGTACTGTACTACGTGGCTGTCATGGCAGGGTCAATCGGAGCTGGAAGTGGGAATGATATGATTGTTTGTCAGTGCTTGTATGGTTGAGTCAGCGAGGTGACGGCACCACTCCAGGGACGAAGTCTGCAATTTCACACACCGGGGGTTTCAACATTTTACCTCTTGCAAGATTTCAATCAAAAGCAGATCTGGACCTGGCTAGACCATTCCAGACCTAGCCTAGAGCGTTCCAGAGCGCTCTGGATTACCTTTAGAATGTAATTTCACTGGCGGCAAAAGGTGATAAAATGTCAGTTTCCCCGCTGTGTCATTATGATCAACTTCGAAAGAGTCCGGCCCAGTCAGAACATCATGCATCTCCCAGGATCGGCGACGAGCGCCGCAAAATATTATTTGATAGGAGCCGAGCATTGCCAGCCAGATCAGCTGGACACGAGTCGAAGTTCAAATTGGTTTCCTGTGAAGAGGCTAGAGGAAGTTCAATAGCCGAGCATAATAACAGTAAGTGAATGCTCCCGCTTGCAGCACACAGTGGTGAATACGCTCCATCACTTGGACGTCTAATGATACAGGCTAACAAAATAAAATAAATTGCCTAGCATACCCACCTCTGCGGCTTTGAGCAAGACACTCGCAGATCTTAGAATTCAACAAGTCGGACTCGACTTTACTGAACACCATCCAAATTGGCGGAAGTAGCGAGGTAGTCCATCATCCCAATCACTACACCCTTTCGAACGTTGCAATTCATCAAAGAATTTGCCATCGTAGTTGCGGTGATTTCCGATAGGTGACACATGTTGACTCTAGCCCCTGGGCGGACACTTCGTCTGCGGAAATTGAAGGATTGTTTGTACATGCACCCTCATCCACCTCAATGTGTCACGACAGTTCATATTCATCCAGGAAGGTTCGCAATGCCGCAAAGCGTTCAATGCCATATCCGGCACTTCAGATGGGCATGCCGATCCTAATGTACATCGAGGCTTTCCCAGGAAGGGCGCAGCGCCCATCCCACCAACATTGTGGGATCCAGGTAAATGGTTGAGCCTCGATCAAGGCCAAAACCCAAACTGCGACAGGAACCAGATTGTCGTTGAGCAGGGATCACCGATCTTTAACTGTTCCCTTGTTCCCTGCCAGTGGTGATGATTCTTCGATGCTAATTTACGTGGGTCAATTTGACGTTTGTTTACGCGCTTTTGCACACGGGATTTGACCCGCTACGTGCCTCTGTTTCTATGAAAATCACAGGGCAAATAATTGTTTTGGGCGTGCAGTGTTCATATCAACTCTTTGACATACGATGGACAGGTTGGTGGTGATGAGAGTGTTCATCCATTTTTTAAATCATTGCTGACACATGCCATGCATCACCATCTGAGTACTTGTCTTAGGTGTTGAGGACGACTCGATAAATAGAGCTGACGCCGTGTTTGATGAAGTCGACAGTGGACAGTGGACACTGAAGCTGATGCCGTTGTCATCATAAACTAGATCATTGTCGATGGGGTCAATGACATCGACTGATTCGCTCACTAGTAGGATGCGACTCAGGTCGATCTGTACATACTATAAGATGGTCGATGAGATGCATAACTCAACTCAAGGCATCTGAACGAACAAGCTTCAGCAACAACACTAGCCTGGTGTGGCTGTAGAGTCGTCACCACATCATTTGATATAAACCTTGAGTGAAGACGCCATTGATGCTCAGAAAATAATCTTGAGCCCGCTGAATTAATTACAGGAATGTGGAGAACGTTGGTGGATATCACAAGGTCACGTTCTCCCGTACGATTGTGCTGCAGATTACTGTATGACTTACAGTGCGTTGCATATGAGATTGCAGTACGTGTTTTTCAACACTCGGCTAGTCAGTATACAAGATGTGACATCCCTTGACCTAATTAAGGTGTAAAAGTGCCGGTTCCGCTAGTGAGGCCGAGTTTTGAAGAACGCTGCAATTCTCCTTGAACACACCGTAATCTCGTGATTTCGTTGCCTATGGCCAAACATAAAATTTCAATTCGATTCGTCACCGTGTGAGCGGAAAAATTGTTCCAAGCGATTTTGCAGTAACACCATAGGCTTGATTTTACAGTGAGATTAAGTATTGGCCACATGCACACAGCGACAGGCGCACAATCACCATTAAAGCCAGACTGATGGAAGATCAAGGGTCAAATTTACGATAGGTTCTGGGTACGTAAAAACACCTACTTCCTGTAACTTACAGCTCCTAGTACAACTGCTGACTTGTCTCAACAACAGTCATCTTTGTGGTTACCCTGCAGTGCGTCTATCTCTTCCAAAGAATTCGAGATGTCGTATTAACGGTGAAATAAATGTTTAGTAGTAATGGCTCTGTTGCCAATCGAGGTTCGCGCGGTGCTACGGCTGAGCAGAACTATTCGGAGTTTGAGGTAAATCATTTGCTGGCAGAACTGGCAGAGCCTAACATGTGCGGAAGTTCTGCAACATCCAAGTTTTGCCGGAAAGGTTCTCAGGCTGCCATCTGCCTGGCAATGCCAGTTCTGCCCACAATACTAGCTATATGGCGATGTGCTGGGATTAATCATAGATATGTATCCATTTGAAGGTACGTCCACGCAACAGTATTTCCAGAGAACAATATAAAAACCAGCCGTCTTCCTACTATTGCCTTCAGAATCACCTGAACCCCCACACGAGTCGCAAACAATGCATTTCTCCTTTGCAACTGTCTTCGCCATCATTGCTACTTTAGTAGCATCAAGCTCTGCCATCCCCTCTCCCAATGATGCAGCTGGATGTCCCTCGTCTTGCACCAATGACACACAATGCACAAGTAAACACTGTGCTGCCAAACTATGTGTGAGTATGAGCATTTTCTGGACCTGATAACATGACTCACCTGCATGACAGAGCTTTCTGGGATTCTGCACAGTGAGCCATATTTTTGCTTTCACATCGGTGGAGTATGGCCGTTGACACTGACGCGCGATTTACTAGTGATTCGTAAAGTTGATCGACGCAATGTGCATTCAGTCCACTTGCAGCTCGAATAAAGTCACCTAGAATAAACTGCGCTGCTATTAGTGTTTGTCCCATTCGAAGCAATCATATTTGCCGTGTTCTACAGATCAGATATATGTGCATGTCCTGCATCCACTATGAGAAAGGCAGGGCCGCATATAAATATGCCTTCGCAGTCCAATACTGGTCCCTTCAGGCCCTTGGCTTGTACCGTAAGTCCACGACCAGCCCCTGTCGCTAAGAAAAGGAAGCCAGACAACGCACCCAATGCGACTGCTGTCAAACGAGTGTGCCCACTGGCAGTGGTAGTGGGGTTCGTGCTACGACTGTACGGTTCAAAATTGCCAGTTCCAATAGCAAACATTTGATTATTCGAGGACATCTCGGACTTCGACTTTTTGCCTCATTCGTGCCATACAATTAAATGCATGCATAAACGAAGTACCAGATCATGTGTCTGTACATACTATAAGACGGCCGATGAGATGCATAACTCAACTCAAGGCATCTGAACGAATAAACTTCAGCAACAACACTAGCCTGGTATGGCTGTAGAGTCGTCGCCACATCATTTGATATAACTTTGGGTGAAGACGCCATTGACGCTCAGAAAATAATCTTGGGCCCGCTGAATTAGTTAAAGGAATGCGGCGAACGTTAGTGGACATTACAAAGCCATGATCTCCGGTACGATTGTGCTGCAGATTAGTTTATAACTTAATCTCATAATCTCCGAGTTGGAGGCTGCCTCAACGACGTATAAACTTATCCTGCTTGTCATACAAACAACCAGCCAGCCGTCTCCACACTAGACCTCACCAGTCTTTGAACACACTGTAAGATTTCGGAGGTTGCCTATGGCCAAACATAAAATTTCAATTCGATTCGTCACCGTGTGAGCGGAAAAATTGTTCCAAGCGATTTTGCAGTAACACCGTAGGCTTGATTTTACAGTGAGATTAAGTATTGGCCACATGCACACGGCGCACTGCGTGTTGTCCAACAATTCCGACGGCTTAGAGATGGCTGAGAATCTGGGGGTACCTAAGGTTTCAGCCACGTCGAAGCCATCAAATATCAGCCGACTTCTATGGTGTCGGAAATCTGACTCTTTAAATTACCACCGGCATCGACGATAGCTCGAACTTAGAGGTACCCTCACCTACGTCTTAACTACCTTACAGTGACTTCTACCTGAGGTGTGTTTTGCGTGTTGTACATCTACAATATATAAGTACGAAACGTTTGACATTACCTCACCTTTTCTTGGAGGTATGCGCATATGCAGTCGTTGTGCCAGTAAGTATTCAGACCAAGGTGCGCAGCGGAGCTTCAATTCATCTTGCCCTGAACCCTTCAACAACGATCTTGACGATGTCGAGCAGCGACCACACACTCCTAACTCTAAATCAAGCATCCACCACTTAGCTAGCATGTCACGGTGTAGCCTATCTCAAGTTGAATAACACTCCAATGAACTCAAGATCAAGCAGGTCGATAATTCTCCGTCTCTCAATGACAAGGCGGAATGTTGTGTACTTTCCTTTTCGACACGTCTGCCTGCCGGGTCAAAGGTAATATTGTCCATTGGCTTCTCCGGAGAACTGACCAGTGGCCAGAGCTATAATGGGGTACTACAGGAGCTAATTTGAGCACGACGGAACCAAAAAGTATTATGCATTGACTCAATTCTAAGTATGTATTCGATCCCACTAGTTGTGCATGCACTTATGACATATTGCTAGCCCACGGCCGTGAAACGTGCCTTCCGTTGGGATGAACCCCCTCTCAAGACTCAAGGTGACATTTGCAGTCACTATGATATCACACGCTGACATTGAGCTGAGTAGGAAAACCCGTCTCTTGCACATCTACTGTAGGTACCCGTCGTCATAGAATCCGAGTACAAGCTGAATTAATTTGGACAGCTACTCCCGACGTAATTCATCTCGCCGCTTCACTTAATGTTGTCGAGCGCCCTCACGTTCTGCAGTATATATAGCTGTAGCTAGCTAGCAGCATGTATTCGCTGGAATATCTAATAAATTTCGCAATTTCTCAGATTTAAATAATTGAATGTCTGCAGCTGGATATATATATATTGAATATAATATAATTAATGTGGTTTATTCAATGTATATGCAGTATCGTTCTGGACCCATAGTAGCAGCTGGCTGGAACTTGATGGCCAAACGATGTCTTCGAGGTGGTTGAAATCCGGAAAATCAACCGTCTCGAAGCCGGTTTATACCATAGGTCCAGAAATGGCTAAAACTTGACCCTGGGGTCACATTCCAGCCAGGTATCTACCGTCGGAAATTTTTGATAACACGCAGTGGCGACAGGCACACAATCACCATTAAAGCCAGACTGATGGAAGATCAAGGGTCGAATTTACGATAGGTTCTGGGTACGTAAAAACACCTACTTCCTGTAACTTACAGCTCGCCTAGTACAACTTCTGACGTGTCTCAACAACAGTCATCTTTGTGGTTACCCTGCAGTGCGTCTATCTCTTCCAAAGAATTCGAGATGTCGTATTAATGGTGAAGTGAATGTTTAGTAGTAATGGCTTTGTTGCCAATCGAGGTTCGCGCGGTGCTACGGCTGAGCAGAACTATTCGGAGTTTGAGGTAAATCATTTGCTGGCAGAACTGGCAGAGCCTAACATGTGCGGAAAGCCTAGTTCTGCAACATTCAAGTTTTGCCGGAAAGGTTCTCAGGCTGCCATCTGCCTGGCAATGCCAGTTCTGCCCACAATACTAGCTATATGGCGATGTGCTGGGATTAATCATAGATATGTATCCATTTGAAGGTACGTCCACGCAACAGTATTTCCAGAGAACAATATAAAAACCAGCCGTCTTCCTACTATTGCCTTCAGAATCACCTGAACCCCCACACGAGTCGCAAACAATGCGTTTCTCCTTTGCAACTGTCTTCGCCATCATTGCTACTTTAGTAGCATCAAGCTCTGCCATCCCCTCTCCCAATGATGCATCTGGATGTCCCTCGTCTTGCACCTATGACACACAATGCCAAAGTAAACACTGTGCTGCCAAAATATGTGTGAGTATGAGCATTTTCTGGACCTGATAACATGACTCACCTGCATGACAGAGCTTTCTGGGATTCTGCACAGTGAGCCATATTTTTGCTTTCACATCGGTGGAGTATGGCCGTTGACACTGACGCGCGATTTACTAGTGATTCGTAAAGTTGATCGACGCAATGTGCATTCAGTCCACTTGCAGCTCGAATAAAGTCACTTAGAATAAACTGCGCTGCTATTAGTGTTTGTCCCATTCGAAGCAATCATATTTGCCGTGTTCTACAGATCAGATATATGCGCATGTCGTGCATCCACTATGAGAAAGGCAGGGCCGCATATAAATATGCCTTCGCAGTCCAATACCGGTCCCTTCAGGCCCTTGGCTAGTACCGTAAGTCCACGACCAGCCCCTGTCGCTAAGAAAAGGAAGCCAGACAGCGCACCCAATGCAACTGCTGTCAAATGAGTGCGCCCACTGGCAGTGGTAGTGGGGTTCGTGCTACGACTGTACGGTTCATAATTGCCAGTTTCAATAGCAAACATTTGATTATTCGAGAACATCTCGGACTTCGACTTTTCGCCCCATTCATGCCATATAATTAAATACATGCACAAACGAAGTACCAGATCATGTGTCTGTACATACTATAAGATGGTCGATGAAATGCATAACTCAACTCAAGGCATCTGAACGAATAAACTTCAGCAACAACACTAGCCTGGTGTGGCTGTAGAGTCGTCACCACATCATTTGATATAACTTTGGGTGAAGACGCCATTGACGCTCAGAAAATAATCTTGGGCCCGCCGGATTAGTTAAAGGAATGCGGCGAACGTTAGTGGACATTACAAAGCCATGATCTCCGGTACGATTGTGCTGCAGATTAGTTTATAACTTAATCTCGTAATTTCCGAGTTGAAGGCTGCCTCAACGACGTATAAACATATCCTGCTTGCCATAAAAACAACCAGCCAGCCGTCTCCTCACAGATGCCCCTGCATAGGATTCTCGAGCAACAGCTCGAACACCAATTGATCGGCCACTTTGCGGTACCCGAATGGAGAGTAAAGCGAATGGATCCCCAAAAAGCACTTCTTTACGGCTTCCCAGGACACTTCATGCGATCCGGATGGACGCACGTCTCTGATCCTCCCTAACAAAAAGTTGGCCTTTTCCTCTGCGCATGTCCGAGCATCCACTTTCGGCCATTTTTCTAGTGGTCTGTTCTTGCTGAGGAGTTTGCCCTCTTCATACCGAAGACAGATCCAGGTGAGGGCCCAGATGAACGATTCGGCATCATGCGCGTACACATGCTCGACCTTGCCTGCCATGGACTCTGGTATGAGACGGTCTAACGCCATGAATAGTACTGTCCCTGTGCGCTCGAGGCTGTTGGGACTGTCTCGTTGAAACAACGATAAGTCGTAGTCATTGAGCACACCTGTGAATTGACCGTGTGTGCGGTATCCCGTGAGATTGCTGGGGCTGATATCCCGGTGATGCACACCTATCTTCCAGAGGGCGCGATGGCCTGTCGGAGTAGTGAATTGATGATAAGGAACAGGAGAAGGAAAAGAGAGAAAAACTTACACTTCACAATTTGCCACCATGAGGTAAGGAACTCCTTGCCGGAGAGCGTTGTGATCGGGATAAGCTTTCTGGACGCGATGATTTTCAAAATACGGCTGCTTGGTTTGACCTGGTCGACATCCTTTAGTCCTGATGCAATGCTGATTTTGCACGTGGATGTTTTTTTTAACTTGTAGAAACCCAGCCCTGGGGCATGGCGCAACGCATCGGAATTTATTTGCGTAATCTTGCAGACCTCGTCGAAGATAACTGGCTCGCTCTGATATGTGTCTTCTGGCCAATAGAGCTTGGCAACTAGCTCGGGGGGTTCAAATTGGAAATCCAGCTGCAGGTCCGATAGCGCCTTGCTCTTAACTGAAAATACAATGGTTGTACGTCCGCGCATACAAATACAAGTCATGCACTTGTCAAACTTCAATTCCAATTTGAGGTCGATTTGAGTACCCTTGGCCATCGCATCGCTCGAAAATCCGGGCTCAGGCTCGAATGCACGATTAAGGCCTGTACACCTTGCCTGCGGCTTCTGCAGTATGGCCTGTGCCTTACACTTCCCGAACTTATGGACATCTTGCGCGATCCATGGCCGTATGTCATCAACTCTGCGTAAATGACGAAGTTTAATACGGGTGATGCTGGCAAAACGATAAAGGAAGGGCTGACGCACTGAACGCCTATAGCACAGTTATGTTCGTTGACAACAATGAAACCGATTGCTTTGGGGGTATACTTGAGCTCAGCCTCACCGGAGAAAGTAGAGTTACAGGGAGGTGTCTTTTGTCGGGTGGCGCTGGCGTTATTGGCCATGACGAGGCCTAAGGAAGCAGAAGGAAAAAGTGAACTTTGGTAACAAAAATATGCAGGCTTGAGCTCGCTTTTAACTCAGCACAACCCTATTGTCAGGCATTCAAGTCGAGGTTGTAAATAATTGGTGAGCAGTTGAACGTTGAACGAAATTAATGGCATGCCTAATTGAGCGAGCCTGACGGTAAGTGTGTGGCGGATTAAAGTTATCAAATCACACAAACAATCATCTCATCAACAGGACAAGTCGACGCCAATGACTGCGTTTACCCTCGTTTACCACAGAACGCCTAACACTCTAGCTTGAAACTATGCATCCTTGCTGTTTTCTTTTGTCTGTGTCAATTATAACTTACGAAAAGTTACGATCGTCCTCCTTCCCAACTTAAATGGACGTAGGTATTTTTTAGCGCTCCGCACGTGCCGCAGGGACTGATGCTAGCTAGTCTGCAACTTCAAAGGAGTAGCTTGTGGGCGCTGAAGCTGCGAAGAACAACACGCCGGCTGATAGCACAGCTGCTAAGTTTCACAGTGGCCCTCCACCTCCGAAATTTGAAATTCCATATAGCGAGCCTTAAACCTTTCGGATGATGGGTCACTGGTCACCTCTAGTTTCCCCGAACACGCGAGAAATTCAATGGCCGTTCGAGATGTCTTTGTCTGGGCGCTTCAAACAACTGAGCCGCGTAATTTTTCCCTGGAGAATGAAAGTGGGAGACGCGGAGGAACACTCGGGGAGCCTCACCCTCGAAATATGTATTGTTGTTGTGGCCTTTGACATCTACTGGGTACGAGTTCCTTCATAATTGAACATTTGCTATGGGTCTATTTGGTGTTCCCCACGTCGCACAAGAAATTTTGCCAAAGTCCACTGACCTACTGAATTTGCGGTCTTCATTTTTGATTTATCGTCAACCATTTCTGATTATTCCCTGAACACACGAATAATTGAGGAATCTAAAGGTCTTATCAGAAGTTGTCTGCTTTCAACAATCGCGATCTTTCTCTTGTGCGATCGAAGTGTGAAAAGAGGATCCGCGGTTGCTCCCTCGGTGAGCTTCAAAATCACTCGTCATATAGTCCTCAAAGTTGCGGGTCGGAGCCCACGAGATGAATGTCGTGCCCAACGCTAGCGCGCTGAGACCTAATACGGCCTGCTGATCAGCACAAAAGAGGCGCAAATTTAGTTCTAGCCTTGGCAGGTAATGCCCACTCGACGGGTGTTTTGGTTTGTCTCTCCATGGGATCATCGTCTTCTCGACCTGCTTGATTTGCAGAAGATGCGGAGAGCTTGAGAGAATTGACCAACCTTGAGTACTGCCAAGTCTCCATTATGCAAACATCTATCCACAAACATCATGATGTGCTACGTGTTCTCAAATGCGCGTGCTTAGCCTCCTATTGCACCATTCTATTCATTACGAAGTCATAGTAGTACCCAAGACCGTTTCTCGCTTGTGATTGTCTATTCTACAGTGCGATTTCTAAGGGAGGCACGCTACCTCAACTATAAGTACGCCTACGACTCTCATGCTCTAGCATAGGACCCTCAAGTAACAGCTGAAATGCTGATTCATCGCTAAGTTCGCGGTACCCTGATGGAAGGTAAATCGAGTGGATCCCAT